GGAAAGGACATCATTACGTGGAGTAACTCCGTACCTGGTAGAAGAATATCTCAATTGTATGTTTTTCTGTCTCGGTATGAATGTTTCTAGATTGAGTTCATCGATCCGTCCACCTGACTCTATGAATCTAGAAAACTATCTCCGGCTCCTACTCCCGCAGCCCGAGAGTATCCCTTGCTCGTACCAGTCAACTCTTAAACATTGAAACAGATAGACTTCTCGCTTGGATAGCAAGTCTCAAATGATTCCTGATCCCCTTGATTAATTCTGGATCTGATCATCTACAACATATATCAGACACCAAGATTTGATCCGAGCACAGATGTCGGGGAAGGCTACAAATAAAGTGCGAAAGTGCGAAAGTGGGGGAATGTGATTCGTTGCCTGATGTGATACAAAGAGAACTCGGAGATGCCTGTCGTTACGTATCCTATCTACTACCTCCGTACTGCTCAATTTTGCGATCTATATACTCCAAAACAAAGAATCAGGAGGTGATCAGTAATCCCCCTGAGCCCAGTGGGAATGAATGGGAGTAAATTATTGACGATACCCATCACCCTCGTACACCGTTATATGTCACACGTTGGGCCGTTCAAGTGGTGATAGTCACCGGCGTGGCGCCCTGTCACATTGAAAGAGTCACGGCTCTGACCGTTGGTTTGTTGACGCGAAGCGCGTTGATTCAGGGACGGTGACACATTTAAGCTTAGTCTATCAAATCCAAATTACAGGGTCTACAGGCCCTTTTTATTGATTATTTACTGTCGAGTCCCTGATAGAGCTCTTGGTTACGTCCAGCCACATTACATAACTATGTGCACCCTGCATAGATAGAAGCCATTCATCTCATTGATCGACACGGCGCATGGTGTTGCGTCCCATGCATGAGTTGCGGTATATTACATGGGGTATATGATACAATGGGAGATGAACGAATATGCTGTATGACAGTGATACTCGCCTGAGAGGGGATCTGGATACCCCTGAGGTTTGAAGTCCGTGTGGATTGGATTCAGAAAGCTGATATCTGTTTTCGTGATACTACCTACATGTAGGTAGCTCACATCATTATTGGGCCAGACGCGTAGCTGTCATCCCAAGCCGTTACGCGGATCAATGAGCCAAGGCATCTGGGCAGCTATGATGGTTCAATCAGCAAGCAGAAATAAAAGTGACTAGGACGAGACAAGAGAATGGGGTCGAGGCGATCCCCGGCGTCCGTTCCGTGTCACATGGACTCAGGTGATTGGCGAGGCAGCAACATAGCCCAAATCCTGGAGAGAGGAGATCTTGAAAAATCAAATGGGAAGCGGCAACTCGGGAAAGTCACAAGCCCCTGAAGTGGCGCGCTGTTCCTGGAACCCCACATCATGTGACGCGACTTGCGCGTGACTTCGCCACTTTATGAGCTGTCCTTTCGGCTCATTGCTCATATTAGACAGAATGTGGTCATTATACCTGGATACCCGAGTTGCACTGCATGCGACTGTGGGTACCAATACCCCAGCTCCTTAATTTGCCCTATGGGCACTATGTGGAGATATTGCAATCCGAAGCGCGCTCGTCACGACCTGCGCCTACATCAGCTGCCATCTGCCATAGCCCCGGTCTTATTTCTCTCTGGCGGCTCGGTCTGCCCGTGATCATTTGGCATATTGTACAGCGCATAGGATAATGACCATGACCCACCCGAGTCTTAACTCCCACGGCGGAAATCCTTTCTGCCGGTCCTCGGTACCCCGGTATCGTGGCTTTTCCAAGGTTTGTCCATGTTCTGGTCCAAGTGGGGCGTGACTTTCCATTTCCCCAGTCCCGAGTTATTAGCAGCCGCAGCCTTAACGCGGTCGTTATGTGGCATGTCTGTTTAATGGGGTATCTTATGTGTGGTTTCATATTGCCACCTGGTACCACCCGAATACTAGCGAGACAGGAGCTGGATGTCTAGATAGAGTAGATGAGTCAAAAGAGATTAGTTTTTCTGTTGCATCTCGATGTTTCTATCATCAGATTGCTTATTGAAATGAACTTTCATATGCCATTGACATTGTGTAATACTTGCAGACAGGGGTCAGCAGCTATGAAGAAAGTCAGGCTGCACAATCGGCCAGACAATGCTTCGCATCATGTAGATGATTGTGTAGTGTCATACATCCGCAGGGATACGTCTACTACCAACGAACTGTTTCGAACGAATCAGACGACTTCGGTATCTTTTTTGGGTGGCCAAAGAAGATGCACAATGGTTGATTGGTAGATACCTTTTTGACTAAGACCTTCTACAAGGGAAATGAGATATCAAACGACTTCATACACTAGCTTTTCCGGTGCACCGAGTTGTAGACTTGTTTTGCTCATCCGGATCCCCGCAAATCCAACTGGAGCCTCTGGTTACACTTCTGGAGTCACAGATGATGACAGCTTGCAACAGCTTGCAAAATTCCACGTCATATATCCACAGAAATAGCAGATTTGGGATGTATCGGTCGGATGCAAGTTACTGCTACTTACCTTGGTAGCTACATATGTAGGAATCCCATGGTGCAATATCACATGATAGATGAAACGTGGGCCTGGTGTGACTTTTGGCAGGGGTCGTGTCCTGGACGATCGGCCTTCCAGGCGCCTGGGTATAGGGTTTGGAATGATCGGGTAGAGAAAGACACAGTTCCCTTCCGCCAGTCCGGGCCTGAGGGCAACCTTGGAAGGGTTGCTGTAAGCGTTCAACCCCCCCGTGACGAAAAAAAAGGCCCCCATCTCTAAACTGGCCTCTTACGTATAGTGGCCTTCTTTATGTCGACCGTCATCTGTCAATCCCGTTTCTCTTCAGGCAAAGCAAGGAAAACCAATGAACACTACAATGAGCTGGCAGACTCGTGACTAGTAGCCTAGGTTTGTGACACTTTCGACTGTCGTGTCCTGTCTAAATAGTCAAAGATAGAAAATCTGGCCAGGATGTGTCCATTCGGAAGATAAAAAGAAAAAAAAAAGAGCGGTAAGGCTGGTTCGCTCTCTGCTTTCGAGTGAAGCTGTGGCTGACTTGCTTTTTTTCATCCACATGATTGAGGTTTGAAGTGATTTACCAGAATATCCCTCAGAATCCTCACCGATTAAAGACGTGTGGATAGAATTTACCTGTTTTGAAACAAAGCAATGCATCTCAAACAGAACACGATCTACGATGGAAGAGGTACGTTGGTTCCCCGGCATGCAGCCAGGCTTGGAACTATCCCTTTCTCCCGGGTAATAGCTGCTTGCGGGGGAAATAGCTGGGGAAAAGCACAGATTTCAGCCGGAATAGACGAAATCAAACAGCCATTAAAGGAATGAGGCGCTTATAGGGAAGTGTATAATCTCCACCGGAGTTATTGCGTTTCGACGTTATTGCCTTGAACCTGTGACAATTGATAATTCCGGCATAATAGGCTCGAGGATAAACGAGCCCCAAGTTCCATATCGGTGACCACAACGTGGCTTGAGATCTTAGACCGATTCCTAGCCTTTTGGACGCGGTGTACCCCATAGTCCAAGCAGAGAGCGTCCGTGACGAAAATAGCTTAAACGCGACATCGGCTTGGTAAGTCAGCCGGACCTTTATCTCTGCCAAAAACCAATCGCTGGCAGTTTGACAGTTCATCAGTCAGTAGGCCTCTCTTTTTACACAGTAAAGAGTCGATTGTCAGTGGCGAGAGGTTGTGCCCAAATGTCAAATGTCCGAACGACCATTGAGATACATTAAGTGGCGTAGAGAGAGCCCTGGTCTGGACTTCCGGCAAGTCACTGCAACTCCCGCGTTGGAGGGTTGCCGTCTTTGGATCTGTACACTTTGACATTTTGTTTTTTGTTTTATTATTTTATTTTACTTTTTTTTTCGCCCCGACAGGTCACAGGCACTCAGAGGCTTTGAAGTACCATTCTTTGATATGAGTGTCTAAGGTCTTTGAAATGCACGGAGTGTAAATGTTTGGGAGTTCAACTTCCCTTCTAGAAACCAATATTGAAGCCCTGAAGGGAACCGTGGTTTCTAACCTTGGAAGGTTGAACTGATATTTAGGTAATCCATAAATCGAAACGGAAACTGGTATTAACATTACCCAGGTATTTTTAGGGGCAACTTCGGAACTTCCTGTCGGAAAGGGAAAGGAAAGTCTAAAGTACTGGGGGAATACAGTTGGAACCATGGTAGGGAGGATCTGAATACATGGACATGGTATCAATGTAATTCAGGGCCCCGTGATGCGATTGAATTTTCCCCCTTCACCGACCATTATCCTCGGCCTGGAGTTATTTCGGGAATTTTATTTTATTTTATTTTATTTTATTCAATTATTTCCCCTTGTATCGTTATGTTCTTACCAATAATTCCAATAATTCTTATTCTTTTTAGGAAATAATTCAATTTTCAATTTTCTTTTTCATTTTCATTTCCATTTTCTTTTTCTTTTAATAATTTATTACCGTCCCCCTCTCCTTCCACTCCACTCCACTAAAGTGCCGCCCCCCGTCATTCTTATTATCGTTCCGACTCCCTTTTCTCTTCTTCCTTCTCCAGATTTTTCTCGTTCACATCACTCTCAACCTACAATCCCTTCAATCCTGAAGGATTATCCCAATCCGCTCTTTCAACACCCGCTCCGTTTCTCCGACTCTTCGCCCCGGAATCTCCGCACTGTGGCGCTCTGACGGAAAATTGACGGACATCCGACGCCCGATTCTTCACTTCACTTAAAAATCCAAATTCTTTTGCAACTCGCATCTTTCGCGTGAGAATTCGATTGCATCCTAGACGCCAAACCCGATTGATCGACTCTCTGCAGCACACTGCAGGGCCCAGACTCAAATTTCAAGGCCCATTCCAGAAACCGGCCGATTCTTACGAACTTCCACCACCGCATCTCAAGCGCCGTACGACCACTCTCGGGGAGACGGCGACCCCGGAACATCAATCAAACATTTTCGATAAGTACAATAGCTTCACTGCTAGTTGTGGCGTCGCGAAAATGCCTTTAACGACACCGGTTCTCACGGTGGACGCGGACAATATTCATAAGGTGGATACCGCCAACGCTCAAAGTCTTCATGGAATGTGGATGGGTAAGTGACAATTCTACAGGTCGAGGGATATTTTTTTTTTGCTAACCAATTGTGCAGTCTTTTCCAAATGTGCCGACTACATGGACCAGGGCCGTCGACTTGAAAACCTCAGTTGGCGGTTGTGGACTCGCGAAACCTTCTGTGTCGAACCTGAAAAGTCTAACAGCACTTCTGCCCTCCCATTGCTACGATCCGAAGCTGGGGATTTGCCCGAACTCTCCGCCAGTGTCGAGTCGGCCGCATCTGACCAAGCCGAGCGAATCGAAGCTCATATCAAGCGTCCCAAGTTTTCCGACTATCGACCAGCTGTTGTTCGCGAGGACTCACTAGCCAGCCTCGGCCGTGGCAAAGAGAAGCACATCACCTCGTTGGATTTGGAGCGGATGGTCCTCAACATTAAGGAAAAGAAGCAACTGGAGCCCATGCCTACTGTCGAGCCTGCTGCCCCCGTTGTTGACATTACTCCTCGCCCATCCACCCCCACCCCCACTCCTCCCTCCGTCTCTACCGCTCGTCAGGTCCCTAATTTCTCCGTCCGACCGACCCCATACCCTCATGAGTCGACTGAATCCTGCTCGACGACTGCCCCCGAGGGCAACGAGAGCGACTCTGCACAGGTCAACGCGTCCGATACTAGCGTCTCATCTTCCGGAATTCTTCCCAGCCGACCTCAATTAGTCAAGTCTACCAGCATTGTTCGTGGATTCTCTCCATCACACATTTCATCTTCATTCAGATCCCAACCAAGACTGTCTATCGAGCCTAGTCCTTCTCGTTCTGCTACGCAACTGAAGCCTTCTCCCTTGAAGAAGAAGGGAGGCATGTTTACATTGGGCGGATCCTCTGGGGATGACGATGAAAGCTCGTTTGAAGAGCGCATGGTTCCCCAGGCGGCCCAGGAGAACGCGACCGGGGCGTTGAAACCGAAAAACAATACAGACCCTACGAAAAAGACTGCTTCCTTCAGCAATCAGGTCTCGTCCCACATCATTCCTAACTCGAAGGACATCAGTCGATCCGACGAGGACGCCATCGAGACCGACGATGAAGTCTCGGAGAGTGCGATCGAAGATGACGAAGATTCTGATTGGGAAGATTCCATCACTGAAGGTGGCGAGTCCAGCGTTGACGAACAAGGAGGAATGTTCCAACGGGTTGACTCCCGACCCAATTTGGTCTCGCGCCGCTCGATGCTCACTATGATGATGCACCAGCCGGCCCGCATGCAAGGGAACGCGTTCCGGTCCAGTCCCGCACTTCAACGATCGCGGTTGACCTCACCCAGCGGTCCATCTATCCCCCAGTCCCCTCCCAGCAACGAAGAGGAAAGTTTGGTCATGCGTGGTCCCGATGTTCCCCGATCGAAGCCTATTGTCATGAATACCAACGCTTCGCAGTCTATGGCACACTCTCCACGAACCACCCGTCGTAACATGCTTGCTACTGAATTGACCGAGTCTCTCCGCCGACATCTTCTCTGGGAGCGCCAGCAGAAGAGCGCAACTGCGAACGCTTTCCTCAAGCGTCGCCACACCGCCCACGACATGAAGAACCTTCAGGAGTATCCTGGTCCTAAGGGTCCCCACAAGGGAGTTGGTCCCAACCAGGCTAGTGCTGAAGCAGACCCTAATGCTGCTGACCTGGGCAAGAATGGCTCCTGGACCAACTACACCACTGACTACGGTCCCTGGGAGTACCATGTGAAGGGATGGTAGTCAGTTCGCCTGCGATTCACTTCCCCTACTCGCTTTTCGAGTTTCTTTTCAGACAAGGCTTTGCAACACAGCACAGCTTTTCTTTCTTGACACGTACAATCACGATCATGCATTGCATATATGGCGCATCTGGGATTCTTTTTTCTTTCTGCTTTGTCTTTTTCTCGATCTCATCGGCTCCGAGGCCGGGATGTTGTCACAGCATTCACTGGGCGTTTGTCCTGCATGGAGGGTATGAATACCAATTTCGAGGGCTATTTCTTACGACCTTAATATCCATGTACAGCTCATATCCCTCGTGCTTTTTTCGGGTCACCAACGGTTGATGCCACATGGGTTCTGTTCTTTTTGCGTCTTGCTTTCCAAGATATTTCCGGTTGGCTTTTTCATGCCCGGAAAGTTCACAAAAAAGGGGTTTATTTTATCATCTATCTCAGCGCTGCGTCTTTTACTGCATGTCCATATTTGACTGCAGAGAACGCCTAGCATTATTTCACTACTCCCGATTATGATCGGAGAGATAGTCATGTTCTTTTTGCTTTCACTGCGATACTTGATACCACACGTTTACGTCTTGCAATTCTTCATCCGGCACCGGTCTCCCCGATCGGGCCATTTGTACGCTACATGATGACAGCTAAAAACAAAAAATCCAATGAATGAAATCAGAGAAAAGCTGTCCTCACATGCATATCGTATTTCCTTGACTGCAGCCTTGGATATCAGAAGAAAGAGGCTTGCATAGGCCTGAATTGGCGGTCTGGATCCATTTTGTACTGTAGTAGCTAGCTATAGCTCTGCTGCAGAGCACGGAGGATAGCAGAGGTCCTCAAAGCCTTGTGATAACGGTGCCAAATCAATCATGTGGAAATTCAGGGTTGACTTTGTGGCGCTGACACGTATGAGAGATGAGTCTTATGGCATAAGACTGAGACTTGTCTGCATGTACTTCGCATGCGAGTGGTCATGATGCATTCTGATTATATTGCCTGACTACAGGAGTTAAATGGTACTTGACTACACCCATACTTCTTTGAGATATAACCTGATACAATGTACTCCTACAAAGTGCCGTATGCTGTACTCCCCATAACCAAGAAGATCTTGATCTAAACCACACCCGGGGCGTCAACAAAGGGAACGAGTTACACTCCATTATGAATCGAATCGAATCATTGAATCTCTTAATGCAGTACCACCTGCCTAGCTAGACAGGCTTTGAGAAGAGTTTAGCTATGAGTTCATGAATGGACGTTTCAGTGACAATCTCCGCCGATCCTTCCCGCCAAAAATATAAAGGTCAGGTGGGATGCAAAAAAAAAATTCCAATACAGGGGCAATTAAACAGCAGCGCGATATCCCGGGACCCCCGTCCGGAATCTTGGGAAATATGTCAAAAGTACCTCTCTCTCTCCCGGGAAACTGTTCGCGCAGATCTAGAACACCAGAAACTCGGATTCCCTTTTTTTTTTTCCTAATTATAATTTGACCCATATCATGTATCACATCATGATATTCTAACATTGAAGGTTGTGATGTCGATATTTGATATTACGAGTTAATATAACCCCGTATAGCCCCGGAGTCTTCGCTGAAGAGAGTTTACATCTTCCAAAACTGGCCCGATCGAGCCGCGAGATCCTCGGTGACATCTTCTTTGTTCGGCTTCGCACTGGTCGCTAGCACATGCGACGAGAAGCTATGTCATCTTTACATTAGTTTATGCCAAAGCTCCCGCGGAACGCGGGAGGTGGTGGTGGGCTTGAAATCGACTCGACGAGATACGTGCTCAGTTCGCGGTGGCTTTCTCGCCCTGCATGGTTTGCAGGGCCAGCTCAGCGGAGATCTTGGGGGTGTGTGGGATATATGAGGGGGTGAGGGTGATTAGATTGGGCTTGCGTTGTGTGGCTGGCTAGGTGACTTCTAGGCCTGTACTTTGGATTTTGTATCTCCCTTGATCTTGAGTTAATCCTGGGTCTATTCAAGCGTGGGATTGTGCTATGGTACTCTGTTCGATGTACAAACTACCATCTACTCCTAATGGAAGGTGTAGGAAAGGAATCACGTTCCGTTGGAGGGCCTCATTATGACACTATGAGTAATTGTAATTTGTGTTTACATGGATCTTGTCTGAGTTATGCGTGTTTTCATCATGGTTTTGCCTCCGCTTACATTTTTGCCATGTCTTACCTACCTAGGTAGTGGTGGTGGGAGTTGCCTGAAGGATGAAGATTGACGTGCAGATCTTAACTGAAGGCTGTACTGAAGGAGTTGTATCACGTTGATGTCATTATTGGCATAATTGCGTTTTCATATGTCTCCTCGGTTGGATATATGCTTATTTTCATCAAGAGATGTGTCAGAATTGTGTGCAATGCCAATAGAAGGAGTCTTATACATTGTAGTCCTCAATACCTAGGTATGGTTTACCGGGTGTCCACAGTAAAGTCATGTGGTAGCTGCACATGACCGGCGCACATGATCCGGGGGTGGAGCCGCTGGATTTTGATGCCCGAGATCCATTTCTATATTGTATTCTCCCATCTTCCTCTCTTTTGGCGGTCGCATCTCATATATATGAAAAGTGTTAATACGAGATCAATGATATTATCAAAGGTACGGAGTAGTCCTGTCCAGTTGGTCCCGCAGTGTTTCAACCAATGACGTATGCACAAGCTTCCTGTCTCCAACTTTGAACGGGTGTGGGGATGAAGACTTTTCCCCCTAAATTGCCCGACGCCGTTTCCATCCTGGGAAAGTCTCCAGTCTTTCCGGTCATACCCGAGTCGTGGGGCTCTAGTATGAACCATTCAATGCTTGGGAAACCAAGAATCAAGAACCAAATGAAGCCAATGACATGGATATAACAGATCCCATGTCAAATTGAGTACACCTCACCGAAAAATGCGATCTTGGCAATATACAACCAAGGTCATATACTTTTATATCTCACGCCCCTTTCCTCCTAACAACAACAGAGAAGTAGCGGAGATGAAACAAGAGCCTCTTCTAGAGCCATCACCAAAACTCTTCAGAACATACATTGTGTGCGCATTCCAGCCTCCATTTCCAGAACCCACCTGCCCTGTTAGGGCTAACTCCTCTCTGACCCGGCCCGGCCAGATGAGTCTTCTTGATCTCAGCTTCACACAGGCCACAAAGTGGATATTGCAGTGGATCGCTCACAACCAGGGACAAACATTATTCGCTGTCTCCTTTTTCACGCGTCTCACCGGTACTGAAATGTTTATAACTGACACTGTACACATGTGACAGCCTTAGCTCCGCATTTCCTATTCGGGCCTTCATACGACTTGTTATGTTATGGGTACCGCGTACTAACCCCCACGGACCGCTCCACGATCAAGGCTCTTAGGCAGAGGCGTTGTGGTTAAGAAAAAGTGGATATCGCCTCCTTGCTGCAAGATTGACGCCTAACTGGCTCATCGGGTTGGTGATGTGCGCCCGACGTGCAATCGGCAAGCCGATGCAGCGTGCATCGTGCAGCATGCCCACAAAAGCTACAATTTGCGAGGATGCAATGATATCGCTTCCGTGAGCTGGAAATGGAGGGTGTTTTCAATATTCAAAGATTGAGGCACCTTGCATACAGCTTCGGTCGCTTTGTCTAGGCTCTTTGATGATTGAGGCGAATCCTAGACGCGCAAGAATCTTCGTTGATTTCTTCTCGGTCGTCCTCCACTACGAAGCGATCGGCCAACCATGACGCGTGCAATCTCTGTCTACTCCATAGGCCTCTCGAGCTCTAGAACAGAACCCGATTTTTGTTTCGATGCCGTATTTTAGACTTAGGCTATGCTTTACTGACTTCTTGTTATGCTTTCAATTCAGGGACATCTCTATCATCTTGGCATTAATGCTGCACGACGACAGATATCTACCGTCTCAAGTCACTTGACAATATTTGCCATCGTATATGACATCCCACGTTTCGTGGCCGTCCCGAATTAACTGCTACATCACATCGATTATTATTAATATTCGGCGAAATCCCGAATGAAGCGCTCGGGATTGGCCCCCGCCCGTTTTCCCTGGCCCAAAAAGGAAATTGAATCTGCAAAACTCAACCCAATTACGGCGCCCGTGATTGGCCAAATCCTTATTCGAGACCTTCTGGTGGAGAACGGTCACGTGTATCAGCGCTCCCAGGAGCCCTGTACTCCGAAACCCCGCAAGCTGCCAATATCGTCAATTGCTGTCAGATGGTGAGAATGGAATAGCATGGGTCGTAGTAAGAGCAAATTCGAACGCATATACTGAATGGCAAATCGACGTCAATAGAAATGCCGACATGTGCTCAAACCCGGAAACTGCAAGCTATACCCATGGTCAAACGCGCCAACGCCCACGGAAGACCGTGCGAGATTCTGGAAGGCTTCTGGAAGGATGATCCGGTTGGCCGGTGTGTTCCAGGTCCGATTTGCGCCTTTCCGCTTTCGGTGTTTTACTTACTGTACTGTATTTGTATCTTACATTACCATATTGTACAGCGGAAGGATCAGTACCGCGGAGCGGAGCTCCCATACCGATGTCTTTCTTACAATACAATTGACCGAGGCTCAAGATCAGTGCCCCTTGTAGATGCGGAGGTTCTTCGGCTGAATGGGCCATTTTACATGTTCTTGAGAATAGCTTTTATTTTGCATCTACAGCTCGGCTATCATATTCCGGACAACCTAGCCATGTGGAATGCTACATCTAAAACGCAGAGTATATCTTGTAACTCCCCGATTGGGCTGGATACCGGTGTTCTACTAGCGGCAGCCACAGACAGGGTTTATGCACAGATCACGGAGTACGGAGTACAACACCAGAGGTTCCACTATACATCCGAGTGACCTCCAGATAGCCTCACCAAAACCCGTTTCCTTCAATCATGGTTTACGCCACAGCTGTTGTGTGGGATTTGAGAGTTACCTCTAGATCGAGGTCGAATTCTCTCTGTATCTGTACAACATAGTACGTACATTTACTTTGTCGCACAGTTCAATTTCCGGGGCTTGGATCCACTCCCTCATCGATTCCTTTTCTCTTACCTTATTACTCCGTACTTTACGTTAGATGCCCTAAATGTCGGGGTAGACACGTAAAACCCACCCGATATGTGTCATGTAAGTTCAGTACCTAGGTAGAGGTCGAAATATGACTACACACTCAAGCCATCCCCAGTGCTGAAAAGAACTATTGAAGATAACCGTTCTGTCTAATGGATCGATGTCGTATCCCGGACTAAACGCATACCCTGGCGAAGGCGCACCCATGGCGCAGGGATACGGGAATTCTAGAAACTCGAAAGCGAACCCCTCATCTTCTCCGCGCAACGCGGACCGACCGCTGTCCGTGACTGGTGGCCGTTGAGGACATTGCCCTGAGCTTGTTGCGACCATCGGGTCGTATTGCTCCGGTGAAGGTTAATCTTTTCTCGCATATTATCATGGCCTCGCTGGCCGGTGTTGGACCCTTGCTAAAGGGGATATCCCCCGGCATGGATGTGGGAGATAAGGCGCATGGCGCGCTCCGTGTAGTATATGCTCTGCTGACAGACTTGAATTCGGAATCTTGTTTCCCATCCTGCCACTTATTCCGGTGGCTTTTGCTTTTATGTTTTCTGTATGCAACGGTGCTGTGTAGGTAGATTATTGCCAATCGATGTTAGTATTTGGTTGGTTTTGCTTCCAGTTGCGGCTTCGAGCATGAACGCCACAGCATTGGGTTGCGACTTGGACGTGAAATGACGAAGGCTATACTTGAAATGATATTAAACGTGAGGACTCTGCAGTGGTTATCATTATTAATATTTGTGAGTCTGTACTTATACATTGTACAACATGCGATGTAGGCAATAATGAGTACTAGAGTTAGACAGGGCAGATCTACCAGCCAATTGTTCTCCATCTTAGACCACCGAACATTCTAGTCATTTTCGACTAGAAACCTCCAATCCACCTTGCAAAATCGATTGTGACTAACCCCAGTATGACTGGAAATGAGTCAACAGGCGAATATCAAGGCAAATGAGATCATCGGGTCCGCCTGAAGTCTTGGCGCTCGCCAGTAAAACCGTAAACAACTATAACTTCGTGTATAGCTTCATATCTTTCAGACCTTAAGCCCTGGAGATACATACTGGTTTGTGACCGATTTTGACATTTGACGTCACGTGGTATCTCTTCACAGTTTTCGTTTTTCCTTTCATTTTTGCTTAGCGCCGTGACTTTAATCGCTACAAAAGTTCAGACGGTCGCACATCTCGGCTTACTTACTGCGCAGATCTGGTCCTGTCGATCTCCTCAAGGTCACCCGATCTCTGCGTTGGCAGCGCGCGTCACCTCCAAGTCGCCTAGAACCGGACCATTGCACTCTGGATCATCTTTCGCAACACGGCTCGAAGCTCAGTTTCAGCATGGAGAATAGGTCATTTGACGATGCGGGTCCAACACCCCAGATCCAAGGTGAGTCAAGCATATTCTATTATTGGCTCGTAAAAGCCATCCAGCCGGAACCTTTTCTCCCAATCAATTTCACGAGATCTACTCTGTACTTGGGCGGATTATCTCGGTCGACCCTCCACAGGCTTTCGTATTCTCAGCCCCCCCTGTTGCATGTCCATGCACCACATGTTGCATCAGCCACAAAGCCTATCAATCCCCCATATTATCTCGTCCGAGAGCTTTGTTGGCGTGCAGGGTGGCTCCGGTCTGCCAATACGTCTGGATCGGAGGCGGCCGCCCGCAACCTTTTTGATCACACGCTCATGATCCCTTTGTTGAACAGGTACAGAGCTGCCGTCCTCTTTGACAACTGATGAGTTGGCAGCGGTCCGGTCGCATGGTGTTGCATCCACCGATGAACCGAGTGCTGCTCGCCAGTCATCGCCTCGGCGGCAGAAATGTCGCTTTTTCAAATCCAAAAAGGGTAAGTTTGCGTTCTGAGTTTCTTTCTGTAAGGGCTCTTTGTCTGTTTTGTCACTGCAATGATCAACGCGTCATTGAATACGGGCTGGGTGCCACAAACGGGCCCCTTCGGGAATGCTTGTACACACCAATATGCTATGTTCACCCAAAGGGTCAATGATGCCGAGGCTATTATCAGCATCGTATGATCTGTGCCCTAAATCTTTTACGCATGTATTCTCGGGGGGTTGTAGTTTGCTAGGAAGGCGGTGTTTCGTTCAGGTCATATGCTAATATTGTTCAAGGATGCCGACTTGGAGCATCATGTCCGTATCTACATGATGCCTCGGCCATAGAGGCTAAACAGCCTTCTTCGGGGCAGCAGACACCTGCCCAGTTCTCAGGAAGTGAAAGCCAGAGTTCGGCACAAGCCCTTGTCACTGGGGCCGAGAGGTTGGAGATTGGTGAGAACCAGTCGAAGCAGAGCTCTGTCGCAGGTTCTGTACAGCCCCAAAGACCAGTTTCAAAATTGGAGCAGTCAGATCCAAGAGAGTTCCAAATCAACCAGTTGAGGCGGCGTTACCGTCCACAGGAAGTCAATGATGCTCAGGGTACTACTTTGACTTTTGGCTTGGTACCTTCTGATCCAGATTTCCCCTTTGAGCTTGAGAGACTCCACTGTGTCCTTCATGTCCCAAGCTCATACCCAAAAGGGCGGCCCACGCTTGCAGTGACCAATTCTGAAATGGAAGCTGCGTATCAAGCAAATGTCGTCAGAGGCTTCAATGAGATTGTCGATTTTACGTACCGCACCAACAGCCGAGGAACTCTTTTGGCCTGGCTGAACAGTCTGGACCGAAAACTCGAATCATTACTAACCACCCTGGAACGTGGGCCAACGCTAAAGTTTTTCGCCAATCTTGGTGATGGGTCCACAACTAAAGAACCTACCAAGGCCCCGGAAAAGACTAGCAGCAACGACCTAAGCCAGCCGAGCTTGTCTCAAGGCCATAGTAAAACGGCAAGTGTTGCTGCTAAGCCAGTACCACAAGCACGAACTGTAGCACCCAAGCACACAGCCGAAGCAAAAGCCGCAGCTGAGAAACGACGAGCAACCGAGACGAAACAGCTCGAAGCTCGCCTTGGAAGACTGCCGATGTACCAAAAGCTGCCAGATGGCAGGACATATATTGTTCCCATCCAGCCCACCAAGAAGGATCGTCTGCCGCGAACACTTCAAGCGCTCAAGACTGTGAAATTGATCGTGCCACCACTCTACCCGCTCGAGCACAGCTCAATCAAGTTGCAGGGAGTGGAAGGCCCCGAAGTGAAGGCCACAGAAGTGGGATTCACTCAGTGGGTAGAACAGACTTCACAGCTGAGTCTGGTATCTCAGATCAACTACCTGGCGAGCAACATCCATAAATTCGCTGAAACGCCCTTGCCAAAAGAGCAGGAGGCCGCTGAGGATGTACCTTCCACTTTTGGAGAGGACGAGGGTGAGAATGTGGAGGAACCTACGAAAGCACCTGCCGCATCCTTAACTCAAGATAGTGAAGACAAGCCACATCTTGTTGTCATTCCACGGCCACCCGAATGGTCTGTTCCTAATCCCAACAGTGGCACTGAGGGGGACATCGGACGAATCGAGTTATGACGAAGACGAGTATTCAGATGAAGAGGAAGACGAAGAAGGTGGCGCACCCGTTCCCGCATCAGTGGACAACAACGCGCCCGGACGAGGAGTCGCACTTTCTTTCCCATTCTTGGAGCTCTACGGAATTGAGCTGCTGGAACTCGCGAGTCTCAATATCACAATCAAATGTGACAGATGTAAGGTGTCGCTCGACGTCAAAAACGTACCACAAATCACCGACGAGAAGGGCCAGATGCCGAAAATGGAGTCGTGCCGGAAATGCGCTAATAATATGAGTGTTGGTGGGTATACACTTAATCTCATTCACCTTCTCAGATGAGTTACTGACTCTCATGTGCAGCGTTCCGGAAGCAGTTGATGCATTCCCATGCCAATCGTGCTGGCTACCTTGAATTGGGGGGCTGTACGATTGGGGACATGCTTCTCAGGTTGGTTCTGTCATTCATATTAGTAAATGTCATCTGTTGACTCACCTTGCTATAGCGACTTCATCCCGACATGCTCCGAGTGCTCGACTGCCCATCCGGCACCTGGTATATCTGCAGTCCGTGGCGAGAGTGCCATGGGTATATGCCGCCAGTGCCATCGCAAAATGGGTATGTCCTAATACGCAACATAGTGTGTTGCTTAGGTACTAACATATCCGAAGTTTTCAAAATCCCTGAGGTGAAATTCCTTCTAGTGGGAAGTGCAGCAAGTAAGTCCCGATCAAACCCGCCTAAAACGCTTTTGCTCATTGGTGTACCATCCAGTCACTGCTCGTGGAGCTCTCCCGCGCAAAAGAAAGGTTCGTACAATCTACAACGCATCGTCATGGTAAAATCTAATAAGTACCTCAGCCTCAGGAAGTCCTCGGCATTGTCGCAGGACAAGAACTTCCGCGTCGCGGTCGTTGCCAGCACTATGCTAAGAGTCAACGCTGGTTCAGGTATGTGATTACGGCACTCGGCGAACAGGTTATATTAACCCCCCTACAGATTCAGCTGCTGCTCGAAAGTCTTCCCTTGTGACAAGTATGATTTTCCACTCGATATGCATCCCACTTCATATGCTTATGATTTATCTAGATGCCATGACGCGGAAACCGATCACCCGAACGAACACGCAAATCGTATGATATGTGGCTACTGCTCCCGCGAGCAAATCTACAGACCCGAGAACTGTGGTATCTGCAAAGCAGTCCTGATTGGAAAGGCTGGTAGTGGGTTCTGGGAGGGCGGAAAGGGGACGAGAAATCGGGCTCTGATGAGTCGGAAAGGTATGTTTTTCGGTCTCAGTTCCTGTGAGAACTCTCGTCTAACATGGCTCTAGATCCGAGGAAATTTAAGCGGATTGGAGGCAATGCTCCCACTTCGAGCTCATCGAAGCGGAAGTGAATAAGGGCGAGAATAAAAATATTATATATCTCACTATGGCCCTGCTTGGGGTATATAACAGTTTATTTCAATCTTAGCAAAAGGCTTCTCCCAACGGAAGTCGTGGAAACCTAAACATAACATCATCAGTGTCTCATCTTAGTTACCCACGAGAAAACATTGAAGTCACATTCCCATTCTTTCTGTTACTCAACCGGGTCGAACGTCTACATCAACGAAATGTCTATGATACTGGGAGCGCTAGAAGCTGCCATCTGCGCTGCCATATGGGTGGTGTTATTTCTAGTCAGTATTGCTACTTTTGGTACGTCTTCGTCCCGATACACCCCGCTTCCTATTTGCTAAGAGAAATGCCTAGGCCTGGCGATACAGTGGCTGGCGACAAACCCGGTCGCCACATGGACAAAGAAAACGTGCACGTTCTCGCCGGCAAAGAAGAAATGGATGGATGATAAGAAACGCTTGCTCGCTGAATCAAAGGCCATATTAGATCGCGAAGCCTTGATAGACAATCTTCAACGAGAAGAGGACGAGATGGCTAAAGAAGTTATTGATGCTGCTGGTCTAGAGTCGATGGCCGTATTGGGAAGATGTCTGGATGAACATTGGTTTGAGATTCGACAGAATTGGCGGGACCTTTCGGACTTGCTGGATCGATACTGCGATTAAGATTGGACTTGAGATAAACGTACCTAGGTAGGGTTACTGGATGATGGATGACTAGATGGTAGGGGGTTGCTTCATTTGGCTTTTAGGGATTTGGCTTAATAAATGGTAAGGATAATGCCTTGTTTCGGATGCCTCCTGTTATAAAAGAAAGTAGGTACTTGTTTTTCCAAGATTCTAAAATTGCTTCGGTCTCTATTAAGTATATCTTAACTTCTATGTCTTCAATGCTTCTATAGTAGTAAGCTAGCCATTATCATAGGGAAGCCGGAGTGCACAGAAGCTAACGATACCATATATCCCAAGTGCAGACTTGAGTTACAAAACTAGGCAGACCATGAGATGATTCGAAAATGCTTATGAAGGAAAAGTCCCTATCGCTAAATACAAAATGAAAATTCCAAAGCAGAAAGGGCTCATCAAGAAAAATGCCCGACTATACAAATTTTTAAGTCCTTAAATCAAGTTACCGCGCAGTTCCTGCTCTCGTTCAATAGCCTCGAATAGTGACTTGAAATTGCCAGCTCCAAAGCCTTCGAAATTGTGGCGCTGGATAATCTCAATGAACACAGTTGGCCGGTCCATCATGTGCTATTTGTAAGGTTAGTATAAAGTAGCGAATACTGGAGTCATCAGTTTCCACATACCTTAGTGAAAAGCTGCAGCAGATAGCCACCCTCATCGAAATCAATCAAAATATCCAAGCTACGGATGGTCTCGAAGCTTTCCTTAAGTACCAAGCCAGACTGCTTCAAGCGGGCCTGCATATCCGTGTAGTATGTGTCGGGAACCTTGATGAACTCCACACCCCGTGCCTTGAGATTGGTGATATCACGGATGATATCGTCTGTGCGAAGTGCAATATGCTGTACACCAGCGCCGTTGTAGAAGTCCACGTATTCCTCGATCTGGGATTGTTTCTTGCCCTTTGCTGGCTCGTTGATGGGCATCTTGACGATCTCGTTGGGCGAGGCCATGACAACACTACTCAAAGCTGAGAATTCACTATCATTATAAGGTTAGTCATGCTGCCAGATATCAGAGAAAATATATTAAAACACTCACGTGCAGATTTCGTTGTCATCGACGGACCAGAAACGGTGGAAGCCGAGAGCCTTCTCGTAGCTAACCAGTGGTATCAGTAAATGAGACTCAATCACACAGTCTGGGCCAAACTCACTATTCACAGATCTTATCCATCTCATCCCAGTCCTGGTTTCCAACACAGTGATCGATATGCGAGAGATGAACACCAGGCAGGAACTTCACAATGGGATCCTCATTGGCAGTCTCGGCACGGTACCCTGGCATAAAGGTACCGCGGTACTCGCTGCGCTCAATAAGGGTATGGGTGGTCTGCCCATAAGTCTGGATGGTAGCAGTCTTGACACGGCCACTCTTATCTTCAAGGACCTTAGGGTTAGAGACGGCCTTAGCGCCATTCTTCACAGCGGCAGAGAAGACAGCATCGACATCGTCAACCTCAAAGGCAACATCCTTGACTGCATCACCGTGCTTCTCGAGGTGGTCATGGATCTCCTTTAGCTCGGCTTGCTCCTCGGGATCGAAACGGTCGATTTGGTCAAGGGACCGCAGAGGGGAGCTCAGAATGAAGGTGATATCGCCGTTGCGGATAACATGCGAGCACATGTGGCGGCTGCTGGTTTCAAGACCCTTGTAGGCGATGCGCTTGAAGCCCATGCGGGTGATGTAGTAGCTTGCGGCTTGCTTGGCATTACCAACGTACCAGTGCACATGGTCGTAACCGCGGTAGCTGGCCACTGAAGATGCATCGGCAACTGAGGGAGGAGGGCTATTGGAAATAGCTGAAGGCGCCATTTTGCTAATACTGTATGTTTGTGATGATATTGGTAGATGGAACTTAGATGGTAGTTCAAGATGAGAGGTGGCGATTTTGGATTATTTGATGTCCAGTCCACCCCTTCCCTTTCTTTTAAATAACTGGATCCTCTATTAACCGTGTCTCCGCGGGTATGTCTTCCAATCCACTTTGTTGCTGACCTTTGGACGGCTTGTCCTGTGCGGCTATTTCAGGATCCTGAAATATCCGGAGATACCCGGACCCGCTGAGATCATCGTTAACATCCGCCTGAAGATCAATTTCATAGATTCTCAATGCTCGGGAGATTTTGTTCTGTTCTTCAATTATTGCGACCGTAGCGAGCCTATTCTGAATTGATTCTCACAATACTCACAGCCTACTGCCTCAACACCAAATCCCAAGATGACGTCCATCACCACTGCTCGCCCATCATTGACATCAAATGATTCGGCTGTACTACAAGCTCTATTTGATGCCGAATCCTCTCCATCATCGGGATTCACCGTTGATTCATCGCTACCACCATGGCCAGCATCTGTGAACATTTCTGAAACAGACTTGGCATCGCTCAAGCAGCGTGAAACAGACATTATCCGCAAGCTGCAATCGAACAAATCACCAAGTATAGAGACAGTCCAGTCAGCACTGGACGACTTTGACACTCTCATCACCGAGCATCCAACATATCCCTCCGCATACACAAACCGAGCACAAACACTCCGCCTGCTGGTCGATCTGACCTACAGCAAAGAAGCGGGTAGTGATCAAAGCACTGAGGGCGAGATATCCGATGCGGCTCTCTTTGCCCCACAAACCTCCCAGCTCTGCTCCCGCATCTTCTCTGACCTAGGTCAGGCTATAACCTTTGCCACGCCTGCCTCTCCTGCCGATGCGGTGTCGACAACCCAGGCGCGGTTATTGGCTGACGCGCACACGCATCGGGGATACTTGCTTCTCAAAGCGGCGCGCATGAAGAAGGCTGGCTCGGGTGATGAGGCGGGCCCGGAGCGTCTGCGTGCACTTTCGGCTGATCAGCTTGAGGAAATGGCTAGTCGGGATTTCTTTTTTGGGGGTCGCTATGGGAATAAGGTTGCGCAGCAACTTTCTGTGCAAACGAATCCTTATGCTAAGATGTGTGGGGCTATTGTTAAGGAGGCGATGAAGAAAGAGCTTGAGGGGTGAATAATGTATATCATGAAGTAATTTAATTTATGAAGTTGGCATTTGGAATGACGAACATTTGAAGCAATAATGAGAAACAACTTTGATAGATTCGATGGAATTCTGGTATCTTGTTATGCTATAGAGCTAATTGAAAATGTGCACATATCCTCATCGCAGTGCTCAAGGCCCATAGCTTAGGCCTTTTTGTTAGGGTTTACAAAGTGCCGCTTCAGAGGCTTCCAGCTGTGCTCGTTATATTCTTCCTGCACTTTCTGGCAGGTCTTGAGACCCCACTCCGAGACGCCCACCATGTGAGAACTAAAGCATTGTCAGCAAATATAGCAAGCCTCGGCATAGTAGCGGAAATCGAACTAACCTTTCAAACATGAAAGCCATACTTCCGTCACCTACCTTTTGAGGCTTCAGCTCAGCATTGCTAGCTCCCTCGAAAGCACCCGAGTCGGGACCGTGTGCACTCATGACGTTGTGCAAGCTGGCACCAGCAGGCTTGAACCCTCCACCAACCTTCGCATCGTAGTCACCAGAAATCAGACCCATGAACTCTGACATGGTGTTACGGTGATACCACGGTGGGCGGAAAGTGCCCTCTGCGACGAGCCAGCGAGGAGGGAAGATGACAAAATCAGCAACGGCAGTACCAACGTGGTCCGAGGGAGCCGTCAGCACGGTGAATATAGAAGGGTCAGGGTGGTCGAATGAAATCGAACCGATTACATTGAATCGGCCGAGATCGTACTTGAAGGGGTAGTAGTTGCCGTGCCATGCGACAATATCGAAGGGCGTGTGGTTCTGTCGCGCGGAGAAGAGAGTGTTGTTGAATTTGCTGTAAAGCTTGTACTCGCTTTCCTCTTCGTCGTCGAAAGCGGCAACGGGGGCTTGGAAATCGCGTGCATTGGCCAGGCAGTTGGATCCAATGGGGCCCAGCTCTGGGAGCTGGTAGTGGCCCTGGTATAATTCACAGATGTATCCCCGCACAGGGCCGTCTGGGAGCGTCACTCGGTATCTAACAGAAGTGATTAGTTATTGATGACATGTAGGGCATAGAAGACACCAACCTAACACCACGAGGGATAACGCAGATCTCATTTGGTCGCAGAATAATGCGACCGAGCTCTGTCTGGATGTCTAGCACACCATGCTGAGGCACAATTAGGAAGTCTCCGTCTGCGGAGTAGAAAGCTTCCTTGCCCATGTCCTTGCCTGCGGCATACATCAAAATACCCAACCCCTGCTTCTGAGTTGGGTCTCCAGACCCTGCGATTAGGTGCAGTCCGTGCACCCAGTCAACCTTCTCATCTAGATCGAAGGGGTTCCATCGCAGCTGGTTAGGGATATGGTGAAGCTTGTGGGCCTCGGTTGTCATCCTCGTATGGTACGAGTCGGCATCTTCCGCGACGAAGTTCTCATGGGCTGCTGCGGGTATAATTCGGTAAACCCATGTCTGCTTATTCTCATGGCGAGGTGCAGTGAATGCCGTTCCCGAGAGCTTTTCAGCGTAGAGCCCATAGGGAGCTTTCTGCGGGGAATTTTGACCGATTGGCAGAGCTCCTTCGACGGCTTCGGTCCTATTTACTTATTAATTTGTTTTCATTTGTGCCGGAAACTATGTGTATACATACTCGTGATACGAGTCGAAGCCCGTCTGGTACTTATAGGGATCAGGGTGGCTGAAATTAGTGACAGGCATATTGGCAGTGGTGTCTGATGTTGGATGATGCAGACCTCTTAATCAAATACCCCAGATCAACCTCGGATCTCCTCCAGAAGCAAATGTGAGGTCACATCATTCCGCGGGAATCTGATAATTCCCGCGATTATCCTTCGTTCCGCACCGGCTGGATGCGGGGGCAGCGGACCAATTCCGCCCTACGTCGAGGGGCTAAACATCATAGTTAGGTAGTTAAGCCCCGTGAAACTCGCTTTCTCTTTCTTCATACTTCTCAAACATCAATTCATTATGACTTCTTGGCTCCAGATTCCCAAGAACTCGCCGTTCTCACTCGCCAACATCCCGTTCGGCATCATCTCAACACAATCTGCACCAAAGGCAGCTGCAATTGCAATCGGTGATCATGCATTGAACTTGAGCGCATTCGCTTCGTCTGGAGGCTTCTCACAGCTACCAGCTATTGAGCAACACCTGGCTGTTTTCAGCCAGCCGACACTGAATGACTTCGCTGCACTTGGTCGCCCTGTGCACCGACAAGTGCGCGAGTATCTACAAAACGTCTTCCGCGCCGACACAAAGTTCCCACAGGTCCTTAAGGACAATGCATCCCTCCAAAAATCAGCCTTGCTCCCCTTGTCCCAGGTCACCAATCATGTTCCCATGCAAATTGGCGATTACACTGATTTCTACGCTGGTCTGAACCACGCCTACAACATTGGCGTCCTCTTCCGTGGCCCAGACAATGCGCTCCAGCCTAACTATAAGCACCTGCCAGTTGCCTACCACGGCCGTGCCTCTTCAGTTGTCGCTTCAGGCACACCCCTCCACCGTCCCCAGGGTCAGATCCTGGCGAACCCCGCCGCGGACCCCAAGGTGCCTACTTTCTCTCCTTGCAAGAAGCTCGACATCGAGCTAGAACTTGCTTGCTTCATCTCCAAGCCCAATGATCTCGGCAAGCCTGTCCCAATTGATGAGGCTGAAGATCACATCTTCGGTCTGGTTCTCATGAACGACTGGTCCGCGCGTGACATTCAGGCCTGGGAATACATCCCTCTTGGTCCCTTCAATGCGAAGAACTTCGGTACCACCATCACCCCTTGGGTGGTTCTGATTGATGCGCTTGAGCCTTTCCGCGCTGCCGGCTTGGAGCCTGCGAACCGCGAGTCTCTCCTCCCCTACCTGCGCGAGAAGCGCGCCGATAGTGCCTACGAGATCCCCCTCGATGTCGAGGTCACCAATCCCGGTGGCCAGCCCACTATTATCTCCAAGAGTAACGCTCGCAACCTGCTCTACTCTTTCCCCCAGATGGTTGCTCACCACACCATCACGGGGTGCAACTTGCGCACCGGTGACTTGCTGGGATCGGGTACTATCTCTGGTAAGGAGCGTAAGACTGAGGGTAGCTTCTTGGAACAGACCAATGGGAAGGTGCCTATTAAGCTGGCGGATGGCTCTGAGCGTATGTTCCTTGAGGATGGCGACACTGTTACTCTGCGCGGTATGGCTGGTACAGAGGGCAACTACGTCGGCTTCGGCGACTGTGTTGGCACTATCCTTCCTGCCGTTTCGCTGCAGTAGAACTTAAAATGACGTAAATTAAATGATCAATTTGTGGTGTTTCTTCTTGTGTTTTGTCTAATTCTGCAATAGAGAGCTTGAGAGCTTGGAATTATGTCTCGGTCGGTCTTAACTATCCAGTATAACAAGGAAAATTGATCGCCTTTTGCGGAAATGTCATTGAACGCCAGTATTAATAGCATGACGATAGAACATTCCAAGAACATCGGTTGAGACTAGTCAACCCACTTCTTGCAGCCTTTTCGGTTACTCCTTAATACGAAACTCCTCGGGGGTATCCTCCTGTGACCTCCAATGCCCCTTCTTAACAGCCTCCTCCATCTCCAAGTTTTTCACAATCTCATTCGTAACCGGGAACTGACCCAAGTCAACACCAAACCGCTGAGCTCCCCAAGCAGCAGGAATCAAACACAAATCCGCAATGGTAATGGAATCCCCAACGCTGAACTTCCCCGCCGAACCCTTCACAACAGCCTCATAAGCCCTAAAGCCATCCTCCATCAAATCCTTCGACCATTCAGCACGATCAACACCCAGCTGCCCTACCCTTTTCAGGATCCTGAGGTTCGTAACAGGCTGTATATCGCAAGAGATGATGTCTGCCAGCGTGCGCACTACAGCGCGGCTCTCTGGGTCCGAGGCTGGGGGAAGCAGCGCGGGTCCTTGCTCTGGGAATGCTTCTGCAAGGTACTCAAGTGCGGCGAGAGATTGTGTGATTGTCACGGGAGTTTTGGACTCGCGCTGGATTACTAGGGCTGGCACTGTTCCTGATGGGTTGATGGCCAGATGGGCTGGGGAAGATTGCTCGCCCTTCAGGAGGTTCACGTAGACGGATGTGAAAGGAATTTGTTTTAGATGCAGGGCTATCCGGAGTCTGGCTGAGCAGGAGGAGCGGAAATAGGTGTAGAGGGTCACTGTGTCGGACATTGTGGCTGGTTGATATTTTGATCTATGAGATATTGGAGTAGTGACGAAAGTACGAAAAAGAGCCTGGACAGAAGCCCTGGAGAGAGTCTGTGCTTATAAACCAAACTATAAAGTCCGACCTTGGAAGTACGTTAAGTGACTTCCCCCGCGGATCTTGTTGCCTTGCCCAGGCGGGCTTTTGCACATGTAGAGTATATAGTACGGAATAAATTCCGTCATTTCTGAAGCCGAGTCCAAGCGCTGTGCCTTTTGTACATTTCGGCTATGACTTGAATATTGTTCATATTTATATTATTTCAATTTCTTTACTCAATGTACATCATACTCCTGAATTGCATTAGAGCCCCGGAGGCTTGCAGCCTTGATATTCTGCGTGACATATACGAGTTCTGCTTCTATTGGCCCATGACTGTCCAGCAGGCAGCATCACCAATCAACTTCAGGATAAAACTAAAATATGATTTTATTCATAAAATAAGTTCAAATACGTACTATGATTAGATTAATTTTCACCTCTAGTTAAAAGGTCCGATCCTAATATGGGCGCCTGAGAAGCTTATGCGGGGCCGACGGATATCGCCGGGTAATAATCCCGGCTCAACATCTCTTTGTCTCACTGCAATTATCCATCGCATCACCAAATATCCACAGAATCCACTTCAACACCGAAATCCTGGCTAATTCGCCCAGGAACGGTTGACGATGGATGGTGTCAGGTCATCCCGTCCGGACAAGCCGTATCAACGCACCTACAAGGCATGCATCCCTTGCCGGCAACGGAAGGCCAAATGCGACCTTGGAACCGGCCCAGATGGCCTTCCGATCGGCCCACCATGTGCACGCTGCCGGAGGGAACTAAGGGAGTGTGTTTTCCCGGAGAAACGGGCATGGGAAAGGTCCCGCAAACGAGGTGCGCTAGAATTGGGTGCTTACCATATCTAAATTGGCTGATTTCTGAATGGTCAATTTCTAGCGCGATCACCAGAGAGCTACGAAGCGGATGTATCACCCCGACACGGCAGTCAACTTACGACGACATCGCCTGATGATTCCATCCACACACATGGACGGACACTGAACCCGCATCTGGCAAGCGAAGTAGCCAACTCAACACCTGAGACCAACTTTCATAAGGAGTCTGAGTTTCAGTCAGGATGGCCATATCATCGGGATCAAGCCGGGTCTCACCGTGGCTCTCTTGATCATCCTTCCGTAGGGTCTTCACGAGCTGTTCAGTCCCCTTCTCATGCATATGAAAATAATAGGCACCGATCGAATTCCACCCTCGCGAGCTCTATGATGCGCACTGTCGTGACAAGTGGCAACGATGCGCTCAATATTCTCTTCGAAGCTGCAACTGCTCAAGAAGATAACAGTCCTGGTAATAGCTCCGGATCACCAGCCGGGCCTCCATCGGTTGGTCCGAGTACTCACGATCGAACACCTGGAAACTACGATTCCGCGTTTGAGACAGTGACTCGGGTAATACATCCCGTCAAGCTATCCGACGCCACCCAAGACACTCTCAATGTCTGGGAGGCTTGTCGGTTTGTCAAGATGGGCTGGTTCACTGCTAGAGAGGCTGTTACGTTTATTGACCTGTGTGTTCCCTTACATGTTCCATGTCTAAACTGACAATAAAAGCTAACAGGAATTAGGTTCTATAAGAATATGTCCTGTTTATCTCCGATTCTAACTGATTTCTACGCCAATCATCGATACCACTACTGGCTGGTTACTCGGGAACCAGTTCTATGCTCCACCATACTCATGATATCTTCCCGTTATCATGTCCTTCCTGGGGCAGGGGGAGAGTCAAGAAATTTCTTTATCCACCACCGACTATGGTCTCATTGCCAGAAATTGACGATGCGGCTAATATTTGGGCAAGAGAAATCGACAAAATCCAAGGTGCGGAGTCTCGGTACTGTAGAGGCACTTCTGTTGATGTCAGAATGGCATCCTCGCGCCCTGCATTTTCCGCCCGAGACGGATGGCTGGGACGATGATTTGATCCCAGCACCACCGAGGAACCATGAGAATAACGACCCAGGCTCAGCACCTGGCAGTCGTGGCGTAGAAGATATAATTGAGCCAGCACGCCGATCTGACCAAATGTCCTGGATGTTGCTTGGGTGTGCGCTCTCCCTTGGACACGAGCTGGGAATATTCGAGACAGAAGGAAGCAGCTCACCAGCAGATGAACCAGAATGGAGAGATCAGATGACAATTCGTTGGCAGCGCGTACAACGCCTGCTATACGTCTACATCAATCAATTGGCTTGGCGGATTGGATGCATGTCACCGATTCCTCAATCATTAAACCACGCTATCCTGGGGGGACGCAAGCCGGAAGGTCTGGGTCCACCGGGCAGCACATGGTTGACGTTCATGGATTCGTGGATTGAACTTACCAAGCTGGCCAAGTCTGTCACTGATATGTTCTTCCCATCTGCCGCCTTTGCACGCCAGCAACTGCACAGCGGCCGATATGTTGGGCTTCTTGAACATTTCCGACCTCTTCTCAACCAATGGAAAGACAAGTACCTACAGCCCCAGGTTCTTGATAAAGCATTCTACAACGATCTTTTTATCGAATACCACTTCGTCCGCGTCTACACCCATTCAGTGGGAATGCAAGCCGTAGTGGAGCGTGCTGTCGCGGAGAACGACCCCAACAACTTCGACGGAGTGCGACCCATGACCATCGACCCAACAGACTACGAATACATCCAAGAGGTGATCGATGGATGTGGCCAAATATTGCAGAAAGTCACCCATCTAGCCGAAGCAGGGGCGCTGCGATTCTCGCCAGTTCGAATTGTTCTTCGCATAACCAGTGCCTCGATCTTCTTGATGAAAGCGCTCAGTCTAGGCACACGGCAAGCCAAGCTGCAGGAATCAATTGAAATACTAGAAAAGAGCATCAAAGCACTTAAGTCGAATGCCTTGGATGATGTGCATCTGAGCACGCGCTATGCCGCCCTGTTAGACATGCATGTCTCGCGCTTGCGTCGCAATCTGCTTGCATCATCGAAAGTCATGAAAAGTAGTCAAGACGCTACGCGAAGATCATCCATGGGGCCCCCTCCTTGGCCAGAGAATGGTGACCGGTCGAATCCCATGAGCGCCCCTGTATTGCAAGACCCACCGCCGGATATGGGATACATCCCTTCCTTGAACGATATTGGTGCAGATAACTGGCTTTCGCTGCCATTTGATCCATCGATGGCGCCGTTTGATATGAGCCACGGATGTCAATTTCCGATGTATGAAGGTGGAACATTAGACTTTATTTGGAATCTGCCATCGTGATAGAGGCAACTCTGCACGCGAAGAATCCAACGAGGTAGCTTTGTACATAACCCTGTATGGTCGCAATCGCGCAATGTTGATAGAAGATGATACCCCAATTCGAACAATGTTACTCCGCCTTATCTATGGATATTTCCCCGCACCAAAGACAACCAACCTTAGAATCCCAACCAGCCCAAGTGCCCAGCAAGATGACGAAACCAGCATCCTTCAAACCCACTCTAATAATCCACGGCGGTGCCGGCAATATCCAACGCTCCAAACTCCCCCCCAGACCTCTACGCCGCCCACCACGCCTCCCTCCAATCCTACCTCCGCTCAACACACACCCTCCTCAAAAATGGCAGCACAGCCCTGAGACGCAGCCGTGCACGCCGTCTCACTCCTGAGAAGACGACCCTTTATTCAACTGCGGCCGCGGCAGCGTCTTCACAACAGCCGGCACAATCGAAATGGAAGCCTCGGTAATGGTGACATCCCTGCACCAGGACAACGCAACACAACCAGGCTCTATCAAACGCGGCGCAGGTGTGATGGGGATCCGTAACGTGCGTCATCCGATCTGTGTCGCGCGCGAATCGCTCCTCAGAGCCGGTGTCGCCGCTGATGGATCTCCCATAGATGACGGAGGGAGTATGCATTCTCAACTGGTTGCTCCGTACGTTGAGACACTTGCTCGGGATTGGGGGCTGGAGTTTTGTCCCGATGAGTGGTTCTTCACGCAGAAGAGGTGGGATGAGCACATGAGGGGTTTGAAGGGGGAGGAGGAGCCTGTTTCGTTGAGTCAGGGGACTGTTGGTTGTGTCTGTCTTGATCAGTGGGGGAATCTGGCTGTTGCTACTAGTACTGGTGGTATGACGAATAAGCTGCCCGGCAGAATTGGTGATACGCCTACCTTGGGTGCTGGGTTCTGGGCTGAGGCTTGGGATGAGATCGTGTCGGGTGGTGGTGAGGCAGTGTCGGACGATTCCTCGACAGGTGGTCTACTACAAGAGGCGAGGAATTGGCTGGGGGATTGTATGCCGGCATTCTTGCGAGATCAGGCCTTGCCTGTTTACTCGTCCGTTTCGGGTGATGATTCCTCCCGCCGGTTGGACTTTGGGTCCGAGAAGGTTTGTCATTCCTATCGATCAGCTCCTCAATACAATAATCGGCGGGCCGTTGCGGTGTCTGGGACTGGGAATGGAGACTCGTTCCTTCGGGTTGCGGCTGCGCGCACGACTGCTGCAATGCTACGGTTCTCTTCGCCCGGCAGGTACCCTTCTGGTCTGGCTGACGCAGTGACGGCTATTTCTGGGCCTGGTGGTGAGCTTCAACGTTCTGCTGGCTCTAGGTGGAAGAAAACTGGTGAGGGCGAAGGAGGTATCATCGGCATAGAGGCAGATCTTGCCCCTATAAACAGTGCATCGGATGTCAAACTACGTCGGGGAAAGGTTGTATTTGACTTCAATTGTGGTGGTATGTGGCGTGCTTGGGTGGAGGATGCTGGTGGCAACGAAGTTGAGAGGATTATGGTCTTCCGAGAGCAATATCAATAGAATATGGATCCCTCCAGTTGAATTCACATCTAGGCTCACGTATCGATAGTATATCTTCGCCAATTGTTCTATCAATATACCATTGGAACGAAGTCGAGCTCACTTGAACAGGTAGAGGCGTATTTTGGGAGTCCACTATTTTCTGGAGGCGCCTCCCTTGTCCCAAGACCATATTGACGTCCGATGCACCCGGCCCTCCTAAAATCAATTAGCTTTCATCTTTGTGGAAACTCTTCCGTTAAACCTGCCTGGGTTGATCAGAATAGCTCCTCCGTATCTAGGGTCTGTTACCGAGACCACCGCAGGGAGTTTGATTACTGCAAGGGCAACCTTCTCTTCAGCCTTATTGGTGCTGTTCCAATCCATCGGTACCTCGAGGCGAGCGCATTGGTAACTATCAAAGCATGGTGTATATGATAATTTTCTGACGGTGTGATCTATGTGGAATAAGCAAGAAATTCATTAACCCTAAAACAAACAGCCCATACTAATGGCCAAGGAGACACCCATGCTTCACAGTCACTGGGTTGCCTGGGCGTGGAGTGAGAGGTAAGAAATGTGTAACGCCCGTCCGATACAAGCATGCGAGTAACCAAGGTAAACCAAGAAACGAACAACCCAGGAGGATCATGGGCCATTTTCTCTGACCTCGAAGATAAATGGAAAATTGTGGTCGGATATCGTTAAATGCTCGTTTTTCCATATTCGCAGTGGCAACCTATTGCTATAAGTAGCCTTATTCGGGCATTCCTCCCCTCGCATGCAACAGCAACTGGTTGAGATTATCTGGACCCGTGGAACCCCGTGGGCGATGTTGCGGCTCCACACGGCTTGGTATTCAGCACGTGACCAAATAGCACATAACTGATGCCTAAGGTATCAATAAAACCGAGCTTCTATGTTGTAGGTGCGTTCTATTAATACATCTTTGTATATTCTTAATCTTTGAGAATAGCAATTCGTAGCAACAAAATGTTGCACCAACTGTCTGCAACAACGCCCTGACAGTTCGCCTTCAGCGATGTAAAGACGGAAACCACCCAGAAGGCTAACAATATATACAGCAAGGAGCATACGAAATCAACAGGCACGTCGGATCCCGATCTACCACCCCTCCAACGGCGTAAACAAGGCAAGTACCCCATCTTTAGGTGCAACGGTAGCCCCCTCCCGAATCTCCAACTTAGCATCAGGAAACTTCAACTCCATGTGAAACCGACCGACAGTAGCAGCAACCAAGCAAGCAAGCTCCGACTTTGCAAAGCCCTGCCCAATGCAACTACGCGGACCATGTAAGAAAGTCAAAAAGGCATAATTACTGACCGCACCACCGGTGTTAGCCTTACCGGGACCCATAAAGCGGTCCGGATTGAACTCATTCGCGTCTGGTCCCCACAGCTCTTCCAATCGGTTCAGGATTTGCGGACAGATTGTAAATGTCGTGTCCTTGGGAATAAACGTGTCGGCAAGGCTTGTGTCACGAACTGCCTTGCGTATGGTCATGGGCACAGAAGGGTGGAAGCGGAGGACCTCGTTGCACACTGCGTTTAGGTAGGGCAGATTATCGACTGCGGCTGCGGAGATTGGGGTCGGGTTGTCGAGGGAGGGCAGATTGGCGCGGATTTCATCCCGCAGACGACTTTGAACATCGGGGTTCTTGCAGAGTGCGTAAACGGCCCACTGTAGTGCTGTGGCTGTTGTCTCGTGGCCTGCACCTAGGAAGGTCATGGATTGGTCCACGAGGTTTTCTTCGTCGAAGGTGCCGCTGCTTAGTGCAACGGAGATAATGTCAATTCCCGTTTCGGCTTTGGGGTCTTCCATCTTTGCTTTCTTTTGTCGGATCATCTGCCGTGCGACGTTGCGGATGACCTCGCCACTTTCCTTGATGTCTTTGTTGCGTTTCGTCGGTAAAGAGTGGACCCATGTTGGGTTACCAACTATCATACCTATCACGAAAAGGATTTTCATGATGAGGGAGGGAGGGGACATGATTTTGCGATAGGATTGGTTGAGGGTATTGTCGGGATCACGAAGAGAGTCGAAGTCGTGGTCCATACCGGCGACACCGATGATGTCCAGGGTTGCTCGACTGGCCCAGTTACTGACCTGGACTGTGTTATCGTTATATCCATTGGCCTTTCTGCTCTGTAGATCTTCCTCGATCATCTTGACCATTTCTGCACTCTTGCTCCAAAAGACTGGATAGAGATTCTTGATGTGGCGATAGGCAAAGGCTGGCATAAGATTCTTGCGTTGCGCCTAGTGGAGACATTGTAAGTTTGAACCCACGTAGAACGGCATTTGAAGGGACGATTTCACCTTATGCTCTTCACCTTCAGCGAGTAGGACTCCATCGCCTGTAATACGCCGCAAGCTCTGCCGAACCAATTCGGGTTTTTCAAAGTCGTAAACTTTCGTCACAAGCAGCTCACCCAATGCTTTTGGGCTTGTCAGAATCACTCTTTCGAGGTTTGCGACAAGATAGTACCGGATGAGATCTTGATTGGGCCTGTTCTTGGCCCACTCCCGTAACTGCGGATAGGGGGCCTCAAGCAAGAAACTCGGAGAATTACCGGTGAGACAGCTCCGACCCTAGATAGTATTAGGCAGATTCATCGAACCCAAGAAAAGAGGGCTGGCCTACTGCAGGTGAATAAATGTGTTTCAAAGGGGTAAAGTAGTCGGGATACAACACAAGCCGGTAAGCAAGCTTGGACGCAGTAATGACCCCAAAAAGGAAGGCACCCGTTACAACCCTGGAATTGAAAATAGCATACTCCGGCTTGAGGTATATGCCGGCGGCGAGGGCGAAATAGAGAATGGTGAAGCTGTCGCTGATGCGTCCCATTGCTAGATTCTTCCGGAGGATCCGGGGTGGGGGGGAGATATTATGAATTGACAGGTCCAACCACACATACAGCAAAGAAGATAAGAGAATATCTTCCTGAGTATCAAACTACCGGTTTCGATTGATTCTTTAGTAGCACCAGCCCTGGAGTGAAGAGCCCCGTGTGGGGTATAGGCGGATGACAAAATGCTTGGCTCTCGTTGGTTCCAGTGAGGTCTGAATCATATACGGGGTACAGACTGAGAAATGGCAATGCAACCTCGATGAATTCGGATAACCTTTGCACAGCTGAGATGAGTTTGATTCAAAACAATTAACACGGATATAAGACGGTGTTTGAGACGGTTGCCTGGGACATATGACAAGCGCGGACCTCGGGAGAACCTTGGAAGCCAAGCAAAATAACCTAAGAATGGAAACCACATGGTTGACAGGTCAGGTCGAATTATATTATGCTATAGCCCAAGGAATTAACTTTGAACTGTATATGAGATTTACATTATCCAACGGTCTTGTTTTTGATCTACTTTGGTATCCTAGGGTGTGGGGTGCTCCTAGTGAGATTCTGCAAGGGCCACATGTTACCGTTAAATAGTCCTAGCTACTGGATACTCCATATAATTGTCTTCCCAGCCCACCCGCGTTCTCGGGATGGGTCTGTTTCACAATCCGAGATTTGCCACATTCCGGGATTTCCGGAATTTTAGGTATCTTTTGTATGGCGTGCTCATACAAAAGGTACATAGATATGATATTTCAACAATCTAGATTTCCTTCACCCTCTACACAGTTAGGAAAAATATAAGTATATATATCTCTTATATAAAGGAAGGCTATTTCATTTTATATATTTAACTAGATAGAAATATTAAGTGTAGAAAATAAGTCATTAGCTACTAGTGTGCTGAAGGAGACTTATTTTTTCGATTGATCCTCAGTTCTGTTATAGATTAATCTTAGTGCTAAACCAATTAAACTATGCCTATGTTACATATTTAAGCTCCTATCTTCCCTTTAGCTACTTCGAAGGTGATAAAAATCTAGATGATATCATGCCTATGTACCTTTTGTATGAGCGCGCCATACAAAAGATACCTAAAATTCTAGAAATCCCGGAATGTGACAAATCTCGGATTGTGAAACAGACCCATCCCGAGAACGCGGTATGGTAAACTCTTATATAAATAGTGAGCCACTCCCTTGCTATACTGAAGACCTGAATCCCCCTTCCAACCGTCTTTACACGCAAGGTTCCGGATATACTAGGCTAGGTTTACAACATAGTAATCGATACCTAAGGTCCTGGGGAGGGCGGACTTGCTAGAACTACGGGGTTGCTTGGGGGTGAAATAGAGCAGTTAAATCTTGATCTTGGAGTCTGCCCTTCTGATATCATCCACCAATATGGGTTCCATATCTTACTCCGCGTTCTTACAGTATCCCTGCAAGCCCTTCAAGCCACAGTAGTAATCGAACTCATCACCACCCATGTGGAAGCCGAAGGAGAAGCAAGAAGGAGTGCCAGACCACCCATCCATAGCGTACGTGTCCATTTTGCCTGCATATTAAGCTCAGGTTAGAAAGATAACATTGTTAATTGCTGGGGTGCGGGTTCCTCACAGTCAGGGCAACTATCCCATTTTTTAGTGCCGGTATTGCGGTTCCTGTATCGGGTGCATGCAAAAGTCGAGGCAGCAGTGTCGAAGTCCCACTAGAAGCAATTAGTTTCTGTAATCTTGAAATGACCCAGTCAGTACTCACGTATGCGTCTTGAACAGAGTTGCTACCGTGACGCTTGCCACAGGCGCAGAAGTTGTGTACATCGGCAAGAACGCCGCCGAAGCTGGAGGGTATGTTAAGACACAATATGATAACTTGGAGTGAAACACAAGGCCGGCTTACAGAAGCGAACTAGAAATAAGAATTGAGAGCTTCATGTCTTCGGGCAAAGAAGAGGAAAACTAGAGAAGGTAGATATAATAAGGTGCTGGTGAGGGTCGAAATAAGTCGGTAGTAAAAAGGTCTTGTGGTTAGGTAGGACGAAAAGTGACGGGAGGGAGGAAGCAGCTTTACTATATAACGTTCTCGCAGAAACAAGAAGAGAAAAGGGGGCGAAAAGAGGATAGTGAACGTTTGTACTGAGTACGGACTAAGCGGAAGACAGTTCCAGGTGCCTGGATGTCTTACCTCTAGCGGGATATTGGGATCTGCCGATTTGCTAGTTCCAAGTTAGTAACTTTACTGGGCATAGCTGAGATATGACGGTTAATAGGATAAGTTTCGTAACGTGATCCATGAGTGAGACACCTCAAACCACCATCGTGAATCCGACAATGGTATTCCCTATACGGAGTAATTGAAACCGAGAAAATACTTTCCAAAGGATCGGCACTAACTATCTTGTGTCTCACCCGCGCGTGGCTTAGTGGTGTTTGGGATTCTCCACCGTTTCGAAGCCAAACATTATGCTCAATTTAACTACGGAGCTAGCCTAAACTAGGCTACCTTGGTACAGGCCCAAGCCAATCAATTCTGCATGCAACTTTATTCGCCCACTGGGATATCTGAAGGATCCTACGAAGTTACTCCGCCCCCTTTTAAGAAGCCGAGATTTGCAAATCGCTCATCCGCGGGTTCCGGGAAGAGCTTGCAAAGTCCGGTATTGCCGGGATCAGTGAGTGACAGTGTCGAGTTGCTAGGAGGAAATGGAGCATAAATACCGGCCTCGCAGCCCAAGCAGCAAACTCCAAAGCCTCTCTTCACTTCACAATCACTCTTCTCAAACTTGGCAAGATGCGTCTGAACCAGGTCGTTCTCCTTTCTCTGCTTGGCTTCGCCGCCGCTGCTCCTACTCCCGACGGACTTGATAGCTCGCCTGCTGTTGTAGCTGACGACTTCAAGCCCGACTGGGATGCCTTTGAGCGCGACTTCAAAGTGGCTTTTGACGAGTACAAGGAGGACGCGAGTTTGGCCAAGCGCTTGAACACCCAGAGCGCTAGCAATGTCGCATACGGGAAGGCAATCTATGCCGCTGGTGCTGCCGCTGTCAATCAGATTAAGGGTCTGAAGAACTGGGATAAGGTATTAAACAATGCTCTCTTTGTTCTCCCTCCGCGTTGTTGTTGCTACTTCTGCCTTTTATATCCGGAAACTGACAGTACATCTAGGCCAGGGAACAATTCACCCAGCTAGGTAAGAAAAGATGGAACCATTTCTGTCTGTGGAAATCCAGCGCTAACAACCGATTTCCAGTCACCCAGGGCATGATGGACCATAACCCTGACCCCAAAACAGCCGTTGCTGCAATCTGCTACAACAAGGGCTATGCAGTCAAGGATCCGCAAGGGATCTATGGCTTGCACAGCGAAAAGCTTTCTGTTTGGCCGGCGTCGACCGAGTAGGTTTGGAGTAGGCATGAAAGCACTGTGAAATGCTAACTAGTTCTAGCTACGACTGTTTCTACATGGGCAGAAACAACGCCTTCTGGTCTCAGGGCGATGGTGGCACCATCAACGTAAGTCCGAATCCACCACTGCAGAAGTTCCTAGAGCTAACGAACCCAGTTGTTCACCCGCTGGCAACACGGAGCTTGCCGTTTCGACGACAAATCGGATCTCTACTGCTAAATAGTGGAGCCATTTTTTCACTGAAGAATTGGAATGGATCGTGGCGGTATCGGAAGTGTGATGGTCAGAGGGGTTACAAATCATAAGTCAGCACTAGGCTTACTCGAAGGATGGGTTGATGCTATGAGAAGCGGCAGCTTATAGCCATGGATCCCTCGTGCTAGATAGTTGATTAGGAGCATGCCGCTCTTCCTAATGCAACTCCCTCCCTTCTCATCTTTAGCACATACAAGCTGTAGCATCAAAGACCCGTGGTCGGTTCTTGGTATTCGTCTGGTTCGGTTCCGTAATTCGCCTTCCCACCTATCCTGAAGAAGGTATAGATATATATACGGTTCAAATATTATACCAACAACCGTCTTTTCGATATATAGTACAAGAGCTAGGATCAAGTCCGACAATGGGCCACGGCAGTGTATGAAAAAGTACACTCTGAATCAGACATCCGCCGACCCGGTAATCCTATCAAACTCCCCAATCGTATGCTGCCAAACCTTCTGTGCCATCCCCTCCTCACGGAGTCCAGCCAACAACTTCACAACCTTAGGAGCAGCATGCTCCCCACTCCAGTGGATACTGTAAACTCCACTCCCGACCTTCCCATCCGTCCCAGTAGCAACCTCAACCCCTTCGGACAAAGGTATACCAGCGGAATCTTCCACCGCAGCATCCAAGCGGACACGGGGAGGATACTTAGCACTCGTCGCGAAGAAAAGATGTCTCTCCCCTGACTCTCGAATCGGAATGTAAATCAAAGGCCCAATAATCATAAGCACGATAGTCATAATCCGGGTCAGGAGAGTATTCGACTCGCGCCCGATCCCCGTCTTAACTGCGCCGGGGTAATCGTTGATAAAAGTAACTTCTGGCGCTTGCTCCGCCAGTATTTCCAGCGCCATATCAGTCATGGACACAATATGTCCACGTATCTTTAGCATGGACATGGTCTTTCCTTGGAAATCGGTCACATCAATGGGGCCTTCATGGCCACCAGCTAGGACACTGACGACGCGGCGTAGGCCGGTGGCTTGCTTAAGATTGGGTAGGAGGTTGATGATGAAACGTGTTCGTGCGTAGTATCCAGTTGCAGCCATGACATGGAGGCCTTCGGATGTATCTGTTTGTATTATGAGCAACGGTATCTTTTTCTTGTAGGTTAGGCGAGAATGTCCTGCTCACCTTCTCCGAAACAGATAGTCCCACAGCTCAGGAAGAGGATGTTGATAGTCCTTTCTTTACTCTGGAGCTCGCGACAGACTGAATCGACATTCCGAATTAGACTGACGTCCGCTTTTATGAAGGTGAATTCGCCTTCTGGGTTCAATTGTCGACATTCGGCTGTGATGCGGGCGGCGGCTTCTTGCGAGCGGCCGATGAAGTATGCGTGGGGAGATCGGGTGGAGCGGGCGAACTCTTTTAGGGCTGCTTCGCCGATGCCGTTTGTTGCGCCTACGAAGACTGCCACGAGGCCTGCTGGGAGCGTGTTGGCGATTTGGGCATTTGAGGACTGGACGTCTGGTAGAGACACCATTTTGTATTATATATTATGGCAGCGAACTGACGTGGGGATATTGGCGGTTGAAAGGCCCGTTATCGATTCTGTAGATTAGTTGAGGGTAACACCCCAGTATGTATATATATTGCAGGGACGTGTCTTGTCTTGAGTTTTGGTGAGTTCGGTGCATCTATAGGCCGTCCCGGACGAACGACGGACTTAAGCAATACAAGGCGGAGGAAATGGAAATCTCCGGAAGTTAACCTTCGAGAAAAAGAGGTTGTCTACTATCACATCTCGTATTTGAAATTGAAATTTAGCGAATAACTAAGGATTTGAAATAGAACAATAGTAGGTCGGAACAATAGTAGGTCGCTTATCCAACCTAGACGTCCTTCAGATACTAACATCCTAGCGTTCGCTAAACGCCAGCGGATGAAAATGCCAGACCCAAGGATAACTCATACATTATTTTCGATCTTGCCATATTCAGGGAGAGCCCATTTCACCATCCATTCGGACTCGAGGATTTGCTTAGTAGTAGGACGATCCTCGGGTCTGAATGAGAGCATCTGCCGTAACAGGTTGAAGATAGCATCTCTTTCCCTTGCATCAAACGACGGGATCTTCCTATCTCGTCTAGGCCCTTCAATGCTATCCTTGACCCGATCGTCCCAGGATCGGAAATATTTACGGTTTATTGGCTTACCATTCTCGGTAAATTTTTCCTGTCGCGCCTCCCACCTGCTCCACCATTCAGATGGTAAAATACCAAGAGTATCCACTTGCTCACAGGTCATATAGTCCTCCGTGGCCATGAACCCCTCAAACAACGGCCGTTGGGCGATGATAGACCATATGGTACAGGCGAGACTCCAGATGTCCGATGAAAAAGACAGAGGCTTATCCGGTTCGAACCGAGCCTCCGGGGGACGGCTGGCAAGGGGGGTGTGGGTCTCGTATTTTCGGTTTTTCTGAGGGTGAAAAGGATTCGCCAAAGTCTGTAAGCAAGAGCCTAGCTTCTACAAGTGTTATTTTTTCACTTGCTTCTCCTAGCCATATTGGTACGGTGCCGTGGGATGGGACACCAGGAGGGAGCGGTTTGCCATCTAGATGAACAACCGGATCTCGCTCTGGTGCTCCATATTTCTCATAGAATTGTTCGAGTGAGAGCCGGTCAAAATCGGGGGGCACTTTGAGAAGAATGTTGCCTAGGTGAACGTCACCATGGACAATTCCTTGGGCATGCACATAATCCAAGACGAGAACAAGTTGCGCAGCTAATGACCGGGCCACGCCAGGTTGGAATAAGCGGGTCCACCCACCATCTTTCAGTCCAGAGAGGCTAGCCCTCGCTGGTGCTGTAACGTAGCAAGCATGATTGCCGTTCGGGCCGTGAATGGTAAACCTATCCAGAATCGAAGGGACCATCGTCTTCCCTGGTTTGTTGATTGGAGAATAATGAGGAGGAGTGAGAATGGTGGATACAATGTCCACTTCCTTTGGGTTCGAGTTTGCTGTGCAAACTTTTAGCGCAACGTATTTATTGAATTGTTCATCGCGGGCCAGCCACGCAGTTGAATAAGACCCATGTCCCAGCTTATGAACGACTCGATATCGACTGTGGAATTGATCTCCGATCTGTATAGGGTGATAGCCCCCTGAACGATAGTTTTCAAGTCTTTCAATCCCCTCAAGAGGTTCGTAGAGGACATCGGCCTCAACGTCGTCATTGGTCTCTATTGAGTTAAATTTGGTGGCAGTGAAGGCGCAACGCGGTTGGTTGTGATGAAGCGGTGGCACGCGCCCCTTGCGAAGGACAGAAGAATCGACTTGGTAACATAAATCATGCCGGCGCAACAACCGAATAGGCAGCGATAACAATTTACTCATGGCCGCGTTATTTGGAGAAGTTCGATGCCGGAGAATGAAAATATCTCACTATTCTTTACTCCGTATGTTGTCGGCATGAGATGAAGGCTGGGGAAATATAACGCGACACGCGCTGGAATAGCTTGGGAGGTTGTCTGATTGTGGAATTGCTGCCGATCCCCCCGGGGGGGGGGGGGTTTAGGGGTCAGACGCCAGGCTTGTTTTGGATATGCGCGCATGTGCATGTTATTGTCAAGTATCCCGACGGAATGCATATGGACAACTGATTGAAGAAAGTAAAAGCAACTGGGATGAAATTAGCCCCAGTCTAAATAGAAGCAATGCTTATCAAGGCCACCCTAGCCTTGGCGTTAACCTTGGAAAGAGCTTGTCGGCAATCATGTGATGCTCCCTAAAATAGGCAAAAGTGACACCTCAGGCACCTGATTGTTTACTCCCTTGAGAGATAGAAAAATTTAAAAACCAAAATGACCAAAGAAGATAGCGGGGCCTTGGAAATTGTATCTAATGTAACATATCCAACTCTTTAGCGGAGTCAGCGCTTAGGTACACCCCTGGCGCGTGCTGATGGCCAGTGGGCAGTCAGAATGGAGAGTGACGGACCCCATCTTCCCCATCTGTGTCTCAGGGCTCTGGGGAGTGGGCCAGTGAGACAAAAACAACGTTATCTTTGCCCCAAGAATAGCCATATGTACTCTGTAAGTACGGAGTAGGTTGTGGTATTGATGAAGGTAGGGATATTAATTTAGAAACATGAAAAGGACAAAAGGACAAAAGAACAAAGGAAATGAATAAGAAACTCAATGAAAGAGAAACCCTTTCAGCCCTAAAGTGCCTGTGACTTCCCGCCTCCCCACCCCTGCCGAACTCCCTCCCCTCGAAGTGTTTCAGCTTCTTCCCCTTTCTCAACTTCCAGTGTCACTCATTTCTCAGTTTCCAGCCCTTGGAAAAGTGGCCACATTCATTCAATCCTATTTCCACCTGTTTCGACCTATTTTTCACTGACAATTGCGCTTTCTTTCTCCACACAATCGTGACCCCTTTCTTGGCAAGAGAGATCGGCGGTCTTCAATGAAAGTCTGTCAATTGACGCTTTGAATACGTCAATGCGCGCCCGGAATCCCAGCGCTTCATTGTGATCATATACACGTGGCTTGCAGTACTCGATACCTGTCTGACACCGCGATCCAGCCTCCCTCCCTTCCGCAGGGATGCGCCATTCGCGCGGTTAAGATACTATCATTTCCCTCATTGCGCCCGACCGTTGACTCTCTCTACTCTTTAAACCTGTTTCGAACCTCAATAACGACTTTACCCGGCTGGCCCGAGGAAGTCGACCATTCATCATCCGTGATCCCGTCATTCCTTTCAACCCTCCGTGATCATTTCCTGGCAGGACCAGGCCAATTGACACAATGCTGTGCGGTGGAGACCGTGAGAAGGGGGATGTGGCGATGGAGGAGAAATGGGACTACGTGGTAAGTCTACTTGGTGATGGTGTTGCATGGATGGCTTGGCATACTGATAATTCCTCCCTTAGAACTTGGACGACTTTAAATCCGAGTCTTGCTGGACGCCCTTCTCATATTTCTTCTTATGGGTATTTCTATTTATCTCTCTTGCCGTCTACGGTGTCGATACGTTCACTGCAGTCAATTTGCTGGCTTTCTCTCGCTGGTCCGGCCAAGTTGAACCCGCAATTCCCTTCAATATCTCCCGCTGGATCTTCGCCGCCTGTATCATTGCTTCGTTCGTTCTTTTGGGCTACCGATGGGTACATGCCATCCGTGCCATCCGCTCGGGTAGTATTACTCGCAGCTTTCTGGATCCGCTGGCCGTGCGCATTCAGAGTATTCGCTTTGGCAGGCGGGGTCGTGGATACAGGAGATTCCTTGTGTTTGCTGAATTAACAAAAGACAGAAAAGCAGCAGAATATGTTGCTCTTTATGCATACTTTTCTTTTCAGTGTAAGTATACTACTATTGCTTAACTTGTCTTTGAAAGTTGTTAACGAAGCTTCTAGTCTGGATGAACACGATCTTCGCAGATGGCCCGCGTCAAGTTCTCAATGCCATCACTCTCTATTCGGTCATGCAGATGGACCTGATTCCTGGGGGAAAGAATGCAGCCGATGACGATGGAACTTCGTCAGCTGGTCAATTCTTCAACAATGTTAAGATCTTGGCCGAGGACAACAACCTTCAAGCTGTGGTCTTGTTTGGTATGCTGTTCACGCTGGTCATTTGGGTCCTATCAGTTCTCAAGTTGATCTCGGCGATCGTACTCTATTTGATCTTCTTATTCCACCATATCCCCGCGGAAGACGGTACTCTTTCCAGGTACTGCCGTCGAAAGGTTGGTCAACGTCTGAAGCGTATCGTGCACCGCAAGAACACCAAGGCGTTGGCAAAGGGACTCAAGTTACAGAATCGAGCACCCACTCAGCCAATGCTGGTCACAGATACCAACCCGACTCTACCATCTTTCGCCGGAGATAAGGTTTCTACTGTGGCTTCGTTGTCGCGAAGTACTACCCAGACCACTTTGCCGCCTTACTCGCGATCGGCCTCCTCGACAACGCCGGCGCCCAACCCGACACTGCCAAATCTGGACCTCGATGCGAAACCGACACTGGCTCGAACTGCAACTTCATCTTCAGCAATGTCCGAGTCCGCTTCACTGACAGGCCATGCGGCCGGAATGGGATACAGTCCTCTTGATCGCCAGAACCCGACGCTTCCCCCAGTCCCGCCTTTGCCGGCAAATGTTCCATCAAGGATGGCCACTCCCCACTCTCGAGCGACCCCTGCGCCATATGGCAGTGATGATCGTAATACCCCCGGTCATGGATATCGCAACCTGACCAATAGCTCCGATTCTCGGCCATACCAGGGCCACACCCCAGCTCCTGGTTATGCTTCGGCTAACATGGACGCTTCCGATGATCATGATTATTTCAACAGTGGCAATGCGCCTACTCCCTACGACCCGTACGGTCCCCCGAGGGGTACATACGGCGGAGAGGACGGATACGGGGAAAGATACGGGACTCCTGGTGGACAGGCAGGCGCCCCTCGCCCACAGCAAGATTACTACCCACACGATCCATATTCGACAAGATCCTACACGCCGGCTAGCACCGGTGCGACGCCTGCTCCCTATATGTCCAACATCCCGGCAAGCTACCGACCCACACCTCCTCCACAAGTAGCCGCATTGGAACAGCCTCCAAGGACGTTCACTCCAATGAGCTCGGCGACTCCCGCTCCTCAAAATGGCGGTTATGCAGCTTTCAACCCGTCAATGGCTCGTCACGCACCCCAGACTCGCTCCCAGAGGCCTCCCGATCCCCCCCAGCTTTACTCGAGCAAACACCGCTTCGCCCTCGGCCATGCATCGCGCTCCACCAGGGCACACATTCAATCGCTCAAATACCCACCAATTTTGATAAGGCCCAAGGCTATGGGACCTTATTATGATGAAAACCAGGAGCTGGCTCTCCTGTGGTTGATGACCGGATCACTCGCTCATACTGATCACGACCAGCCAGCCTCTCGAGATCTTGTACATACCCCTATTCACCTTACTTTGATATCCTTCCTCAAATTCTTATTCCCGATGACATGAATTGACCACTTTTATCCCCCATTTACTACAACACATGTATAGATAGCAAGTAGCTCGAAAGTACTCTTGATACCCCCTTTATTCCATTCCATGATCCAAAATAATGTAAATAACAATAGGACAAGAGTATTATACACCTATACAATAAGTTATACAATCAACATCTTCCATCCACAACAAACCAACACCAATCACCAAATCTTCTTAGCAATCATCTCATACCGCTGCACATGATCAACGTTAAACTCCCCATCCTTACTCTTATCCTTCTCCTCCTTCTCCTTCAACCGCCGCAACCCATCCGGATCATCCGCATAGATCAACCTCCGCTTCTCATCCCCAACCTCCACAACACCCCACCCACCAACGCGCTGACTACCCTCAACATCGAAATCACGAGATCGAGGCGCCCCACTCTCAGTACCGGACTGGTTATTCGCCTGTCTACCCTCGTTCTCCCGACCCTTCATCTTCCTGTACCGGGAGCGCGCAAACGCGAGCAGAACCATGCCAAGCAGAAGTTTCAGGATGAGCAACACGATGAACCCAGTCAGGAGCAGGATGCCGGTGAATATATGGACAGACTGGGCTGGAGACGGGATGGCGTTTTCGAGGAGGGTGCGGAAGAACGCGCTGACGTGGGCGGCGGAGGCCGGGAGGAGGGTTGCGAATGTTAAGGGTGGGGCTGAGGGGATCGGGGAGGGGCCGTAATTGTTGTGGATGGAGGTTAGGGAGGTTGCGCCGTTCGCTGTGGAGGAGGGGTGTTGGGGGAGGAGGGCGGCTAGGAACATTTGGTAGGTTTGCACGGAGACGCGGAAGAAGAGGCAAGAGAGAGGGATGACTGGGAGGCCGATGCGGCGGGTTAGGTTTTGTTCGCCGAAGGCGTTGGTGTAGTAATCCTTGGCTAGCACGTCGAGGAAGCGGCTGTAGATGGCTGGGCGGTTGTTGTTGAATTTGTTGATGTAGGCGTGCTTGAGCCAGTCTACTAGCATCTCGGAGCCTAGGACGACTAGGAACGGGCCTAGGACTTGGGCTAAGGTCGGGATGAAGGAGTTGACGCTGTTGAAGGATGATAGGATTGATGATGGGAAGAGGGTGAATGCTTGAGGTAGGATGGAGGATGCAGTGCGTGGAGGCGTGGACAGTGGCGTGCTGTTGGTGATTGTGGAGGACTGGCCTGGGAAGCTAGATCCCAGCCCGAGGTTGCCGACGAAATTGAATGCGCCTGTTTCCACGATGTTACGCGAAGCGATGATAGTGAGCATCAGCCATAGCTGGAATCGTTCCACGACGTCCGCACAGGTAAGCTGGAAGAGATTCTCTTTCTCGAACTTGCGGAAAACGGTGGATTTAATCTCGACAAACTGATTCGACAGAAGCAATGTAATCAATGCGTTGGAGTATGAGTTCACTGCCACATTCAGAGTCATGACCTGGTAGAACAGAGACAAGGCATGTGACACTGTGTAGACCAGGGCCACCAGGAACAACCAGAATGGACGAATGATCTTGCTACGGCCATCCGGGCGACGCTCAAGAGCTTCCCGCGAGAAGAGACACTCGAGGACATCTTGACCTATAGCAGCCAAGAGCCTGTCGCTGACCTCTAACACATTGTAGATAACATATAACTTGATAGCAGCCTGTCCACGAATCCAGTGATACATTCGACTTGCATCGAAGTACATCAAAACACAGCAGGTGGCTATCATCAATAGGCCTGTCAGAATGTCCGCTTTGTCATCTGGAAGGAGCGCCGAGGGCATTGACTTCTTCCGCCGATGGTGATACTTGCGGGATTCGGAGGACCGATGTTTCCTTCTTGGTGCTTCTGCGTGCGACTGTCTTTGGTCTCTATCTGTTGGTGCTATGTCTGGCCCTATAGAGGAACCCGGAGGCAGGTGAGGAGTAGCGTCAGATTCGCTTTCGCGTCTTCCACCCTGATCCTCCTTCAAATTATGATTCCTCCTGCGCCAAACTCGACCAATCCCGTTCAGCACGAATTTCCAAATGAAACGGATCTCAGCTCCCAGGTTCATCACCCATGACTCGCCCAGAATATAGACGGCCTTGATGAACCGCAGTGGCATTATTGTGAAAGAGTAAAGCCATGCATCAAGGCAAGCAAGACTCCCAAAGCAAAGTACCTGCTCAAGCATAGGTGCAAGCATAATGAAGTTCATAAGTCTCTCGATCTTAACTCGTGAGGATTCATAGGGGAAGTCGCTTGCTGCATCACGGTGTATGTACAGCGGCGAAGGTCGGCCAGAAGCAAGCTCAAGCTGAAGATAGGTTGGTAGAGAAACTGGTGGCAAAGGGATAGATGATGGCAAGGGTGATGGCATGGCTGATTCTACAATCTGAGGTGAGGCAATAAGGTGGCTCTTAAACTCGCGATCCAGCGCGGGTCGATCCTGTTTCGAGCGCGATGCCCATGTCTGGGTTAGGCGATCATTACTTGGGGTAGAGGGCAATTGACGCCGCGTGGCGCCAGGGGTCGAAACAGTTCGTGCTGGCTGCGGCCGATTGCGGAAGGAGGGGTTTTGAGTATTCCGTGGGAAGGCAGGGCTCTCCGGTGCAGAAGCATCTCCCAGCAACACTTCTTTAGTGGGCCGTAACTTTGGTAAAACATTGGCGGGTGGTGATTTTTCGCCCAGTGACTGAAGCACGAGCTCCGGTACCTCCGGTTGTGAGGCGGAAGCATTCCCATGGACATTGTCCGAAACTACTCGCCTCCCATCGTTCGTTTCTGGTCCCACGGGACGATAGGGTATTGACTCTGGCGAGGACGTGAGGGCCTGGATCTTTTCAGGAGACAATTTCATGACCTTCTCTTTGTCCTCTGATATCTGGTGCGACAGATCACCAGCCAACTCAGCCAAAGCAGCTTTGACCTTGGGGCCATCGTACACATCCACCACAGACAACCGACCAGTATGATCCGCGTCGTTTGGTGAATGCTCGACTATGATGCCGAGCCCTTGCTCCGAATCCAAGTCCGACGTTTTATGTCCTCCGTTCGTATGGTGGCGTTCCGAAGGAGTACCGTGTTTCCATTGCCCATTTGTGCCATCGTGTCCATTGATTGGGCGTTCCTCGCCGTTGGAATGTTCCACAGGATTATCTAGTCGACTGTGTGTCCCCTCGACATAATGAGGTGACGATTGTTCCTCAGCTTTGAAGCTCCCATTGCTCCCGTTTTCGACACTATGTTCTGCCATCTTCCGCTGTGACGGAGCTTCACTGGTATCTGCAACGGGGCTCATTCTGATGACCCACGAACCCGCGACAAAGCGATGTTCATTGGAAATATCCACAAAACTACAGTATCGTTTCTCATACCATCAGAAAGTGCAATCTCCAACTTGCATCATTCGAATTTGGCTGGCGACGGATGATCAACGGCGAAATCAACGGCGAAAGGGTGTAAAAGGATAGGAAGGCAACAGCGGTGTAATTGTTGTATTAACCATTAACAATGTCATTTGTCCAGCTTGTACATCCTGGAAAGACAGAGTACAGTCTAGGCTGTTCAGGAACTCTTGTTGATGTTGGGGTCCGGGGGAAGATAAGGACGGCAGATTATCTGGCAGGTCGGTGAGTCGGTGTGACCCACAAATCACGTGATAATTACACTTCCAACCTTGGAACCTTCAGGTGGTTGGAATACTAGTGATGACTAATGTCTTCAATTTACCTGGGCAGGTACCTCCGGAGGTTCAGGGCTAGGTATGTCTAACCAATGCTACAATATCAATGATATATTATCCCTTTATATACCACAATATATATGTGTTGGGGGCATCTTACATACAGCTCTCTGGGGTCTAGGTAGGGAACACGGATGGAGCATGTTGGCGCACTCAGAGAATTTATAGAATGATGTGAGATCTCTACCACTTTTGCAATTACCTGCAACTCTTTTACTTCGTCTCATCTTCCATCAGTACTGTCTCTGAGCTGTCCTCTCTGTGCCTCATCTGCGGCTCCCAAAGTTCCATGTCTCCCAATTTTTCCGGCACGAGCCCTGCATTCCCCGGATTTTTCATTCCAGCCGCCAGTTGCCTCTTATAACTCACGATTCTCAACCTCTCAGCCTCCTTTGGCGTCAATCGAAGATAGGCCTCAATACCAACAGCATGCATAACCAACGCGAGCCACATAGCCATTGGGAAGCCTATAGCTAACGCCGCACCAATCTGCTCAGGTTCACCATTGAAGTTGGCTTTCACGATAACCTGGCTGTCGACTGTCAGGTTTGAATTGCTAGGTGAGCAGACTGGGTATGTTGAGTAGACTGTTTCGAGGGGGGGTCTGGGTTGAGTTTGTTATGTACAAGAGCTCGGCACATGGCATAACCTGGTACCAGCCAGATGGATACATCGAGATAATAACAGCAGAGAGGGCCTGGATAAGGCGCAGTGTAATGATACTGGCCATCCAGAACCAGACTCGAAGCATCCATGCCCGATGCTGATCAATTTGCAGCCGCTTGATATTATAATATGCGTTGATGATGCCGAAGGTGGAGGCGATAGCAAGTGCCCCGACTGCAGTTTGTGTCGCGATATGACCACCGAAAGAACGGTCTGTTATCATAACAGCACCAGCAATGGAGACGAAGACCAGCAGAATAATGAGATAGCCGGCCACTCGATGGTAGATGAGGTATTTGTGACGGATTGCGGGGACAAACTGGAAGACGGCGAGGACTCCAGCGGGAAGAATGCCGGCGAGGTGGATGATGATTCCGATACGGTACCGTGGCATCGAATACCAGTAGCATTCACCGGGAGCTGCACTGCCAGTTGTGCTCTCCAAGTTGCAGAAAATGCCGTTAAAGGCAAGAAATTGAAGACGAGCAAGACAGAAGCCCACTAAAGCACCTGCGAAGATGAAATCTATGGAAGTCAATATCCTGTAACATGGTTAAGGACTGGATATCTTACAGAGGACAAAATTGTAGCCTTTGGTAAAGCCGATGGGGTTGTAAATTCGGCGAGCCACTTTGACAAAGGCATTTGCTGGGGGGCGCGTAGGGATGACCATGTCGTCTTTGGGGTATGAATCCGCAGATAATAATCAAAATAAACACAAGATATACTGATTGTTGGATAAAATAATTCAGACTAGTGAGCAGTAGGATCAACAAGACAGAGAGGGTTTTATAATGTATAGTGCTGGGCAAGCCAAGACTATTGAATATGTGCCTCTAAGATGATTGCCAAATGCGGTAAGGTGTTGACAGATGGTTACGGCCGTAAGACTCGAAAACTAAAATAGATCAATAGATTCGGAATTCTAATTGGCTGGGCTGGATGGGGATATTCATTCGTACCTAGTAGCCTAACAAGGTAGCTAGTTTACGAGCAAAGCCTCAAATTTTACGGCCGTAAATGGACTTGATCTTGTCAACGCGATTCAGAGGACTCTCTCTAATAGCACCGAGTCCATTCTTCGTACTCAAGCTCCATTGCGAAGGCGGTAAATAGTCTGTGCTGTTGAACACAACAAGCGACACTAGATACTGCATGAAGTTTACCTAGGTAATAACCAGCTCTTGCTAAGCTCAATAGCCAAATATCTGGTGGATATCGAGATAAATAAGATAGTATTAGTGTATTATATACATTTGGCACAGTTTGTATCTGGGATTGAAATCCCTTTTGGTCGATAAATTGGCGTTTGTCAACTTTTTCCATTGACTAGGTTCCGACCAGTGGAGCGTTTGGGGCGGTTTTAGCAATGTCACTGATATCATTTACTCCGAACTGGTTGAGTGTCCAGGCAGCTGCAGAGAACTAACCCGAAAGACACGATTCACCCGAAAGTGATCTTTCATTGGTCGGTACAGGGGCCATTTAGCATCGTCTGACATCCCACTGGGGACGTCGCTAATCCACGCTACGTCGTTAACCTTTTCTCTTCTCTTCTCCTTGTTCTATGAGAACCTTTCCATGACACCCGTGTATATCATTGGGTGGCCCTTAAAATGGCGGCATTCGCATCTCCTGCCGACAGAGCTCATCCGCAGCGCGTGTCCTTCGATAGCGGGATTCCGTCGGGCGCCGATGGACCCGCCGCTGCCAGCCCGCCCAAACCTCGAGAAAAGGCCCGGCGCCGAAATCGGGTGATTCATTCGTGTCTTGAGTGTCGTCGGAGGAAGATGAAATGTGACAGAGAAGTACGTATACCGGGAACACCCAGGTCGGAATTGACTAATAGGCCAGATAGAATCCCTGTCAGAACTGCTGCACATCGCTGTTGCGATGCATCTATGTTCCTACTGTAAACGCAGATGCTCAGTTTCGTCAAAGATTGGCCGAGATGAAAGAGGCCAAAGACGCGATCGATGACACTCTCCGGGGAGATCAACTGGAACCCCCGAAAGGTGGCCCAAAGCCAAAGCGAAGAAGGCAGCCTGAAGAGTCCGGGAGCGATGATTCGGATACTTCCGCCGATGATGGTCATTTGGAGCCGACACCGCTAGCAGTTCAAGACGCAGCGTATGCGGATGAAGCTGATGATGATATTGAAGATCTGGGCTTCAGAATTGGCAGAATGAAGGTGGGAGCAAGGATTGGAGGCTATTACCGTCCAAAGATTGCAGACGAGGTGTGTAGAAGTAGTAATATCCTGTCGCCCATGGTTCTTCAAAGTTGATTTATACTACAGATCTTGTTGTGCCTTCAGCAGAATCCAAGAGGGCCTTCTACCCCAGTGACGACCTCTGGTAGGATAGTGGACCTTTTGCGACCAGGGCCGTATCTTACGGTACCTTCTACCGACTTTTTGTTTAGCCAAGCTTTTTCGGGGCAGGATTTGACTCGGTTACTTCCCCCTCGCAGTGTTGCAGATAAGTTAATGGAATGCTATTGGGATGCGGTTCATCCGGTGTCCCGGGTTGTCCATCGACCTTCATTCATTCAACGATACGAAACTCTGTGGGAGACAATAGAAAATGGATATCAGGTGCCACCGTCGCTCGCAGCAATCGTCTATTCCATTCTGTTCTCTTCTTCCGTTGCAATGTCCGAAGAACAGATTTCAGAGCTTTGCCAAACCTCCAAAACAGATTTGAAGGATAACTTGAAACTAGGTACCGAGTGCGCCCTCGGTCGAGCTCAGCTGCTTAGAGCGAGCAAGTTTGAGACTTTACAGGCATTTACTGCATACTTGGTATGTTTCTGCTATTCCCAATTGGCATGACTGATTTCTCATGTATAGTTAGCTTCCAATGTGTCTCAACGAGATATCTCGGGCACATTCTGTTTTAACCGGTATGCTGATTCGACTGGCCGAGTGCATGGGGCTTCACCGTGATTCTACTGAGTTTGGCTTTTCTCCCGCCGAGTGCCACACACGGCGCTTAGTCTGGTATCAAATCTGCTATCTTGATCTCAAGACAAGCTCGGCCCAAGGCCCTCGCCCATTCATTCACAGAGACGGGTATACGACTCGACTCCCTCTAGACGTGGCTTCATTGCGAACGTCTACGAATAACTCACTTCCTTGGAACGACCTGATATTCTCCATGATTCGATTTGAATGTCAGGAAATGCATCGGCAAAACATAGCATTCCGCAACGAACTGGACCAAAAGAGGATCGGCCTGACCAAAGTGATATCCAAGATAGAGGCATTTCGCGTTCAGATGGACGCCAAATACGGCCCTTATCTTAATGTAGCGTCTCCATGTCCGATGCAGAGGATGGCCAGTTTAGTGCTCAAGCTCTTTACAAGTCTCTTCTATATCAATATTTTGAATCGATATATGACCGGCGTCACATATCAGATTCCAGACAGGTTGCGCCAAATAGTGCTGACCAAAGGCACCGACGCCTTGGAAGCCGCGGTAGAGTTAGAATCAGCAACAGATCTTCGGAAATGGGCTTGGTACAGTTCTTCCTGGCAAGACTACCATACTGCATTGCTGTTGCTTATAGAAGTTTTCCTTTTCCCAATGCGCAGGGAGTCGAGCCGCATATGGTGTTGCTTGGATTTTATCTTTGCGGATGCTATCTCGAATCTCCCTCCGATGGATCAAAAAGGAGTGGTGCCGAACATTAATGAGATTGTTGCATACCGAGATAGTAAAGCGAGATATATACTCATGATGATTGTCGAGCACACGCGTGCGTACCAAAACGCGAAAGGGTTGAAGACTCCAATTCGGTTCGAAGACTCGATGACGGTCGCTCCGCTTCGGAGGGATGCCGATGATTCCGGCTCTAGAACGCCATTTGATTATGCACACTGGGAGCCAGAGACAGAAACAAACGCTCAATATGCTTCACTGCCTCCAAGGGGTGTCAGGTCTGGCCATGCTGAGGTACAGTCAGGAGTATTCCAACCGCCCACGGGAATGCCAATAGAAAGAGGCACTGGTCCTGGCAGTGAGGACTTGGATACCCTGGACAACTCAGTTAGTACTTGGGGGACGACTTCTGGACGATTATCTCCTTGGGCGCAGTTTGCAGAGTCAGGACTTGACGGCGATAGCGGCCCGGTGCTTCACTCGGGTTACAGAAACTACTCCACGAACACAACGCCTAATGGGAGCTCATCGACAGCGCCTCACGAAATGAATGGACCGTCTAATGACCCCAATCCACAGATGCTAGAGATCGACTGGGTAAATAATACTATCTTGTTGCCTAAGAGTGATTTACTGACAGTCTCCACAGAACCTTTGGGATACTATATTCCCACCACAAATCAATGATGGCAACTTGGACATACCTGAGGATGGTTTTTGGAGTATAGGTCACAGTTACCTTACTTGACGTACCCTCTCAAGGCCAATAATCACTTTCCAAGTTTTGTTGGATCTCACAGATTTATCGTCGCGCGCGCAGTAGCAACCTTCGCTGTGCCATCTCCTCCCTTCATGGGTAAATTATTCCCGAGGAATAAACCGTGCGATGGTGATGGACACTGTACACTGTAGCTCGAAGGTATATCGAGTATATCCCAACGAAAATGATTACAGTATCTTGTATCCCATCTTCCTCCTGAAGCTGACACCCATTACCGCTCCCAAATACATTCGTAGACAAGCTAGAATTATCAGGATTAAGGCTTTGGGAGACTTTGGATTTCATCTTGCTCAAGCGACCAAACATCGACAAATTCAACTAGAACATGCAGATGAAACGCAAAAGTTTCTCTATACCACTTACCCTAGAAGAACTATTATTCGTACCACCCAGCCTGCAATATGCATCGGACTTGAACGCCATGTTAGATTGAGGGTCTTCCGTCATGTTAAACCCGATTCTATGTACATGACTTCTCCGAAACCTATCAATTTGAGTCGAGGAGTGTAGACACAGTGCGGATAAACGTTTCTAATTCCATCTCCTTGTTCTCCAAAAGTGCTTTTTGATGCTCAACTTTGTCCTTGATCACGTCATATGCTGCCAGGTCGTGTAGCTTGTTGGTCACGAATGTTTCCACTTCTTCTGTACTCCCGTACTCAATGAGGCGCTCGTCCCACCAATCGGCACCTTTGTGCCTCCGTAATTGCATGCATGGAAAGCTTGAAGAATCAAAAAAGCCGCTTGAAAGAAGCATGTGGAGCCACATGGCACCAGAATCCTCGGACCACTTCACTAGCTCAGAGAGTTCCTTCTTTTCGTCTCCCATCTTGGACTCTTCCTCCTCCAACACACGCTTGAATATTTCTAGGCATTCGAAGTAGCGATCCGTAGCTTTTGGTGCCTCATCTCCTTCAAAATCCCACTCGTCATTGAGTGGGCGATCTAAAAGAAGCCACCAAGGAGCGGAGCCGAACAATTGAGCTGGCCCAGCATAAACCCACTCAAGGTCGACCACCCCGATAATTGTAAGGTCCTCCTTACTACGGACGATCATATTTGCCGGCCCGAAATCATCACAAATGAGTTTAAAGGGGCCTCGATCGTATAACGCATTTGTCATATCGGGTATTAGAGACTCCAATATTTTTAACGATGCGTATCTTGATCTGGCAGTCCTAGGGCCGGCAATTGAATTTAATTGGTATCGCAGCTGTTTCCAATCCTGCTTGTTGACAAACTGGAAAAACTCTTTAGCAGTGGAGAAGCCTTCTTCTTGGCCATCTAAGGTCGTTAGTAAAAGTCTTCGCCTAGGATCTAAGACGAACCGAATGTATGAACACCTCCTACCCGCAAAATTTCGTGTGCTTTCCACGTAAGTGGACGACTTGGCACAGCATATTTCGTCCTTGGGGTTGGCAAGCTGCCAATCTGGTCAAAACCGATCTTGAACAGCTGCAACATAAATTGCGCTATTTGTTTGTAAACGTATTCGATATCAGCATCGGAAGTTTCCTCCTTAAGCAGTCTTGAATGAGTTCCGCCAAAAACGTCGTTAAGACAGACACCGTCTATGAATTCCATCAAGATATAAGGGCCCAGTTCAAGTTGATTTTCGCTAGCAAGGCCCCAAGCGTAGACTTCCGGGACGGGTATTGACGTCTTCTCCCGGACAAGATGAAGGGCCTCCACTTCCATGGCCACTTTCTCGTCCGCATATTCCGGAGAAATACTGCTTGCACGGGGCAAGCGGAGGAACCAAATTGCCCCGTCATCGAAAGCGAATTTTTGTCCAAGATTGTATGACCCGTTATGGAAGCCACCGACCAGCCGGCATGGGAGTCTCAGGGGATGGTACTGCGTAGCCCAGCTGCAGAGACGGCCGTCCACACGAGCCATATTGACCTTGTCGACCCAATTTGCCTCTTCCGCCATGTGGAGAAGGTCAAGAGGTTTGTTATAGTCCATAATGAACAACGTGCTCTAGGGAGAATGAAAACCAGGTATGAACGATCTCACTGGTAGCAGCAGAGAAGGGGCAGCCTTTTAATGCCAAATCGTGGTAAACGTGATGCAGACCGCCAAGTTTGCTACGCGAAGAATCCCAGGAATTGTCTTATGAGATCATTCGACACTCCATTTACTCTTATGGACTGAATGACTTATACGATTTGTGTTTCCTGAGATTCGTCTTAGGCATGGAGCCGAAAAGTTCCATGGTTCGAGTTCGATTATTTTATAGCCTAGGATCCCCTGATTCCTCCCTTGGTTCCTTCATAGATTTGCTCAGAGTGACAATCTCTACAAGGAAAGTACATTATACGATCACGCGCTCGTCAAAAGATTCACAATTATATCTACCTTGAAGTTGACAAAGATTTATGGGTGTGCTCTTTGATAAAGAAAGTTCCCTTATAAATTTGACTGCTGGGTGGGATAAAATATAAATCCAAGTTAATTTAAAAACTAGCAAATCCCAGCCTACCATTCTCCTGTACTAAGATGCACAAGAGCCCTGACGTCCGACACATTGTGTCTGCCCGCTCTTCTTCTGTGATTTTGTCAGCTCGTGGTAGATCCCTTCCCCCTTTAAGGTGCACTAACAGGGTTACTCCTCTTCTCAATTTGCGCTGCTTTACGAGCCTCCTCTGCTTCCTTTAAAGCGCAGTTTTTAGCTCGTTTCTTCTGGTAAGATATGGCGGCATCTATTAACCTACCTAGAGGGGTATCTACCATTTTGCATGGTGCGACCGCTGGGCCATGTTCTCAGTTCGCAAAGAATAGCTTTCATGAGGTCATTGATATTTTGATAAAGGCAGGAGTTGATATCAATGCCAAGGATCATGAGGGATGGACAGCATTTCATATTGCAACCTCATGGGGAACTTGTACTCTAAAAAGCCTGATTGCTCACTGCGCCTCGGACTAGACGGCCCTGACGAACGATGGTTTATCAATTGATGATCTGTCTCCAATCGCCCAATATTGCCTTGTTGCACTAGCTAGAATCAATCAAAGCTAGGAGACTGAAAGACCCTTCCAAATCGCTTTGGGTGTACATTTGAATAATCTCGCGGCCCTTCTTTGACAGAACATCTTCGTCCTGTGCTAGGACATTTCTGCATATGGGCCCTTCTCTATCGCCATCCAGCTCGTATAAGAAGCATGAACGTTTCACTAAACACACATAGTGATGGTCTATTTCGGCTTCTGCAGGAGGGGCCTCGGATGACCCACTGGTAGCAGCCTGCTGGTAGACTGCATCCAAATATTCTGAATTTTCGAGGTACTCAGTACGGTTTTCGGCTGCCATCAGACGGTCAAGGAAGGACCCAGCATCTATGATTGGTGTCAGTTGAAGCCCTGAGTCTAGAATGATCTTCTGTCCTACTAATTGAATTAGAAACGTTGCAAGCACAATGCAATATTGCATAGAGCCCACATGCATTGTTGATGGTTTGCCTGAACCACACAACTTCTTCGTTTTCGTCACTTTTCAAGCTTTGGCACTTGACTCCCTGCTCTTCATACGCTGGACAAGCTGGTAAGATCAGGATTAAGGCTTGAACAGCACCTGGGAGATTTTGGATTTCATCTTGCTCAAGCGACCAAACATCGACAAACTTGAGAGTAGGATTAACACCTAATTTGTGCATCAGGGATGTGAATATGTTAGGATCAGATTCCAGTGGAATGTAATGCTTTCTGTATATCATGATGGAGAAAAGCAGAATCCTATCGGATGAGTTAAGACGTAAGCTGGAGGGACTTCTGAGTGTGAATCCTATGCTAAATTGGGCCGCAACCTTCCGAGGTTGGAAGTCCTAGCCCTGGGGGTCCACGGCGGGGGCCCCGCCGGGGGTGCTAGGTGATTACATAAGACCACTTTACCGGGCGCTAACCACCTGGGGACAACATTGGAAGTTGACAACCTTGGAAGTTGACAACCTTGGAACTACAAACTCAACTACCTACAGATGTAGGTAGGACGTACATATGGAACGTAAAAATGTCTCTATACTCACTACCATTGGAACTCTTACTACTCTTACCGCCCAACCTGCAATATGCATCGGACTTGAACGCCATCTCCCAGACTTGTCGCCTGTTTCACACCATATTCAACCCTCAGCTCTACTCAATATTTGCGGCTAGTTGTGAACCCAATATTCTGCGCCTTGTGGAGAATGGCAATTTCAATGCTTTGCAAAGGCTACTATCTGCTGGTTACATGGTTACAGACTATTTGATTTTCTGGAAACGCCGGACTTTTGGTGGGACGTCTGCTGTTCCTATGAATGGGAGCAGAAGTCTTCCATGATGACTGCAGCACGAAATGGCCATGTGGAGATTCTTCAAATGTTTATTGACAAACTGCCTTCAACCATCAAGAAGTTTGCTCATCGATCCTCGCGTCTTCTGAATGTCGCGGCCACGCATGGTCAGTTGGATGTAGTGAAGTGTTTAATAGCTCACGGTATCCCAACAGGCTATGGTTTCACGCCGGGGCGGTCCACTCTGGACTCACTCCAAGATGCGGTTAAAGGGGGCCATTTGCCGGTGCTTGAATATTTACTTGACGAGGGGACATGCAAAGATTCACAAGATTTGGTTGATCTTCTTGATCATGCCACAAGCGGATGTCATTTGGAGATTGTGAAATACCTGGTCAAACGGGGTGCTGATTTTATCTGTCCACTTTCAGGCTACCCTCCAAGTATAGACCTGATTCCATTTTCGAATATGCTATAAATATGGGCCACGAAGACATTGCATCATTCTTCCTACAAAGTGCACCTCCCGACCTCTTGAATGACATCAGCATCAGCGGCTGGTATTCGATGCTGAGACCTTGTCGCCGCGACGAAGTCCCATATTCCTGTCCGTCTCCATGGGGAAAACCACACCTTGCCCAGATGATATTGGACCGAGTCAATCTGGAAACACAACTTGCAACCACTACTGCACCCGAGCAAGCCAATTTGCTTGCTGTGGCAGCACAAACTGGAAACGTGGCTCTTACTCAACGATTACTTGACAAGGGTTGCAGACCTGACTTGTCCAACATGAGACTCACACCCGTGTCCCGGGCAGTGAATAACGGGCACGCCGAAATTATAGAGGCTTGCCTTCGTTGTCCGGGGTATCCAGTCTCCCAATTTGACATTGCTTCGGCGGCAAAAAAAGGAGAAACGGCTACTGTGCTCAGGCTTCTCGACAAACTTGGAAGAAAGGATTACAAGAGTTTTGCCAAAGTTGCATTGAATGCGGCTTCACATCTGGACAAATTTCTACCTGTGATGGAAAGTGTTTTCGATGCTCTCTACAAAAAAGACGTGAAGACTGTAATTTCGATGGCGACAAGCTTCACTGGTCCCGAAACTTCGTGTGTAGGCCACTTGGAAGTTACAAAATTCTTACTTGAGAAGGGACGCAAGCGACCATTCGACGAGATACCTAAGACGTTGTCAAACGACGTTGGAAAGAGCCTACCACGCTCCTGGAGCACGCAGCGGCCGTTTGCCCAGTTGCTCAGTTCCAAGCAGCACTTGCGCAATGGAACTTTGAACTTGATCCAGACGACGGTTATTGCCAAAGATGCACTTGTTGCCGCCGCCCTCCACAAGAAGGTTGAAACAATTCGGCTATTTATTGAGAGAGGGTTCGATGTCAAATCCACATACTTACACCGTGGGAAGCTCATGTCGTTGCTACATCTAGTCGTTGAAACACCGGTAGACGATTATGGTCGGGTTATTGACATGGATGATGAAAAAGCGCAAGTACGACAGCGTTATAAGCCTAATGGACATCCCAAGTACATCCACGCGCATCAATACAGTTGCTCATCGAGCATGGCGCTGAAATTGATCAAGTGGACTCACATGGCCGGACAGCTCTCTTCTTAGCTACAGAAATCAGGACACTTGTTTTGGCAAGGGAGCTGCTCGAATTGGGAGCCAATCCCGTTTTCAGCAGGCCGGGCAAAGTCAGCCCTCTCGAGCTGGCCATTTCCCAAGGCCAAACAAAATATGTGAAAGCCTTTTTGAAGGCCATGGAGGCCCGTTCTTTCGCCTGTGACAATTTTGTTAGCCTCATTCCGGACGTTCCGCCAGTAGAGATGCTACCAAATAGAGCTTCTCATGATCGGTTTTCTGTCTCTTCGAGAAATCTATTGCCGCAACGGGGAATGCTTGCTCGAGATGGACATATGGGACCCACGATAACCATTCCATCGCCTTCTGGGGAAATTGATAGGCGAGACAGCACGAGCTCGGAAGACATAAGCACAGATGACGAGACCATTAGGGCGGGGCCTCCAACTTCGGAAGATAATTTCCTATCAATTTGGTCTGCAACCGAGGACGATGAGTGTGTTGGCGATCTACGCTGGGTACGGTTCTTTATCGCAAAGGCCATGACTCAACATCACTGGAGAATGATGTACCCAGTGCCAGTTTAGATTCGAAATTGAAAGGGCACAAAATACATATACCCATAATAAATAGTAAATCAATCAACAAATTGCATATAACTAATTATGAATGTGCAATCATATCATTTCAGATTCGCAGTCAATCATGTCTATCATGTTGGTATTCCATAACTATAATGCATATATGCTATCATCAGATGTACGTCGAGTGACAAGGCAACCTTGGAAAACAAGGTGCAACTCAATCCAAAGCCTCTAGATCTACCAGTAGCCAGGGAAGAGCCAGTCCAGCTTCTCCTTAGCCTCAGGCTTCCAGTTAGTCTGAGGGGTGCTAACACCAAACTTAATACCGCCAGCCAGGTGCTTAGCCTGGACCAGCTCGCTGTGCTCATCGCTAGCCAGGGCATCAAGGACAGCAGTCACGAAACGGCGGGCGTTATCAGCGTTGGACTTCATGTTGCCCATGACCATCTCGACGGTCACATCGGCAGTGGCCTCGTGCCAGCAGTCATAGTCAGTGGACATGCAGATCATCTGGTAGGCGATCTCAGCCTCGCGGGCGAGCTTGGCCTCAGGGAGGGCGGACATGTTGATGACGCTGCCACCCCATGAGCGGTACATTTTGCTCTCAGCGCGGGTGGAGAACTGGGGGCCCTCTGGATAGTGTAAAAGACATGGTTAGCGATGCTTTGTCGTAAGAACGGGTCACGTCTTCACATACCCATGCAGACCAGAGTACCACGGTCGTGCAGGACGACGCCATCACCCTCAAGGCTGTGTCCGCACTCGCGCACCACCTTGGCGATGCCCTCATCGAAGGGGTCACCGAAGGGGACGTGAGCGACGATGCCACCCTCGAAGAAAGTCCACGGGCGCACGCCCTTGGTGCGGTCAATGACCTGGTCAGGGATGACGAAGTCGCGGGGCTTGATCTCCTCCTGCAGACTGCCGACGGCGGAGAAAGCAATAATGCTGCGGACACCAATGGAGCGCAGGGCGGCGATATTGGCACGAGCGGGAACCTCGTGAGGAGCGATCTGGTGGTGCAAGCCGTGGCGGCTCAGGAAGGCGACGGCGACAACCTTGTTGTTGTGCTTACACTGGTGGTGCAGAATGGTGATGGGCGAGGAAGGGGCGCCCCAGGGGGTTGTGACATTCAACGAAGCCACCTGAGTGAAGCCAGGCAACTCGCGCAGACCGGTGCCGCCGATGACAGCGATACGGACGGGCCCTGTTTAGATTTACTATCGTCAGCTTTCTATCGAAGTGGGGGGGTATGAGGGGTAGTAAAGTGAGAGAAGCGGAAGCACACGTACCATCGTATGTGGTAGGGAGAGAAGCCATTCTGCGAGCGAGTTGTTTCGCGGACTCAATTCGACGAAATGGTTTCGATATAGAAGAGATTGAACGTAAGCCTAAGATCCATCGCATCTTGCGCCATCTTCAAATCTCTGAGGCTGCGGCCAAGCTGCGCTTCTCCGATTGGTTGTTAGTCGACCCACGTGTTGCGGGTTCCTGAGGCCGCCACCTGCCTTTTTGGGCCATCTATACAACTTTAATACGCATCTACATCTACATCGACCTTTACATAGCTACATAGCTATGGGGTCCCAGTTTACCAATAGTTACAAATTTATACAATGTCCTATTTTGTATAGTTGATACATATGCAATTTGGGATAATAGATACTATCTGGGGTGATACAGGGTCTAGAGTGATGTACTCGAAACAATCTAAGCCGGCAGCCACTCATAATGATGAGGACCCTTGTGAACAGGTCCTGGATCCTCACCTGGAATACCAGGCTTGTTGTAGCTGTGTGAACCGAAGTAGTCCATCTGCGCCTCCATGAACTGTGTCGGCAGTCCCAATCCACCCTCATACTTGAGATATTCCAGAGTAGCCGAGAGAGCCGGAATATACTGATCAAACATGGTTCCCTCCATGACAATCTGCTTAAGACTGTGGAAGTTCTGGCGCAACTCATGCGAGACCGCATCCACAAACTTGGCATTCGTCAGCTCATTGTTGCCTGCAAGCGCCGGCTGCAGTAGATCCGCAATGTAATCGGACTTGATGATACAACCCGCTCGCCAGATCTGCAGACAGTCGCCCAAGTCAATATTCCAGCCTTCATCTTTCGAGGCCCGGGAAATCAGCTCCAGGCCCTGACAGAAAGATGCCAGGAACGAGCAGAACACAGCTTGTCTTAGGTTCTCGATGATCACTGCGTGGTCCCGGGTTCCCTCAATCGGTTTCGGCATGGGCATCTCCATCTTCTTCGCAACACGCGCTCGCTCTATGCGATTTCCACTTGCGACTCGCAAGTAATGAGCGGCCGCCAACGTAGGCAAGAGACATGTCGGGCGGCAGACTCCATGAGACACCAGTATGGAGTGCCTTCAGTGTTATCGTCGTCTTGGACTACTTTATCAAGCACGTCGTCGAGCACATATCCATTATCCCGGCTGGCTCCCTCGCCTTTGCGGTCACCGTGGGGAGTTCTCTTTTTGTGTAGCATGTCGGCACCGATGTTTACCAGGTAGTTGCCCCGCAGCTCGCCAGACTCACTCCATTTATTGAAGACATCTCCGATTTTGCCATGCTCCATGGCCAGTCCCTCATGCATGTATTGCCATGTTTCAGCAAGAGCAGAAAGCATTCCACCCTCGATGCCATTATGAACCATCTTGATGTAGTGGCCCGATCCACCGGGACCCATGCGCTTCACGCACGGAGCTCCTGTTTTGGGATCATGGGCCGCATACGACTCCAAGAATGGCATAACAAGCTCGAGGGCCTTGGCATCTCCACCAGGCGAGAGACTGGGTCCCCGTCGCGCAGACTGATACCCACCCGAAACGCCCATTCCGATCCAGGAGACGCCGATCTCTTCACACTCTCTCTGGCGCCGCTCGGTGTTCCGGTAGTTCTCATTTCCGCCGTCGAGGACGATGTCGCCCTCTTTCAAGTCGGGTTTAATCATGCGGAGTACTTCGTCGGCGGGGTGACCGTGCGTGATGGAAAACATGAAGACCTTCCGTTCAGATTTGCCCTCTAGGCTCTTCGTGAATTTGTTGATGTCATAGAAGCCTTGAACTCGGCCTGTGATGGCGTCGTCCTGCTTTGCGTAGTTCACCACTTCGTCCACGTTCTTCTTTACTACATCCCAGACCGAGACTTGGAGGCCAAGCTCAGCGAAGCGGAGGGTCATCATAGAGCCCATGTTTCCGGCTCCGACGACGCCGATGCTTTTGATGGCGGTTGTCATTGTGAATTGGTCTTGATTCTGTAAAGCTAGCTCATGTGTTGTTATTCGAAGCTCAGATGCAAAATATGCAGGAGATATTAGCACGGAGATATCTGGGACGACGTTTCTTCTTGAACAAGAATCTTGTGGCGATCGCGTCAGTGATCCGGGCAGTTGTCAATATGCAATCACACACGCCACGAACCAGTCAACGGAGCCTGATTCCTCTTGGCACATATCATTCGTTTGCGGAGGAAAGTGAGGCAAAATAATTACTTTAGGGTGTATGAAAGACTTCGAGTTGTGGCCAAACTGGATATGGGGCTGATATGACACAGCACTGACGACACAAGCCCTAAGCGTAGTAAAATCCAATATTACATCACAATGGACACAGAATGAACAAGGAATGGGCAAAACAAAAACAAATGAGGCAAATGTATCCCTAATTATACCAAGCATGGCAATCTTTCATAGAAGCTCTGTCCCCATGCATCCTGTGGAGTGTATCTTCTTGGCCGATATCAACAGCCCCGAATAAGATCACGATACACCACACCATTTTTTTTTTGACAGTCATTTAGGAAAACATTTTGGACGAAAAATGTCATTTCCCCACTCCAGCCTCCAAAACATCCCCCTTTCATACGCTTCCTGCTCAATTGGCTGCGGCCCAAACGACACACTCCCGCGCCGTCTCGAAGCAATCAGCGGAGCAGGCTTCACAGCAATTGAGCTCTCCTTCCCAAACATCTTAGAGTATGGGGCGCAAGTTACTGGCACTTCAATTGCACCCGATGACTACCCTGCGATTTTCCCCATCGCCGTGGAGATCCGCAAACTATGCGAAGAAAACGGGTTGAAGATCATGATGCTGCAGCCATTCTCAAACTTCGAAGGCTGGGCCAGGGGCTCTACAGATCGCGAGGAGGCCTTTGCTAGAGCGACCGGCTGGATGGAGATTATGAACGCCGTGGGTACGGACTTGTTGCAGGTATGACAGCGATATATATATACGATGAGCAGCGCAAAAGTCGCGAGAACAAGCAGCTAATACCATATCTAGGTTGGAGCAACAGACACACCGGAACCGTTAATTAAAAAAGATCGCGACGTCATCGTCTCCGACTTGCGCGCTTTATGCGACATTCTCGCGAAACGCAACTACCGCCTCGCCTACGAGAACTGGTGCTGGTCGACTCACGCGCCCGCGTGGAAGGATGTCTGGGAGATTGTGAAAGCTGTAGATCGTCCGAATTGCGGGCTGTGTTTGGACACATTCCAGACTGCGGGCAGTGAATGGGGCGATCCGACTACCGAGTCTGGTCTAATTGAATCAGTCTCGGAGTCCGAGCTAAAGAAGCGGTTTGATGCGAGCATGGATGAGCTTGCAAGCACTGTGCCCGGTGATAAAATCTATCTGCTTCAGATCTCGGACGCGTATAAGGTGTCGCCGCCGTTGGACGACAAGACTATTGGTGGGCTCAGGCCGAGGGGTCGCTGGAGCCATGATTTTAGGCCCATGCCATATGACGGCGGGTATTTGCCTATCGAGGATGTTGCGAAGGCAGTGCTCAAAACTGGATTCCGGGGTTGGTTTTCGATGGAGATCTTCGATAGTGGACCGCAGGGGACTGGGAAGAAGTACGAGATGGGGTCTTTTGCAGCGAAGGCTATGGATAGTGTGAAGAAGTTCTTGAAGAATTGTGCGACGGATTAAGAGAAAAAATTGCCTCCAAAATGTCTCTAAAGATATATGGGTGTTGAAGAAGTCTACTTGGTACATTTGGCATGTTATCTTTATAGACTTTGAAATAAATAAATACATATTTTGAAGATTGGAAATTCGTACACACAATTTAAAGAAAACGCCGGGGTGGGATATGCAAGATTGACGCCAATGAGATCAGAAAGCACGCAATATCAGCCTGAAGGTTATGGATAGGGGACCGTTATCCATTAGTTGGCGTTGCTGGGATACGCAACGGTGTATGTAGGAACATACTCCTCCTTAATGGAGCGCAAGCTGACGAAACGGGACATCAGGTTGGCACTTCCGGCCTTGTCGTTGGTACCGCTAGCACGGGCACCACCGAAGGGCTGCTGGCCGACAACGGCACCGGTGCTCTTGCAGTTGATGTAGAAATTGCCAGCGGCGTTGCGGAGAGCCTCATCGGCGAGCTGGACAGCCGCACGATCCTGGGCAAAGATAGAGCCGGTCAGAGCGTAGGTGCTGGTGGAATCGATCTTGTCACAGATCTTGGTAAAGTCGGCATCGGTGGCATCATTGTAGGAGTGAATGACCAGGACGGGACCGAAAAGCTCGCGAGAAAGCAGAGGGTGGTCGGGGTTCGATGTGCGGTAGACCGTAGGCTGGATGTACCATCCCTTCGAAGAGTCGTAGGTTCCACCGACGAGCAACTCAAGCTCGGGGTCATTCTTGGCCTCCTCGATAACACCGGACAGCTTGTTGAATGAGGCCTCGTGGATGACGGGACCGCAGAAGTTGGTGAACTCAGATGGCTCGCCAACGTTGATCTTCTTCACCTCAGCGACGACCTGCTGGGTGAAGTCCTCGGCGATCGAAGAGGCAATGTAGGCACGGGAGGTGGCACTGCACTTCTGGCCCTGGAACTCGAAAGCACCACGCACGGTCTGGACCGCGGCGTTACGGACATCTGCGGACTTGTGAACCAAGTGGAAGTTCTTGCCACCGGTCTCACCCACAATGCGAGGGTAGCTGCGGTACTTACCGTCAGCCACGCCCTGTGAGATCTTACCGTATAGCATGCGGAAGACATCAGTGCTTCCGGTGAAGTGCAGAGCGGAGAAATCGCGGCTCTCAAGGACAGTTTCGGTCACCTCCGCGGCGTCACCGGGAACGAACTGGATGACGTCCTTAGGCAGACCGGCCTCAAGCAGGATCTGGTGCACGAGCCAGTTGGAGGCAATAGCGGAAGGCGAGGGCTTCCAGATCACGACGTTACCCATCAAAGCGGGAGCACCAGCTAAGTTACCGCCGATTGCGGTGAAGTTGAAGGGGCTGATCGCGTACACGAAACCCTCGAGAGGGCGGTACTCAAGACGGTTCCACACACCGGCAGCGTTGTGAGCAGGCTGCTGTGCGTACAGCTCTTCGGCATACTTGACACCGAATCGGAAGAAGTCGCAAAGCTCAGCGGCGGAATCAATCTCGGCTTGCCATGCGTTCTTACCCTGTCCGTGCATAGTCAAGGCCATAATATCGTAGCGGTACTTGGTCGCAATCAGATCAGCGGCCTTGAGGAAAATGCTAGCACGCTCGGCGAAAGGAGTGTCGGCCCAGGACTTGCGAGCGGCGAGAGCCGAGTCAATGGCGGACTGAACATCGGCCTTCGATGCGTTGGAGTAAGTTGCCACGGGAGCATGGGTTGCGGGGTTAGACTGGGTGAAGGTTTCATATCCCTTGAGCTGTGTGATTAAATGTTAGAAATTGCTGCTTCAGTATATATAAAATTTCTTGATAATCCTTACCTCCTTGCCCGCAACTACCAGAGGCACGCTCAGAGGGCCTTGCTGCTTGTACTTTGCCAAAGCCTCCTCGAGACCCTTGCGATCCGGAGTGCCAGGAATGTAGTGTTTCTTAAGATTCGAAAGTTAGCCTAAATGATCAAACCAGCTCAATTCTAATGCCGAACTCACGTTAGGTTCATTGTTAATTTGGGGCACCTTGAAAGTGGCGTAAGTGCCCATGGAGCGAGTGCTGGAGCTTGGAATGCGGCATGCAAGGCGCGAAATGGGCGCGCGGGTGCGCATAATGGAGGACATCATGATAGTTTGAAATGAAGACAGTGAATCAACTTCCAAGCAATGAAGAAGAGAAGATTTGGAGAAGAAGTAGACGCGGGGAAGAATGATCAAAAGTGCCGGCTACTACCGGTCAGAAGCTCAGAGCTGCATGGGAGTGGCTGAATGTGTCAACCAATCAGCAGTGGCCGGTTATTGTCCCGGGTGGATCCCACCGGGCCGGCGTCTATCAGCGCTTTCCAAGAGAAATCATTTTAGAAATCATTTTCTTCACCGGGCCTTGATGTTCTCGATAAATTCAAGTTCTTATTAGTCAAGAGATACTGGATAGACAATTGACATTCCCCACGAATCTAGATAGCCTCGATAGCGGAGATTGGGTTGCTTAGAGGACAAACAGAGAATCAACAATCGACCCCACTGATCGGCGCTAGATGTAGGAGTATACTTCATGGGTACAAGGTACAACAACTTATAATTCCCTTGATCGGTATATCGCATAGTATGTATAATACACCAGTGAAATACCAGCGTTCCAAAATAACAGCAGACCAAACAGATTCTATGCAATCCACCACCACACTCGTTCTAGCCAGTTGCGCGGGTGCGGTTCAATCTCCTCTTCTTCAAGTCGGTCAATCTCATCCTTGCCACTGAAAATATCAAGCTCTGACACCTTGGTCATCCATGGCGTCTTGTAATAGAACTTATGGCCGAAGTACAACACGAAGAAGATCACGAAGACAATGTAGGAAACAAGGAAATCCGAGGCGGTAAATGAACCTGGGAAGAATATGGTATAGCCGTTGGTAATAGCCAAAAGTGACACGAAGCCCATAACATAGTAAGCGCCGTACGGCTGAAATGGAGTAATGAAGGGCCGCGACTTGAGCAGTCCGTGGAAGTCTAAAGCGCTTCGGAAACGCTAAGGAGATATTGTTAGCAAGGCTATCCACGAAAGGAAGAGAAAAAAACACAATTAAACGTACCAAGTATGCTACTGCCACGATGACCCAAGCGACGAACCCTCCAATTGTAGTGATGTTAGTAAACCAATAAAACACGGTTGAACCTGAAGTAGATAGGTTCAAGAAGGAGAGTAAACCAATTGCCCATGTGATTAGAACAGCATTGTACGGCACGCCATTTTTGTTGCAGCGAAGGAAAAGTTTCGGAGCCTGGCCCTCACCCGCCAGCGAGTAAAGTGTGCGAGACCCAGCAAAGAGCCAAGAATTACCCGATGAGAAGGCAGATATAAGAATGGCAGCATTGATAACGTGGTTCAATCCAGAAATACCAGCATTCTGGATGCCGACAACGAACGGACTGGCGCCAGCACCAGCACCTCCGCTCGCAACACCCTGCAGGAGGTTCTTATCGTTGTATGCGACTGTCACACCAATGACCAAGCTGCCCAAGATGTAAAAAGCGAACAAACGGTAGATAAACCGGTTCGCTGCCTTGGGAATATTGCGGCGTGGCGAGGCAGCCTCACCGGCAGCAGCAGTGATCAGCTCTGGAGAGAAAATGAAGGAGAATCCGGACTTGATCATAGCGGTCCAGAATGCCAGAAAGCGGCCTGTGTTGATATTCGGGACCAAGTAGGGCTCCACGAAGGCACCTGGGTGCTCCCAGTATCGGAAACCCAGACGGTCATGCTTGGGACCACCGCCGAAGAAAAGTATGACGCCCAGGATGATTAGACCCAGGATTGCGAGGATCTTGAGTGATGCGAACCAGAATTCGGCTTCGCCGAACCAAGAGACTGCGACGATGTTTAAAAGCAGAATGACTAGTGTGATTGCATTAGAGGATATCATAAACGCTGGACTGTTGGCACACTATGTACTCACCGACGAGAATGATTGCGATCCATACACCTACGCTGACTGGTGACTGCCAATACTCGATGACAAGGCCAGATGCGGTGACTTCTGTTGCTAGCAACATTGAAAATGAATACCTAGACAGTGGGATTTATTAGTTTGAACTACTCGAACCTTGACATAAGTGCTAATCACCAGTAATTGTATCCTGGTGGTATTTCAATCAGCATCGGTGTTATTGAATCTACAAAGACGGGTTAGACATACCAATAGCAAATCCAAGACTGGGCTCCGTAAATCGAGTGATCAAATACGGCACAGAAACACCCTGGACCGGGAGATAGGTGGTCATTTCACCGAGCATGTTCATGACAAAGTATACGATACTTGACATGACAATATAACCCATGAGCAAAGGAGCTATCACATATTAGCCCCATATCAAGTTTATGTTTCTCAAGCTGCTTCCTACCAGGACCAACCGTCGACAGCGCTTGACCACTGCCCACAAAAAGGCCAGTTCCGATACAACCACCCAGAGCCAAGAATTGAACATGTCGCGAGCTCAAACCTCGCTGAGTCTTTGAGTTGTGAACACCTGTGATCTCTCCCTGTATGGCTTTTGGATCATCATATGGGGACTCGGGCCGGTCCCCCACCTCGAGACTCTTAGACGAGTCCTTCATGATGCACGAAGTCAGAAAAATAGGAAGATTGGCTAATATACAGCACAACTCAGGAGACAGAAAAAGAAGAACAGCAACGCGGCGGAAATTTCTAGGCAGCGCCGAAGCCTGTAAAACAACTTAAATATTCGACGAAAGACGCATTCTTATTATACAACATCTACTCCGTGCTCCGTAGCACCAAGGTGTTATCTTTTCAGATAGCTCTGAAGATGAGATAACAATACACGCCATGATAGTGTGCTCCAATTGGAGAAATCCCTCGGAGGACGATAATTAAAACGCCCAGGGAGGGAAATGAGTTTCCTGCGTCAATTGGTCATTTAGAGTCCATGTACGGAGTATCTATCAAGGACTGTGAAAGCGTATGCCAACGTCCAAAAAAGATCTAGAAGACTGTGCTATTGTGGGGGCTGTGATTGAGCTTTTTGAGATGATTGGCGCCCACATCGCCTTTTAGTCCTAGCTTAATCTCGCTGACGCCTGTCTTATCGTGTTTATACCTTTATAGGATTCTCTTATCTTACCCTTGACACATAAGGTTGCGACTTGATAACCTTGGAAATATTCCAACAAGCTTCTAGCGGCGTTCTTTTACTTAGTCCAACCTTGGAACGCTTCCAACGTTTCCGGGTAACCACATTGTTTGTGATTGGTGTGCAGGTCAAATTGACTTTTAAACCTTTGCCTCCCGCTTTGCCACTGCGATCACGTGGAATGTGTCTGGGGAAGAAACCGGGGTAAGGTAGGCGGACCTGTGCCCAGGTGACTGAATAAAATCACAAATAAAATCAAATATGAATGTATCTGCGGAGTAAGGGCCTCGGGGATTGGAGCATACCAGAACGTTCTGGGACTAAACCGAAAGTAGCCAGAGGTAGGTCACGCGTGCAGAAACACCGGCCCGGTTCTGCTTATCGCTTATCAGTGGCCCACAGCCAAATATCAAACCGGCCCGTGAACCGTTCGGGATGAAGAATATGCGAACCTCCTGTTGGCTGCACATTACCAGGGTAAAGAGGCGAATATCAAAGCGTCATTCAGGCTCAGACATGATCTCCCTTCCCTTGACTCAATCATACCTTAATAGTTCTTCGTGCCATTATCATTTTATATGATCCTAAAATCTATAGTTCCCAGATGACATGAATAATAGCAATGCCAATCCGTGGATCGTAACACATAAAAACTGCCATGCCCTCCCGGCCCGTTAAGATGGGCCTGCTGACCGTACCGGTGCCTGGCGGTTGCCACCGGCTCTTTTACTTCTTACCCAATGAGTTCCACCAATTTAATCGCAATATCTAAAAGGTCGTCTCCAACCGTGGCTCTTCCGTTTCTTCCATTTATTCTAAGTCTTCACCCTTCACTCACTTCAAAACTACGTCCTTGCCTTCCCTTTCCTAGTAATCATCTCACACACTACGACTTAACTGACAGCCATGAAGGCTGCACCTTCTGTGCGTGTGCCCCTCAAGGCCGCCGCCCAAACCACCAGACTGGTCAGCGGCACCAGTAACTCTCGATCTTCAGTCGCCTCCGTTTCAGCTACAAACGCATGGCAACCACAAACAAAAGCCCCGCCTCCGCTACCGCGCAAGGCACTGGCAGCACCTTTGGCTAAGCTGCCGTTGTCATCTGTTATCCGCTCCTTGCTGGTTCTGTCTGTTTCCTCATCAACTCTACTTCTCAAGCCATGCATCTATACCCTGTCTTTGCTGGCCCACCCGCGCAATGCGTTCTGGGATGTCTCCAAGAACCCATTGCTGAACATGCTTGTCAAGCACACCATCTATAAACAATTTAACGCCGGTGAGAATAAACTCGAAGTCCAAAATTCGATCAACCAAATCAAAGCTCTCGGATGCCGTGGTGTACTTCTGGGATATGCCCGAGAGGTCCTTGTCGGCGAGAATTCGGATGCCACGCGAGACGAGAAGGCTGCTCTGGCTGAGATTCAGATGTGGATGGATGGCACACTCCAGACAGTTGACATGGCTCAACCCGGCGACTTTGTCGCTTTGAAATTTACTGGAATGGGCACCGACGCCCTTCGCCTGTTGCAATCGCAGAGTATGCCCACCGAATTCATGGACAACTCTATCCTGAAGGTCTGTGATCTCGCCATCTCCCGTGGTGTCCGCCTGTTGGTCGACGCCGAAGAGCAGGCCGTGCAGCCTGGCATTGAGGCCTGGATCATGAAGTATCAGAAATACTGCAACTCGCAGACCCCCGGCCGTGCCATCTTCTACGGAACTTACCAAGCCTACCTGCGCTCTACTCCTGCCACTCTCGCTCGCCACCTTGAGACTGCTCGTGCTGAGGGATACACTCTTGGTGTCAAGCTTGTTCGCGGTGCCTACATGAAGACTGAGCCCCGCCACATCATCTGGGCTGAGAAGGAGGAGACCGACCAGTGCTACGACCAAGTTGTCGAGTCCCTGCTCACTCGCAAGTACAACTCCATGCTCCAGGCTCCCTCTAAGGATACCCCCGCCGAACTCCCTCCCGTCAATGTCATCATCGCTACTCACAACCGTGAGTCTGTTCGCAAGGCTCATGCTCTGCGCATGGAACAGGCTACCCGCGGCGAGGACTACGGCGTCGATCTTAGCTACGCTCAACTCCAGGGTATGGCCGACGAGGTTAGCTGTGAATTGCTTCAAGGATTCGAGAGTGCCGAGAACAGTGTTGGCGCTACCCCCATGGATGCCCCCAACGTCTTCAAGCTGTTGACCTGGGGCTCCGTTCAGGAATGCATGGGCTTCCTGCTCCGTCGCGCCGTGGAGAACACCGAGGCTGTTGGCCGTACTAAGGACTCTCAGATCGCAATGATCGCCGAGTTGAAGCGTCGCATTGGCAATGTTTTCAGCCGCAGCAAGTGATACCTGAATCATTCCTGATTTTCCTTTTCGACTTCCGGAGGCTACTTTAGATCGTTCTGTCTTTACTTAGCAGCCCACGGGCTCTTTCGCTATTTGTTTTTGTTGCATTTTTATTTGCGTATAGCTGGGTGCATTCTTCGTGGCGTTGCTACTGCTTTATGAGAACCTTGGAAGTCCATTCTGATGATGATCAATGAAATCAAACTTTTGAAAACTAAGTGACTGTATTCTTGTATTCTTGGTTAATTTTTAGTCGTAAGATTGGAATTAAGAAACCAGACCAGAAAGATAATCTCATACTGTCCAACCGGCATGATCGAGGTGAGATCATTTGGAATGTCCCCAGGTAGTCCCACCGGAACGACTTGCCCCTCACGAGGCCACTATATGTCGGAAGGTCTACCCGATGACCTCCCCCGTATATTCGACTCATCATCTCGGAAAGCCTCTCACTTATCTTTTACATAAAGTAAACTTTAGAAAACTGGACTCGAAGCATCTCACAAGACAATCAAACTCTCAAGCAAAATGCATATCCTCTCTGAGCCAGACGTCTCCAAAATCTTCCGCAGTCTAACACAAGCCCAATGCCACGGCTTCATCTCAGCACTTGGCAATGCTCTAATCAGCATAACCCAGGAATCAAAGCCCTCAACCCCAGCATCCGCCAAAAAAATCCACCAACCCCTCCGCACAGTCCTCAGCACAAGCGATGACAACACATCCCTCTTCATGCCGGTTTCGGACACCGTATCCACCGGCATAAAAGTGGTAACAGCCAGTCAAACCGGAATCCAAGGCGTAATCAACATCTTCAACCCAGAAGGCCGTCTCCAGGGCCTCCTCGCCGCAGCAGAAGTAACAGCCTTCCGCACCGGGCTAGCAACAATGACCCTCTTCGTGCGCTGCACGACCCTGCGCAAGGACAACGTGCTTGTTCTCGGCAGCGGTCGGCAGGCAGAATGGCATGCGCGTCTTGCGCTGCTGCTGTACCCGGACCAAGTCCGACGGGTGACGTTTGTGAATCGTGGTGCGAAGAGGCTGGCGGAGATGGAGAGGGATGTTGTTTCTGAGCTGCGTGCGACTTACCCCGCTGTTGACTTTATCACGCTTGCTAAGGAGGGCGTTGCCGATTATCAGCAGCGGCTTGGGGAAGAACTCGCTGTCGCGGATGTTATCTTTAGTTGTACGCCTGCTACGGTGCCGAATTTTGAGTTTAAGGCGCTGCAGGCGAATCCTAAGCAGAGGTTTATCTCGCTTATTGGCTCGTACAGGCCTAATATGCATGAGATTGATACTGAGACGCTGCTTTCTGGTGGTGGGAAGGTTTATGTTGATTCTAAGTCGGCTTGTCTGGAGGAGGCTGGGGAGTTGATCACTGCGGGTCTTGGGGAGGAGCAGTTGATTGAGATGGGGGATCTTTTGGGGGGAGGAGGAGATTGCGGAGGGGGCGGTTAATGTCCCTGCTGGTTGTAACGTTGTCTACAAATGTGTTGGTATGGGGCTTATGGATCTTGTTGTTGGGAAGAAGGTCCTTGATGTTGGAGTTGAGATGGGGCTTGGTACCCATGTTGATGGGTTCTAAAGATCTATTGTTATTTTTACATTTTAGAACGAGAAACGCTATCATAGATCAGAATCATGATTGAAGACCATTACGCACTAGGCCGTCCAAGCTCTATCCTCGATCCACACGTCGTAGCAATGTCATTTAAAACGGATCATATTCGCAGGCAATGGCATCGCAGTCTGCAACAGGCTTGCCCTGACTAGCCCGACGTTGGGCGGGCTAGGTGACCGATGCATGGTTGCATGCTTTGGATCCACCAGATCGTGGAGAGCTGGAAAGGTAGCAGATGTCTGTTTTCCCTGTCACACAAAACAATAGTGATATGTGGAAACTCCGTGGTTTGCGCATCAATATAGTCAAAGAACGGAGACGATAACTCGAGGCGGTGATGGTTAGAGCAAAGTCATTTAACCGTTTGCCATCGAAATATTGGGAGCGTATGAATGCGTTTGTGCGTGTCATTGTTTCACAAGGCGTTTCACTGGGCAAAGGGAAAGGATCATGAAGGCTTAATCGTCTGAGCCGCTGCATTTGAGTGTTGGCATACCCATCCGTTCTTTGCTGTGTGTGTTCGGGCGCAGGACAGCACATTCCAAGGGTCTCTGCGTGCCTGCAGGGCCAATGAGCCTTCCTGTAGGGCTAGGTAATAAGATCTGAAGTCAAAGCTCTTGACCTCGAGGCCGTCCAAATACCGTTTCCGATAGCAAACTGGCCATTGCTAATGGCAACTTGTCCTGCGGCCGACGCCCCAGCATTGGGAGTAGTCATGCGGCGCATTGAAAAGTCATCACTCGTCCAGTTGCCATGCAGGGAATAGTGTAAATGTGACAATCACATACTTGAATCATCTGTATCCAGCACCTCGTTCGGGGTGGGGTGGCCAGCAACACCCCTTGGATTGCGAAGAAGGGGAAGTGAAGAGGCCAAGGTATAGATGAAGGAAGATAAATATAAATATAATTGGCACGGGTGGAATACACAAGGATAGAATGAACTTGAAGCGAAATTGACATGCTTGTTGCACTCCAGCCAGCGAAATATAATCATGATATCGGCAAAATAAATAACACGGCAAGAGAAGAATACCCCATGAGGGGCGTAGCGAGAAAGGCCAGCTGATCTCCGAAGGTGCCGCGCGAAGGGACCCGGCCTGGCAAATGGCGGAAATGGTGCTAGGGCATGGCGAACTACACTGGCATGTGGACGAAGAGGTCTATGATTACACAATGGACATAGTAAAGAAACGTCAACAGGCGGCATTGAACATAGCAAGAGGAGAATAACCCCTGACCGTCATCACAAATATCGCAAGCTGTAACGGAAGGTGCCTCATGGCCAATGATTGGGCCCAATGCAGCCTGCTAGCGTTTCTCACTCTGTCCGTTGTGTACTCGCAGGGCCCGTTCGTCCACACGCCAGTCTAGTTCAACATCGTACCTATATGATTGTGGACACGTGTACAGAATGTATCGACCTACTCGCACGGAAAATGTGTCAGGCCTCGCTACCTGTGTTAGATCCATAAATCTAGATAGCAAGTTGTCCAAGGCTTCTAGCGCAGGTAGTGATGCTTGACACCTTTTCTGTGCGAGTAGATCGATGCACTCAGTGCATGTGTCCACAATCATATAATAGATCATGATTCCACCACGGACCTAGGAATCTGCCTAGTAGGCCCTCAGTGAAAGAGGTATAGGGCCAAGATCGTCTAGCGGAGGTACTATTGTTGCTATAGAGAAGTGAAGGTTAGTATGGATTGTTGGCACTAGGAAGTGGCGGAAGGCACCCACCAAATTGATTGAAGTTCAGGGTTGAGGTTTGAGGGAGAAAAGAAAAAGTTTATGGAAGGGGAAACGCAAGGTTTTTATATTTGAGCAGAAGTGTTGTTCTCGCCAAGTATACTTGCCTGGCAAACTTCTCGTTTACTTTAATCACCAAACGTTACCTACCTAGGTACATGGTTTGTATGTGAACAATCCTCTGGCGGCGTGTTTGCTGAGAAGAGATGAGACACTGATAAATCAGGGGCAATTGGGCCATGGCATTCAATGGAAGTTAGCTCTAGTATTAGATGGTTGGTTGCATATCCAGGCCCGTCTAGGGCTGTTTGCATTGTAACACACGGTTTCATTCTGCAAGTCAAATGAACAAAGGAAGAAAGCCCAAGGAGCAGGCCAAATAAGAGGCCCAACCACCCCTGCGGAGGAATAAAGTGAAAGGAGAAATGAATGGAGAGTAAAGGATATGGAAACGAATCTTGAGGAAAGGGACGTTAGCGGTTTGACAGAATACTGAGGATCTGAACTTACAGGCGTAGGTGCGTGAACATCAGCACTATACTTTGCTGGTAATGTCTGCTTCTTTACAAGGGTCGGACTTTGACTCGAATGGAAAGAAGAAGCATCGGAGTTATGAACGGATGGCACCCCACTTGTTTCTCTGTCTAATCCCACGACGAGAGCTGGGAATAGATCTCTGACGGTCCTACCAGATGCCATAATGTTCAATTTCAAGAAAGGCGACGAGGATAGAATTAATTTGGTCACAAACGATTTTATATACGCGTAGGCGACATAATCATACATGTGATACGAGGTAATCGAGGCGATTGAACGAGGTAAGCGATGTATCCTACAAGTACCTAGGTACTATCTAGATGTTTAGATAGAATGCTGGAAGTTAAGTACTCCCAACCTGGCGGAGCTATTGAGTTACCCCCTTCAGTGTTGTGGTGTATATATTTTCGCATAGTATTATCAATCCGGCATCGGCGCCCAGGGACTAGACCAAGTTACCTAGATAATCTGCTGGGGATTTCTAAGCTATAATAGGTTAGAACTATATTAATATAACTAAGCCATAAATATGAAAAAAGAAAAGAAAAGGGGGAAAAAAAGCATCGTTGACATGGAAGATCACCAAATAGCCCCAGTCCCGCCCCCCCAAAAGGCACAGACCGATGAGCGGAGGCAAAATGAGACCCGGATGATGCGGGGACGTGCCTTTATCGATTAGCTTCCCTTTTTCTCCTCACATGGCCATTTTCCAACCCTGGACATTACTCTGACTGTTATCTTTTGCATATCTTTACATATATCACTTGGTTCGCAATCTCTTGATCTTTCTCCTTCCTTTAGACCATGCCCTGATCCGCTGTCACGGTAATGGACGACTCGACCCCGACGCCCACCCAGCAAAAACGTCCTCGCGTGGCCGAAGAAAACCGCAAGCGAGCTGTCCGAGCGTATGCTATCGCCCTAGTGTGTCAAATAAATCGAATCCTCTAACATAGTCCTTTCCGCGCAGGTGCGATGGTTGTCGCCGGGTGAAAGAGAAATGCGAAGGAGGTGTGCCGTGTCGAAGATGTCTGCGATACCGCCGCCAGTGCAATTTTACTCACATTGACCCCAATGAGAAGACACGGTCGACCTCTGTCTCGTATGTTGACCGCATAAACCATATTTTTATTACCATCAAGTCTGCTAACGGCGCAACACCTGTATCAGACTTTTGGACCGAGCAGCCGCCCAGAGTCGAAATGATATCGCCGAGGCAGAACGGGTGCGCCTGATGGAACGTCTCCTATCGCATTATGTACCCAACATCACTTTCGATATTCAGTCTCTGCGCCAAGCTGCAGAGGATCTGAAGACCAAACACCGCGATTCTGAGTCGGATGCGATCTCTACCCGGGAAGACCCAAATGAACTGGAGGATCTTGCCATTGACGAGGAGGATTTTACAATCAAGGCCATGCCCGATAACACTACCCGTATGTTGAACTCCGGAGACCGTATATGGGAATTTCTTGATTGACACTTTTTGTCAGAATATTCCGGTGAATTCTCATACTTGAATTTCACTATGAAGATCCGGAAGAAGATCGATGAATGGATGAAGACTGCAGCCCCCGAGGTAGGTTCCCGTGAATTGTCGGTGAGCGAAGCCACTCATGCTAAACCCGAGCCTGCAGGCCACTTCCGAAGTTGAGCCTTTTGAAGAACGATGGCGAAGTACACAACTCCAGTCGGCGTCACCCCAGGTATCTGCGTCAATTACATGCCTACCGCCGCGCTATGTTGCCGATTTTCTTGTCCAAATCTTCTTCAAGTACGCACAGACCAATAACTTTTACATTGAGGAAGACTATTTACTCGAGAAATTGGGCGTCTGCTACACTGACCCTGAAAGTCTGTCATTTGACGATGCAGCCGCAGTGTGCTGCATCCTTATGGTACTGGCCGTGGGCACTCAATTCGCATATATGGAGTCATCCACACCTGTGAATTGCTTGCCCTCGGGTTCTACAGCAAATCAGGATCACCACTTTTCGGAGGATGAGGTCGGACTCACATTCTACCAATTTGCCTCGAGGCTCTTACCAGACATCATCGCCACTGCTTCCGTTCGAAGTGTGCAGGCCTGTCTACTTATTGGGACATATTTGCTTCCATTGGATACTTCAGGGTTATGTTATACATATTTTGGCCTGGCACTCAAGTTGGCCATTCAAAATGGGATGCATCGGAGGTATCACGGCGAAGGCCTGTCTCCGCGCATGATCGAGGTGCGGAATCGGGTTTTCTGGACAGCTTTTACTATCGAAAAGCGTATAAGCATTCTCCACGGCAGACCACCGTCGTTGTCGGACCCCGACGTTGATGGTCCTCTGCCGGTCGATTTCCCTGGATTAATGCCCGTCAATCAAATCTCAAACCATAAAAACATGGTAACACTCATTACATTGACTTTGAAGCTTGGGGAGGTTTCAAATGAAATCACCTCATTGCGAAAATACCGCAAAGATCAACAGCAGGACTGTCTTGAACGATTACTGAGTTGCCGGAAAAATCTCGTTGATTGGTGGTCGACTCTGCCAGAGGAAGTTACCTGCCGTGATCTGAATCCCGCAGGGCCGCTTTTCAGGTCTAATGTCCATCTCAAGCTAGACTACTGTCTAACTCGAATCTTCATTGGACGTCCTTTCCTTTTCAGTAATATCAAAGGCATCTACCCGACCACTTCTCAAGGTCCGCCGTACAAGGGGTCTTCCGGTTTGTCCGGTCTGTCGAAGAATCGTGCGACTCTTGTCACAGATTGCGTGGAAGCGGCTCTGGAAATCATCGATTTGTGCCGCTTGCTCCGTGACGAGACCGGTCTCGCACGAGCCTCGTTTACTGAATTTAGTTCATGCCGTGCAGCTTTGCTAGTCATTTTGGCCCAGGGCCTGACCAAACGAACTGAAAGACTTGGCGCTGCTCTTGAACAGGGAATTTCCCTAATCAAGGCCATGTCTATGGGTGTTGGGTCGGCCCGTTCAGCTGTTAGTGTCATAGAGGCGCTTGAACGTGCCATTCGCCGCCTCGAAGCATGGAGCGAGACACAACCGGATATGAGCAGCGGAGGTGCCGTCGAATCCGCGTATGACCGGTTCAAAAACTGGGAAATGCTTTGGAAAGCAGGACCTATCTCGCCGTCCACGCTCGCGTGGCAACCACAGGGAAATTATGCTTCAAGTGAGCCAAATGTTCCACAAAGCGTACCTTCTCAAACCTCCACTATGGCAGGTCCTTCTACTCTTCTTCATGGCATGGCCCTGACGCCTCCTTCTGCGGCAATGATTGGAGTGGGTGGTGCTGCTCCAACACCCGCTGCACCTGATCAAAGCATTCCAGAGGGCGAAGAAGTTCCATTCCCCGATACTTTCTCCATTTCCCACCAGTCCCTCTCACATGTGCCACACTTTGGCTTCGATCATTTCGTTTCCAATTTTCCACAAGAGTTGGGCGAGTTCACTGCTATCCCTTGCTTCGAGCCAGATTCTCAGGCTCAACCTAATGGTTTACCCGGTTCTGAAATAAAGCCGCCAGGTGGCAGCTCTGACCCCCCTCACTGGCTGAACTTCATGAGGGATTCGTGATGGATTTTTTTCCATCGTGCTTTGTTCTTAAGCAGCGACTCGTCCATACAACTGGGTTAGGTCTTATAACTTTGATTTTCTTTTTTCTTGTATACCATCTTGCGACTGTTTTTTTCCCACTGCTTTTTACTGCGCCTGGGTGGTGGAACTCTCGGAAATTGTATACAGCTTATTCCCAATATAACAATTTATTATCGCAATCAATCCTTTACTTTGTCTGTGTTGAATGACTTTCAGGTCGTTTGCACATGGGGAAATCTTAACATCTGCTCGTTTGCTTGTGATCATACTTCGAACATTGTTGATAAATATACATAGTGTCCATAGCCTTAATCGAATGTAACCTTCTTTCCAGCGAAAGCAGCTGTCGTCTGCTCCTTGGCCTTCCGCTTTGCCTCCCAAGAGGGATGCAATGGGCCCTCGTCCTTGGGCGGACCTTTAGGCTTACCGGGCCGCTCCCCAGAGTGAGGACCAGTAGGGCCAGGGCCATCTCTGTTCTGAGGCCGTGCAGATCCACCACCAAAGCCACCACGCCTGCCCCCTCTGCCTCCTCTCCCACCCCTCGCACCGTCAGTTGCACCGCGCTTCGTATCCCATCCATTATCCCTGCCACCATACTTCGCAGCCATCTGCTCCTTCTTGACGTGGTTTGCACTCGCTCCGAATTTCTTCTCCCACAAAGCCCGACGGGCCTGCTGACCCATGCGGTTCTTGCGAACAGGCTTCGCACCAGAATCCTCATCATCAGTGGCTTCCTCCGAGCCAGACCAGTAACCGCCGTGCATTAGAGACGGCAGGAATGTCGTGCTATTCACTGCTGCAGCAGAGCCCTTGGCTGCCTTTACTTTCTTGGGCGGCGGGGAGTCCGCGGCGGAGAATGAGGGTGAGGGGGAACGGGAGATAGAATCGGAGATATCGTCTGCGGCGGGGTCCTCCTCGTCGCCAGATTCCGAATCAGCTTCAGAGTCCGAGCCCGGTCCAAGTCGCGAGTCGAATTGTGAGAGGTCCTTGTCTCCGGATTCGTCTGAGTCGGAGATGTCCATGTCGTTCGTGGAGCGGGAGACCTGCTCGCCGCGCCTGGGTTTTGTCGTCGCTGTCTCTGATTCAGACTCGGATCCGCTGTTTTCTTTTCCTGAATCCTTCGTTGGCGCATCCTTCTTGTCATCCTCTTTTTTAGCCTTGCTAGCCGGCGCCTCGTCGACTCTCAGTAGTTTCCGAATGCCGGCCATGATGCCGGGTATTTCTTTCTGTACAGGAGTCGATTTGAATAGTCGCGCCAGGATATTGGCTTCGGCTGTACTCTTCGGTCCATCCTGCGAGACTTTCTTGACTGCCTGGAACTCCCCGAACGTCCGCGTCTCTGCAATCCGCTTCGTCCTGATAAGTTGCTTGAATAGGTATCGCTCGGCTGTGACATGGTAATCGAGACCCTGAGAGATAAAGTATTAGTGATGGAGTTCTTGCGTGAGGGCTCTCATCAAAGCCATCTGGATGTCTAGAGTAACAATAGCTACATACTTTCAAAGTCTCGATTTCTTCCTTTAGTCGCGCCAACGCCTTATCGTCTTTTTGCGCCTTCGCTGTCTTCTCTCGCCGACTAAGCTTTTGTCGCTCAAAGCCACGTGATGTCTTGAGACCTCGCATTATCATTAATACACCGTTCTCGAACATTTGCGTCAATCGGGTGCCGTGAATGGACATTTTGCGGGTGTCGCTGGACCGCGGGGGGCCGCTGACTTCGTCGAGCTTGCGTTTAGGCATTTGGTCGGTGGTGTGAGTGTATGGAGATGCGGTACTCAAAGAGTGTATGGCTCGGGAAAAAAAGAGGGCGGTTTCGAGGGTCGCGTTGATCGTCGGATGTTGGTGTAGCTTAATTTTTTTCTCTTGAGCGGATCCCGGCGCCAAGACAGACGCTTGCAATGGCCATTCTAAACTATCGACTTGATATCTACTCCAGGGTATATGCTTGTTCGTGAAATGGGACTGCGAAGAATTATATATATTTATTATTGGCCACCGGGGCTTAGATCATGGGTGAACTCGGGCAAGTTAACTGCTACGAGCGTTACATTGCCAGACATATTGCTTGGACAAAAAAAAGACCATCGATTAACACTGACGGATATGTACATACAAACATGGTAAAGAAAACGATACGCATACAGACCCTTTCTATTTCTTTTCTTCCTGCTTCTCTTCCGGCTTGGGGGTCGGAAGCTTGAACTATAGTTCAACAAGTTAGGAAATTGTCTTTCAGCAACGAATAAAATATGACTTACGGATTCAGGAGTGCGGTCTTGACCCGCACCCACAGGCTCCCAGGCAGTAGAGCCGCTCTCGAAGTTACGGAAGGCCTGGGTGAGCTCGAGGGGCTCAATAACGATGCGCTTCTTCTCCTCGTCGTAGCGCAGTTCAGTATAACCAGTCAAGGGGAAGTCCTTGCGCAGTGGGTGGCCATCGAAGCCGTAATCGGTCATGATACGGCGCAGATCAGGGTGGCCGGAGAAGAACACACCGAACATGTCGTAAACCTCACGCTCGTACCACAAAGCACCCTCGAAGAGACCAGTCACACTGGGCACAGGGGTGGCCTCGTCCGCGTAGGTCTTAACACGAATACGGGAGTTGTGGCGGACACTGAGCAAGTTGTAGACGACCTCAAAGCGCTGGTCGCGGGTAGGGAAGTCGACACCCGTGATATCGGAGATCTGGGTGAACTCGGCGGCAGTGTGGTTCTTGAGGAAGCTCATCACGGGAACAACACCGGCGGGAGCAGTGTACACGGTGAGCTCATCCTTCCAGACTGTGAACTGCTGGATGTATTTGGGCAGGCAGGACATAACGTACTGCCCATAGGCGTGAAGACTGTCGGCCATGGGCTGGTACTTGTCGGTAGGGTTGACCACGGGGGCGTGGGAGGGGTCCCGAGGCTGGCAAAACACGGTTCGGTTAGCTCAATTGTGTCCTATCTATCAGCTAGTCCATTGCACATACGCGGGCGCTGCGCCTGGCGCATGTTCTCGGGTTCCGGGCCCGGTGCTGTCGAGGCCTTGGGGGCACACTGAAGGGAGGCGGAGGAAAAGGTGCGGGCGGTCATGGACCTCGTGGCAGATGCCACGGAGCGACCAGAACCCAGGCGCATCAAAGAGCGTGCGGAGGCCATTGTGTAGAGGGAGCAATGGCAGATGCAACTGGAGGGGGACGGAGGCACGTAAGTCGGATTGTGAAGGTTTAGAGTGGTCGAGCACTTCTGGTCACGTGTTGGGCATACACTAAGCCAAATCGGGTAATGCCAGCAAAATGAAGCCGCGCTTCACAATTTCCTTCCTTCTTCTCTCCGTTCATCCTCGTCTATCAATCATCTACACCTTTTCTTTTGCCCTCTCTTCTTGTCGCTCCTCCTCAAACAACTAATTGCCGTTTGTCTTTCTACACTTTACAGGGCAGCGTATTTCTTTTATTTTCCCAGTTTCTCATCCGATTTAATCAGGTGTCGGCGTTTGAGATCTCGTGTCCCTCTCCGGTTGTCACCGTATTCCCCGCGATCATGTCCAGTCCTTCCTTGATCGACTCCGTCATCGACGATGATGACGAGTTCTGGTATGTCTTGAAACTCGTTCAACCCGCCTGATCTGTATACTGATCACCCCACAGCCCCCTGTGCATTGAAGAGTTCGATCTCTCCGATAAGAATTTCAAACCATGTCCTTGCGGATATCAGGTATGTTCGTTCGATATCCTTTACGCGTCTCTGCCAGTATTTGCTTTACTATGGCAGGGACAGATGGCTCGCTCGTCTTTTGTCTCCCTGTGCCAAACCTGACATGTGATCTCTTTAGATTTGCCAATTCTGCTACAACAACATTAAGACGCAGAACGAAGAAGGACGATGCCCTAACTGTCGACGCGGATACGATGAAAGTACCATCCAGTACAAGATTCCTGACGTTGAAGAGTCAGTTAGCCCAAGCTCTGTGATATATTCGCCACATCCCGACTAACCCGCTGTGTTTAGGTTCAAGGCAGATCTGGCACTGAAGCACCGCAAGGCGGCTGCTGCGAAGAAGAAGGAAGCTGAAAAGCGGGAAATCGAGGCTTCCAGCCGGAAGAACTTGGCCGGTGTCCGTGTTGTTCAAAAGAACTTGGTCTACGTTATCGGCCTCAATCCTACGATCCGAGACGAAAATCAACTACTTCAAACGCTCCGTGGACGGGAATATTTCGGTCAATATGGCGAGATTGAGAAGATTGTGGTCAGCAAGGCTAAGCCCGGCGGCAACCCCAACCAGGGAATTGGTGTTTACGTGACTTTCTCGCGCAAAGCCGATGCTGCGATGTGCATAAACGCTGTGGACGGTTCCGGAAATGGCGATCGAGTGCTCAGGGCGCAATACGGAACAACGAAATATTGTTCGTCCTTCCTTCGCAATGAACAGTGCAATAATCGGAACTGCACTTTCTTGCACGAGACTGGGGAGGACAGCGACAGCTACAGCCGGCAGGACCTTTCATCTATGAACACAATTTCCACGCAACGCCCTAATTTCCCACCTACCCCCTCTCACGTGAGGTCCGCTCAACCCATCGCCCATCCTATGCGCCGACAACCGAGCAAGGATGACTCGATCAGTAGTCGCACCGGCATACCAGATGGCCCGGCTCTCCCGTCAACTGCCAGCTGGGCTAACAAAGACGCTGCTATTCACCGAACCAGGAGGGCTAGTATGACTGGTAGCCAAGCCTCCGTCAACAGCCCACGGCCCGCAAGTGTCAATGTTGCGACCCCAGCAGAAGAACCAAAGCGAGCAGAGAAGCCATCTCCGATTTCCCAGGAGGCCCCACAATCCATTTCCCAAGTCGATTCCCAGTCTCCTGCCGCGCAACCGCGTTCTCGGCGTGCGACTCAACCACCCAAGCTGCCATCACCATTTGACAGTTTGCTAAAGGATATCAACTCTCCGGATTTCAAGTTTTCTTTCAGCACGAGCGACCTGACTGCCGAAGAGGTCAAGTTAATCAAAGACTACCCATCTTTTATCGACCCATATGGTGGTGTAAAGCGCAGAGCAATGCGCGAGAAAGTCGAACAAGAGCGTCTCAACCGCGAGCAGGAGTTGCTCCAATCTGTTGCAGCTGAGGAGGAAAGCCGTGAAGCTGGCAGCCTTCAACTCGGTGGTGAGCCAGAGGAAGCAAATCCCCCACGCAGTCGCCAGACGCGGGAGTCTCACGGTGCTATCCAGCCGCCTTCGCAGCAGGACACTGCGGACAATTCAACTGTTGGATCTCCTGTCTCTGCGACTAGCCATCAATTTCAAGGCTTGAACCTCGCAGGACGAAGCTTAACTCCCTTGCAGCAACAACAGTTGATGTTACTCAAGTCCGCCGGTAATCAACAAGCTGGCTTGGCTGACCCTCTCAGCGCTGCCGCTCTCAGACCAAGCCGCCCAAGTCCGGCAAGGGCTAGTGCACAATCAGATGGCACAGTTCAATGCGCTGCAGGCAGCACAGAACCGACAGTCTTCTCGATTTTCCTTCGCCAACGAGGCCGGTTCTAAGAATATGCCTAATGCACGCATGTTGGGCCAAATGCAGTCTTCATCACCCAACCCTCTTTCTGCTCCAAGCCCTCAACATGGTCTTGCAGCAAGCGGTTTCTATGGCAGCGGTGTACAGGGTCCCCCGCCGGGACTAAAGACTGCCGGTACCCCCCCCGATCAGTGGTGGCGGAATGTTCGCCCAGGGACATGGCTTCACCTCTGGGCTTGGAGGTAATGGAGGAAAGCAAGATCCAACTCCGGAGCTGATGCGCGAGCTACTCCGTGGACGAACTGGTACGAATGTTGGTGGTTTACAGGGCCAAGAGGCCGCTAAGCGTGAGTTTATGTTCCCTTTTCTTCAACAGCACAATACCCCCCCCCCATGACTCCTGTCAATGGCCTTCTCAGCTCCTTCTATGGGCCCCAAGCGGGCGTAATGCCTGATTCTGGTGGCCCACAGAAGCAGAAGAAGAAGGGGAAGAAGCACAGACACGCTAACACTTCCTCCGGTGGAGGTGGTGTAGTAGATCTTGCGGACCCGAGCATTTTGCAGGCGAGGATGCATCAAGTCGGTGCGAATGCTACTGCTGGGCAAGCGTTGTACGGGAGTCAGGGTCAAGGTGGGTACAATCCCTCGATGGTGTATGGTGGTGGCATCAGTCGGTGGTGAATCCCCATGGATTCCCTTTAACCCTTCGCTTATGCCCGTGATTTGATTTCCTTCATTTTCCTGCTCGCTTTTCCACTATGACCTTCCCTTGATGGGCCTGCTTTATCCTGATGACATGATATCAATTCCCTTTCTTTTTCACTCCATATGGAGGCATTGCATTTGTTGTTCTGTTTTATTCGCGGTCAGACTGACTGCTCTGATTTATGCGATGCGGGACGTTCACCTGGCGTACTAGGGTCTTTTCCCTGTCTCCTTCAATTGCTATCTATTTCCTGCATGTTTTCTCTGGCTCTTTCCAGGTGTCTTCGCATTTCATGGACATACCGGCGTGTGTTCAGAGCTCCCTTTGTATTCGGCGGCTGTGTATTCCCTTTCTACTGTTTCTTCTTTTTTTGCATCCGGACTTCCATTATACGATCTGCTGTGTCTTGAAGACCGCGGGTGTTTATTATGGATTAATGTACGTTAAGATCTCCCTACCCTGATACCACAAGCCGAAAAGGGTCTTATTCGAAATCAGTTTCCTCACAGCCGCCGTTTACATAGACGCCCTGTCCTGCGAAGTTCCTGGTCTGGGAGATGTCCATCATGTAATTATCTCGTGCTCATTTTTGTATTCTGCTTAGCCGTGCTGCGCTGCTTAATCGTCACCTTCGTCTCAGGCGGTTTCGATCTGATCTTTACCTCTTCATCTGCCCACTCACGTCGCCACATTTTTGCTTTCTTGCACATTCGCTGACCCAATGCTCTAGTAGATGAGGACTTTCCGCCTCTTGGGGATCAATCCAAGGATCGACGACCCGTTGACAGCTTTGGGTTTTTGAAGTCTCAATTGCCTGGCGAGTCAGCTGCTCGTTCTGGGACTCCGACCTTGCCACCTGGACTGCCTTTACCTCACGCCCATCCCTCGTCTACGGTCTTCCAGGAACGCAGTTCCTCTAAACCTTCGTCTCCTGCCCCGATGCTCCCACCCGGCTTGACGCCTAACATTTCGCGACTCAACAGCCCATCACAGAGCCGTATTGACAGCCCCTCTCGTCTTTTGAGTCCTGAACTCACCGTGGGTGGGCCCTTGACATCAAGCCGCGTGAAGGACGCTTCTCAAATATCCTTTGGATCGCCCGTGCAAAAGTCCGCGAGCAAGGCTCGTAATCCACGCAAGAGCGAGTTCAACATTGGAGCTGATTTCAAAGATTCCCCCGCAAAGGCTGCAAACCAGCCGCAGCCGAGTTCTGCCACTACGAAAGGTAGCCCACTCGACTTTGCCGCCTCGCTACCCACATCCAACAAGGCTGAGCATGTACCACCACCTCCTAGCTCTGTTTCCGCAGTCGGGTCGCGGCCCGACACACCGCAAACCATAGCATCTCGCTTATCTGACTCCCCTGCCCCTCGGCAGCCTCGTATTCTGCGTGTGGTAGAAACCCCTAAGACAGAAACACCTCCCATTGCCACCGCACCCTCCGTTCCCGCCTCTGTTGTTGGGGGTATCAAGTCCCGCTCTAGCAGACAGAGCATCTCGTCGACCAGCATCCCCGACACTCCTGCTGATATGGGATGGGAAGCTGATTGCTATCCTTCCACCTCTGCTTCTCGTGCGAGTTCCCCCCCTGCCTCCTCTCGTATCGGCTCCGCGCCTGTTCGCACTATGACCAAGAGTCAGGTCAAGAAGGAACGTAAGCAGAAGGCGAAGGAGGCCGAGGCTAAAAAGGTCGAAATTGCAGCTGTGAATGAGGAGCCTGTTCAAGCCCCTATTATGGGGCGAAAGCGCAAGACCAAGAAGGCCCCCACAGCCACTGTGAGCACGGCCGATACACCCGCTGCCATTGGTCCCGAGAAAGCAAGCCCTGTGAAACCAGAGAATGCCTCTCCTGTTAAGGCCGAACCCAAGGTGGATGCCACCACAAAGAAAACGAAGACCAAGGAGGCCAAGCCTGTCAGAGAGCCTACTCCTCCCCCGTCGAAGAGCCTCCTGTTCAGAAGGAAACCCCCGTAGAGCCATGGCGTTCGAACAATACAGTTGGGCAGTTGGTCAAGGATTCCGAGGCCCTTGGGAAGGCAATCAAAGATCTTTTCGTGGAACGAACCAAGCCTCTTCATGAGTTGCTCGCTGAGATGCACAAGTCCGGCGAACTTGACCTCAACAAAAGTCCCCTCTTCAACCCTTGCAACCTCAACCAGCGGACCGACATGAAATGCACTGCAGAGGACTACGATTATCTCCAGTGTCCCAATGAGTTGACCGAGGAGGATCGGAAAACTTTGCTTCGCGGAGAGCCAGTTCGAATTGGCGATGATTTCCTCAAGACTCGATGTCTCATCACGCCCCGCGGCTGTGTCCTGCGCCACCTCGAGCCAGAAGAGGAGGAGCGATACCTAGAGCTGGAGAAGAACATGGCCGGTATCTCCGACCCGTTCATGATTGGAGATGACGCGAGCAATCCCAGCGGAGGTCTGGAAGCACTCTTCGCGAACCCGGAAAAGTTCAACATCTGCTGGGTCGACGACATGCCCACTCGGCTGGGTGCCACGTCCCCCTCGTCTTCTCTTGAGGCGGCTGAATCTGTGATCCCGCCTAACGTCCTCTCGGCCATGGAGGCAGACAGCTCCCGCAATCATGACTGGGCCGTCGCCAACTCGGCAGAATTCCTCAACACCACCCCTGCTGCCGTGCGTTCCTTCGCCGCAGTTACCGCGCAGCACATGCTGGGCAATCCGGGCATGGTCGGTACCAACCCAACCCTCGATGACGTTGCCGGCTTGACCAACGAGGAACTGAAGGAACTTTCTGGTCGTTCTCAGAAGGACCTCGAGCTCACCCGGAAGGAAATGGACTCGCTGGACAAAAAGTTTGCAGCCCTGCTTCGACGCAACAAGAAGCTTCAGCAGCAGGCATTGAACTTTGCTACTGGGTCGGAAGTGTAATCGACCTCTGATCGGAGCTCTCAGTCCCCTTCGCATTTACAGCCTTGGGCGGACTTGAAATTTCTGTACGTGTACATATGGATTTGCATGATACCCTGGATGGTGGTATTTCATGGCGTTCTAGCCCATTCTTTATGATTATTCTATCTTAGCCTGAATGAATCATTGTACGATATTTGTTACATTCGTCTACGTAGGTCCTAGTAATATGTAGGCCTATCCTCAATAGTACACTTGCATGCAATTGAGCATACATATTTTGATTCTTGAGCCTTAATGGCAAGTGAATACCAAAATGTTCCCGGAGGTTTATGCATCTAAGTCTGCCCGCCAAAGCCACCTGAATCCGGGGAGATTGGAGAGCGTGTTCACTAAACTACAGCTATTTCAAGTGAGAAACAGATCTGAATTTCGAGTTTCATCTAACATGACGCAAAACATCAATATTCACATGGTAACAAGGGGATGCGCCAAGGGATCCAATCACCAAGTGCGCCAGGGCTGGATCTCTCGACTCCCACATTCCTCTACTCCGTACATTTTAATCAAGACCAGACATTTAATGGGGGCTCATTCCTCCGAAGGGATTCGGCATTTACTCATTCTTGGTATCACGGGCATTGAAGTTCAAGGTGATGTGGCTGATTTCTGTTATTCTAGGTCTCCTTCCACTTTCGGCCTGGATGCAATAGGGATCGAGGCTGATATTTGACTCTGCTGCCCCTATCCGATCCCTTTCTTCCCCCAGGCTAGTACTTCCCCGAGTCTCTCGGCTGGCATGTATAAAGCATGCATTACTCACTAAGTATACTACTTCCAACCAGTGTCGTTGGTCATTTCTCCTTTCCTTGCGCTCATTTTACATCATTGGCCTCCTGGGGTGATACATTTATTCGTTTCCTTGCTCACAGTCAGCCTCACATATATAACGATGTTTCGATTACTTGTCATAGCAACCGTGCTCACCCTAGCCTCAACTGCCATATCAACCGGCCTACTAATACCATTATACGCCTGGCCCGGTATAGACGCATGGAATACAATCTACGACTCAATCGTAGCCCATCCATCAATCCCATTCTACCTGATCATCAACCCATCCACGGGTCCCGGTAACACAGAATACCCAGAAGACGTCTTCATAACCGCCATCGCCAAGCTAAACAGTTATTCCAACACCAAGGTACTGGGCTACACATACACAAAACAAGGCACGCGGGCCAGCTCCGACGTTGAAAAGGACATCGCGACCTACGCCCACTGGGCCACATACGCAGGACAGAATATCCGTCTCTCTGGCATCTTCTTCGATGAGGCAGCCAACGGCGCAGATCCGAGCAAGCTCGCTTATTTCCAGAACCTCTCCCGGAAATCTAAGAGCAGCAGCTTGAGTACCGTCGTTTTCAATCCTGGTGTTAAGCTTGTGGCTGATGTTGCTGAGTGGTTCGCCGCGGCAGACTTCATTGTCGAGTATGAGAATACTTATGCTAATTGGGTGGCTCGCGCTCCTGATGAGCATTTCTCGACGTCTGATCATTATGGGAAGGATGCTGTTATCTTGAATCAGACGCCTGTGGATGCCGATGTTGATAATGTTGTTCGACTTGCGAAGGATCTGGGGCTCGGTGCTATTTATCTGGCTTCCGATGATAATTATATGAGCCTCGGTACTGTGCCTAAGGTTGCTGTTGCTGTTGCGCAAAGCCGGAATGCTAGGCGTAGGGGGCACAGTCGCTAGTAGGCTTGAGTATATAATATTTTTAGATATTTTCCCATTTCTATGTTCCGACCACGTGTGGTTGTGTGCTGTTAGGGCTTGTAAATTTAAATTTGTTCTTGGTTGAATATATAGGAGATTCCATGCAGTCGGACTCTAAAAGTATCACCACTGAACACCATTCTTCTGGACATCTCCGGAATCTATATGAATATAGCTCTCATATTAGAACGCTCCAACGCCCCCAGGGTCGCTTGTATATTTTTTGAGAGACAAGCCTTAATCCAGACCATTAATCCCATCTTTATACGGCCGCAGATCATACTCATCAGGATAAGTCTCCAAGATGCGCTTGAGCTCCGCCATCTGCTCCCTCTGCTCCTCCGTAATCTCCTCATAAACATCCGTAAAAGCGTGCCTAAGCGAGGGCTTCTTCTCCTGCTCCGCCTCGCCAAACTCTCTCAGCACCGCTTTCCGCATCTCATCCCGCGTCTCCTTCTCCTGCTCCTCACTCCAAATCCCCTGATTCTCTAGCCACTTCCGCAGCCGGATAATAGGATTATCACGACGTTTCCAGTCCTCGACTTCGACACGGGCGCGGTACGCAAAGCTATCGTCGCTGGTACTGTGGTGCGAGACACGGTAGCTCATGGCTTCGATCAGAACAGGCCGTCCGCCATCACTTAGAGCAAGTCGACGTGCCTCTTTCATCGCTTCGTTCACAGCGAAGACGTCATTGCCGTCTACGCGGATCGTGTCGATACCGTACCCCACGCCACGGCTGGCGATTCCATCGCCCCGGTACTGCTCTAGCGTTGGCGTTGAGATTGCGTAGCCGTTGTTTCGGCATATAAAGACAACCGGGCAGGACCGTGTCGCGGCGATGTTTAGCGCGGCGTGGAAATCACCTTCACTGGCGGCTCCTTCGCCGAAGTAGCAGGCCACAATGCGTGGGTCCCGGTTTGGGTTTTGAAGGTCTTGGAGTTTCAGTGCGTAAGCTGCTCCGGCGGCTTGGGGAATTTGTGTGGCTAATGGGGATGAAATTGTGTGCTGTTGTGTGTGAGAGGTTAGAAAAAGTACATTGCTGTAGCAAGGAGGTAGTGGCACTGACCGTGCGAGGATAGTTTTGCCCATAGTGGACTGGCATATTTCGACCACGGCCTGTATCGTTGGCATTGGCGAAGAGCTGGCTCATGAAGTTCTTCAATGTAAATCCGCGTTGTTGGAATACGCCGGCTTCGCGGTATTGTGCAAAGACCACATCATCTGGTGTCAATGCGGCCGCGGAGCCAACTGTGATACCTTCTTCGCCGGCGGAAACCTATAGGTAGCCAGTCAGATAAGCCTTGTTCTTCCTCTTCTCACTTGGTAAATTGGACATACCATGTAGAAACTTAAGCGACCCTGTCGTTGTGCCTCAAACATGACCACGTCCATAACGCTTACTGCACGCCAACAGTTAGGTACTTGATATCGCATCGAGTGTGGAGTAACTAACCAGACAGCATATTTTTGTACCACGTCAGAACCTCCTCATTTGTGACATCGGGTGCCGGTCTCGTCTTATCAATCTGGTAACCGTCTGAATCCATCACTCGGTAGGTAGGGATAGCGGGCAGATCGGAGGCTTTGAGGAACGCCATCTCCGAGGTGAATTTGCTGTTCACAGCACCTGGAAATCGAACGCTAAAGGGATAACATCTCGTCAGCGTTTCTTTCCCAAAAGAAAAGTATTGTTGAAGCAATCACCTATCTGACCCCGGCCGCTGCGAGATGGAGCTACTCCACCTCCGTGCGGGGACGATGCGCGCTGTGGTTACGGGCTGGCTGCGAAGGCCATTCCGAGACAGGAGCTTTAGAGACATTTTGCTCTCTCTTGTTATTAACATTGTAGTTTTAATTGTTTTCAATGGGAGAAGAGGGATTCCAAGGTCTTTGAGTGTTAAATCTGGGGAGTGCGGAGGGCGGTTGGCGTCGGCATTGGAACGTCACTCCGCGGCCAACCGAGTATTCGGTTGCGGGGAAATAACTGAAGAGTGAACAACATTGCAAGATCTCGATTGATTGTATTCTTTGTATCCAGATTGATTTTCTAAAACGAGGCCTCAAATGTCACACACCTCATATGTATCCCTCGCGGTGTAGTTCAAATCCCGTGCGTATCACATCCTGCATTGCGACAGGGATGGAGAGAGAGTCGATACGTTCCTCTTCCACCCATTGATACTCGGAAAACTCGCTGAGGCGGATTGCGACTATGTCAGCAGATTTATCATGGATCACAAAGTTGAGTTTCGTTATGGGCTGTTCTTCAGATCCCCACGACAATGATGCTACTTGATAGATGTTGTGGTAGCCCTGTAGTCCAAGACCTGTCTGCTCAAAGATGATCCGTCTCATGGTATCGTCGACGGTCTCATCAGTGTCTCGAACTGGGCCCGTTGGAGTATTCCACCATCCAATTGTGTGCGAGCCGGTGGCGCGCTTCAGCAGTAGGACAGTGTAGTGCCCGTTCTCTTGGTACCGGAAGACTGCTGCACCGACGCGCCACTCTTGACCCCGGGGTAAGTCTGAGATTCGGGTGATGTTTGGGGTTGCCATAGTTGGATGAACAAGTTGGTTCGAGAAGAAGGAGATGGAGTTGATTGGTGGAGAGTTGAAGTTCCACGGAGGGCAGTATAAATACCTATTATTTGCTATTTCGTTTGCTATTCGTTTGTTATTTCACTTCTATACGATCTCATTGTTTATTCTCTGACTTATATGAGGTTGAAGTCTACAAGAACAGCCCGTATAAAATGGGTTATAGAAAAAAGGCTCAACAAAACCCAAACGAAAGGGTGGAATTTATTTAAAATGGTATCTGAGAAGACATCTGAACAGACTACATACTAACAACTGTGTGAAAGGGCCATTGGGAATACATCAAAAGACGACATAAGTATCTATGAAGTGTTCCTGGAAAACAAGCCCGTCGTCGGATATGATGACATCGGTGCCTGCGTCGGCTCCACTAATGGATACGATGACATCGTTGAACTGGCTTTCTCTATATAACTTCGATCTCTGATTTCTGTTTTCGATCTGTGCAATTGAATAATGAACGAAGCCGATCACATCCGTCAGGTATTAAATACCGACATCCGAACTCCCATTCCCCAGGCGGTCGTGACTAGGATCACCTCCCTGCCACCATTTATCCCCATACAAGGTGTCTCCAACTTTCGCGATCTGAGCCATGATGGCAACCAGGTGCGCCCAGGATTTATATATAGGTCAGGAACTTTATCCGACATCTATGGTACCGGGAAATCCATCATTGCGGCCCAATTGGGAATCACTACAATCTTCGACCTCCGGAATGAAGGGGAGCGGCAAAAAGCTCCTTCGCCTTCTATCACAGGAGTCAAGACGATATGGCTACCGTACGGAGCTCGACCGGCCACTTTGAATCTTGGCGATTTCACGGGCGCAGATAAGGGCGCCGCAGGGTTCGTCAAGATGTACTTGGGGATCCTCGAAGCGGCTACCCCATCTTTCATCGAGATATTCAAGCATATCAGAGATAAACCAAATGATCCGTTCATCGTCCATTGCTCAGGTAAATTCCACATGTATCACCGTGATCTCATGTTTATTTTGCGTAGTCGCGTGCAGAAACCCCCTTCATAATCGACGGATGCTAACCATAAGTTCCATCCACAGCCGGTAAAGACCGCACAGGTGTATTTTCAGCTCTCGTCCTCCTCTTGATCGACCGACCCCATGACGAGATTGTTAATGATTACATCCTCACTCGAGTCGGATTGGAAAGCGCCCGGGAGAACCTCATGGAGGCATTCGCTGTAAACCTGGGAGCTGGTGGAGTCGACATCAACCAGCTGAGCCCCGAAGCGCTGGGTATGCTCGAACTGTGTGGTGTTCGCGCCACTTCCATGGCAGCCTTTCTGGTAGCATTCGAGAACTCTTGGAAGAATGGCGTTGAGGGTTATCTCATTGATGGACTTGGATTCTCGCAGAGTGATGTATCGGTGATGCGCAGGAACCTTACACAGCGGGTCACCTTCAGATAATTATACAAATATAAACAAGCATGTAGAGAGTACACATTGTTGTACTAGTTATGTTTAAACTCGACCAAGTCTTAAGGTTCTCCGGACATGTCTTCATTGCTGCCTCACAAATATGTCTTCAACAAAATAGATGGGAAAATATCCGTGGTTACGTACGTACAGTATCCTCTGCACGATTTATGAGACTTTCTCTCTGTTATATCAAAGGAGTCTCGATATGCATTCCCTCCCGCGCACAGAACGTATACGTAATATCCAGCCTGGTCGCAGACTGCTCACTGACGACATGTATCCAAGAGAAATCCTCGATCCTCTGGCACACAGCGATTTGTTCCATGCTCTGTATCATTTGCCCATCCCATGACCCACCCTCTTCAATCTCAATTACCCGCTCAACCACCCTGGCAGCAGAGATGCTATCCCAAACCGCCTCCCGTATGGGTTGCCGTCGCAGGATACTCAAGACCTCGCGTCGGACTATGGGATGCCGGCATTTGACCCCAATTATGTAAAGTATGGAAATAAATACGGCGTATTTTACCACTAGACCACCACAAAAACCATGGTTCCTGTTTAGGGCCTAGGGAGGGCCATATCCCAGTTTGACATGTCCGATTGCGCTGAAGTTTCGACATGTGAGCGTCGCGGAAACCCATGCTTACGTATAGCCACCTAGGTGCACCCCCCCATGCTAAAAGAAATTAAGCCTTAAGCCTCCCGTCTATAGCTTCAGCTCTCAACTTCCGTACAGCTCCACGTGTTTGAGTCCAGAATCGGAATTCGCTTTCATCCCTGGGATTACCGCAATTCGTGCATTAGCGTTGCTACCGTTGCCTTCTCCCCCACGCGAGGGGTTGTTGGCTGATATCCCCGCTTGGAGAGCCCAGACTACAATGCATGTGCGTTGCATCACTCTGCTGGTACTTTTGTGTAGGTCACCTGCTCATTTTCAGTCCGATATCAGCCAGTACTAGTGGATGAAAGGATGAATTAACCTACTTATTCTATCAAGCCCCTCGACCTTCCAAAAGCCTTTCAAGATAGTTTGCTTCCACGCTATGTATCTTTGGAATCAGCTTGTGCTAGCGGTGTTTCCTTCAGTGCTACAGACAACTCTTGGGAAGAATGTCTTGGATCTTAGTGGTGATGGATGGACTGTCAGTAGCAAGGCACTGAATATTAGTGTCCCCGGCCGTGTTCCTTCGCAAGCGCATTTGGATCTTCTTGCTGCGAATATTATTGGTGAGTCTTTTATAGTCTGAAATATTGACTGGTCTAACAAAAACCAGATGAACCGTTAGTTGAACGCTCGCTTCTCTTGTAATCTGCTCTGTGCTAACTCAAATCGCGCCCAAGCTATTATGGCTTGAATGACTTCAACTTGCGTTGGGTTGCAGAAAACAATTGGACTTATACAAGTAACACAATCGACGGATTGTTTGTGTTCTTCCCTGTCTTAATAGGGGATCACCACTGACTCTTCCCAGATTAAACAACTCAAAATCCTCCTGGCTGGTGTTTAACGGCCTTGACACCTTTACAACAATCGAGTTTTGAGGTCAATTTATAGGAACCACGAATAATCAGTTCCGGCAGTACATTTTCAATATCTCCAATGCGCTGAAATATTGCAACGGCCCTTCTAGCGTCTCTCTCGAGTTTGGAAGTGCCATTAAGAGCGCGAATGCAATCGCCGCTGACCCCAATTCACAAAGTAAGTGTCCCACAATGGGATAACACAAATGTCTGACAATGTCTCCAGGATGGCCTAGCGGTGTTCAAGGAACCTTTGAGTTCCCTAACCGCTGGTTTATTCGCAAACAACAGTCCGACTTTGGCTGGGATTGGGGCCCAGCGTTCTCGCCTGCTGGGCCATGGCAGAATGTCTACCTGGTGCAGTCCGAGCGCGAGGAAGAACTTTACGTTGTAAACACAGGCTTTGACATATACCGAAAGGGCCAGATCAATCACCTTGCCCCGACCAGAGTCAGCCCTGGGTCGTGAATGCAAGTATAGGCTATGTCGGCTCCCCACCTGAGACACCCGTCGATGTCTATCGAGATCAGGGACCTTGAGTCCGGCAAAGTATTGAAGTCCGGATCTCTCGATAATGTTGTTGTATCTGGGCAAACAATCACTGGTAACACAATCGTTGATGCAAATGCACCTAGCCTCTGGTGGCCCGCCGGCATGGGCAAGCAAAGCATGTACAACGTCACAGTCACAATCCAGAACGAAGGCCAGAACCTCGTCAGCGTAACCAAACGCACTGGCTTCCGTACCATTTTCCTGAACCGATCCAATATCACCGACGAGCAGTTAGCCCAGGGCGTCGCACCCGGCGCGAATTGGCATTTCGAAGTGAATGGCCATGAATTCTACGCTAAGGGCTCGAATCTCATTCCACCAGATGCGTTCTGGCCGCGAGTCACAGAAGCCAAGATGCAGCGACTCTTTGATGCAGTCGTGGCTGGAAACCAGAATATGCTCCGAGTCTGGGCTTCGGGCGCTTACCTTCCCGACTTCATGTACGATCTCGCCGACGAGCGTGGAGTGTTGCTGTGAGCGAGTTCCAATTCAGCGATGCCCTGTATCCGACCGACCAACCGTTCCTTGACAACGTTGCTGCTGAGGTTGTCTACAATGTGAGACGGGTCAATCATCATCCATCCTTGGCTTTGTGGGCCGGTGGAAATGAGATTGAAAGCTTGGAGCTACCAATCGCTAAGCAACATGATCCTGCATCATACGCCCGCTTGGTTGGCGATTATGAACATCTGTTTATATCTCTGATACTTCCGTTGGTCTACGAGAACTCGCGGTCGATTTCATACATGCCCAGTAGCACCAACAACGGCTTCCTGAAAGTCGATCTGTCTGCTCCAGTTCCGATGGTAGAGCGGTACGATAATGGTACAGAGAAAAAAGGACATTACTATGGTGATACCGACTACTATAACTATGACAGCAGTGTGGCGTTCGACTTCACCGGCTACCCGGTAGGTCGCTTCGCCAACGAATTTGGCTACCACAGCATGCCGAGCCTACAAACGTGGCAGCAAGCCGTGGACGATGAAGACCTCCACTTCAACAGCAGCACCATCATGCTCCGAAACCACCACTACCCATCAAACAGCCCAGACACCCACAACTACAAGAACTCATCTATGGGCATGGCCGAAATGACCTTGGCAGTGGAGAGATACTACCCGATCCCTAATAAGCAAGACTCCGTCGCCAACTTCAGCGCCTGGTGCCACGCCACCCAGCTTTTCCAAGCAGACATGTACAAGTCCGAAATTCAGTTCTATCGCCGCGGAAGCGGAATGCCAGAGCGCCAGCTCGGAGCCCTATATTGGCAACTCGAGGATATCTGGCAGGCGCCGACATGGGCTGGAATCGAATATGACGGCCGCTGGAAAGTCCTTCACTACGTCGCCCGCGACGTCTTCCAACCCGTCATCGTCTCGCCGTTCTGGAACTCTTCAACTGGCCATCTGTCTATCTACGTGACATCGGATCTTTGGGAGACTGCACATGGAACTGTGAATCTTACCTGGACAGATTTATCCGGCAAGCCAATCAAAGAGAACGCGGGTACTCCCTTGACCAAACAGTTCTCCGTTGGAGCACTCAATACTACCAGTATCTACGAAACCAACGTGGCAGAGCTCTCTCTGCCGAATACGAAGGATGCCATCCTGATCATCGACCTCACTGCTCAGGGCCGTCTCCCAAATGCCGAAAGCAAGACCCTGACTACGTTCACACAGCGGAATAGGTTCACCCCCGTCTTCCCTAAAGATCTTGCACTCAAAGACCCCGAACTCAAGCTGTCTCATGATGCACAGGCTGGCACGTTTACCGTCGAAGCGCAGAGTGCTGTCTCGCTGTATACATGGCTTGACTATCCCGCTGGTGTGGTGGGATACTTCGAGGATAACTCTTTTTCTTTGCTTCCTGGCGAGCAGCGGACTCTTCGGTTCGTTGTGCAGAAAGATGAGACTGGAGGGAAGTGGGTGGATGGTGTTACTGTGCGTAGTCTGTGGGATCAGACTACTAAAACTTGATAGGTGTATACATTGCTGTTGGATCACCCCATTTTCATAGATGGATGCCTCCTTTCTTAGGCAGACTGAGCGCTTGCTGGTTTGCCTAGTTGCTGGTTTGTGGCCGTATAAAGGCCTTTCCTTCATTGATTGAATGCAGCAGATCTTTCGTCCTGATTCTCCCGAGTAGTGAATCGTTGTAGCCTCAACAATTGCATGTCGTCTTTGTTTTGTGCTTCTTTTTATCTAGCAACCTTGGAAACTTTCGAGCTAGCTTTTCGGTAACAGCCTCCGGTCATGACAGTATTGATCCGTGAATTATCTTCTATCCTTACGCTCAAACTAGGAATAGTACTCAGATAGATAATGGAATGGAATTAAATATGGTTAAGTGCCCTTATGGGGCGCTGACTAGTTCTTCCTATCAATATTTGCATATCATGTACAAGCCGTGCACTATATCTATATATCCGACTTATACTACCAAATTCGTATCCCCATCTATTTACCATTGTAAACAGCAGTGGCATCAGTGAGGAACTTGTCAAAGGCCCCATCACCGGTAGTCGGGACGATCGACCTAGGAAGATCCTCACCCTGGGCATTACGGTCATCGACAGTCTTAGCCTTGGTCTTCTCAACCCACTCCTTAGCAGAGTTGAACTCGGCATCGGCTGTACTCTGGTCCTTGTCATCAAGCGCCTCGAGCATAACAATCAAGTGCTTGCAGGCGGTTGCCCACTGCTTAGCAACAGTGGCCCAGGGTGCCACATCCGTAGCGAAGGCCTTCATAGCCATGTCGGGGAGAACATCGGGGATGGAGATAATGAGTTCGAGACGATCTTTCAACGCCTCAGTTCCGTCGCTTGTGCCGGCTTCGCGAGCGGTCCAGAAAGCCGTAATGTCCTTGTTAAGCTGGGTCGCATTGACCTGGGGATTTTGGTACGGCCAGTTCTGGTTGAGGTCGGTGAACGCGATGAGTGCGTTGTGAACAGTTGTGTCAGTACCCGCCAGCTCCCATAGGCTTGCTTCCGTAGACTTGGTGGCGTCGTACGACGGGCCGTTCCAGGTATAGTCGCCGTAGTTGGCGAGCGTGGCCATAGAGGCGTACGGTTGATTCATCGGGTTCGAGGTGAAGCCAAGAAGATGCTTATACAGTTCGGCCGCACGCTTGGTGAGCGGGTTGAGGAACAGGCGATCGCGGTTGGCGTCGTTGACTGGGAAGTTGTCCCATAGGAACAGGTTTTCGGTGACGTAGCTCTTGTCGGCTGCCACGACGCTGTCGACTGTAATTTCGTCGCTGAAGACCCCTTCGCCGGTCCACTGAACGCGGATCTTCTTGTTTAGCTTGGTGCCGAATTCTGTCTTGTACGGGGATGCTGCACTGCCGGCGTAGTGGGTCGGGACAGTCTCGAGGTCTTTGAGGTTGTTTGGCTCGATGTACTCCGTCTGAACGCGGTTCAGATAGAAGGTCTGGGCATCGGCGATCCATTCATCGTTCTCAGTTTTGAGCCACTTCTTCTTGTCCGCATCGCAATGGAACTCGAGGGGGATGTCATCGAGAGCAATGTAGAAGTTGCTGACACCAAAGTCGCGCAGCTGGTTAAACTTGGCGACAGTAGCGTCGAAGTCCTCGTCGGACGAGTAACATACATCTAGGCCGGGAGAAAGAGCGTAGGTGAAGTCGACATGGTTGGTATTTGCAGTCTCAACAAGCTCCTTGAGCTGGGTAAGCTCGTCTCCACTGTAAAGAGTGCGCCATTTGGCGCGAAGAAGTAGATCATCCTTGGGCGTGTACACATAGGTGTTCATCTTGTGCTTTCCATAGAAGGCAAACTGGTCAAGACGTGCCTCATGAGACCAAGGGACACCGTAGAAACCCTCGATTGAGCCACGGATAGACATGAGCGGCCAGTCGCGCACCTTGATACCGGGAATATGGTCACCGTCGAGAACTTGACGAAGAGTCTGTGCCGCGTAGAAAGTGCCGCGGGTGTCTACACCATTGAGTACAATGCTTGGCTGTTGCTCATAATTGCCACTTGCAAAGACGTAGCCATCAGCGTCAAGGCCATTCGCAGAGTTTCCGGCAAGAGCCTTAGCAGCAGCGACAGCGACACCAGCTTCGGCCTCCGTGCCAACGAAAATCTGCGTGCCCTTGCCGCTGGACTTGGAGGCGAGAACTGCATTACCACCGGCGGCAGCAACAACCTCCTTGACCGTGGAGATCGTGGCAGAGTCCTTGAAATCGTCGGTCACGATGGTGACATCGCCTGTGAGTGATACCTTTCCGCTGGTTAAGGTTATCTCTTGAGGAGTGGGCCACACGGTGGGGCCTCCATCTTCACGGCCAGCGAGGTCGTTGTGGGTAATGGGTGCAGAATTGACCGGCCCAAGAGCGAGGGCCACAAGAAAAGCCCGAAGGCAGGTGATGCGGTGTATATTGAACATTGTGTGAAAGAGAGAACAATTCCAGGACGTGGTTTATATACTAAGGAAGGTGCGGTTAACACCCCGAGGGTCTGTTTGATCACCTTCCAAGTTTGGAAGTTTGGAAGCGACCAGTGCCATCGGTTACATCATAGCGAGAAAAATTCACAGGTGCAGTATAGCCCATAGTGTTGCTATCGGGGTTTGATTTTGATTAATTTCTTAGGTCGTATGCAGCCGATATACCCTAAACAGCAGTTTAGAACGGTGTATTCCGGTTATCCGGAAGCTAAGATCTACAGGAGATTGTCTTCTCAGGTGGTAATGTTGGCAGATGGTGGTGTTCTCAGGTAGTAGTGTCTTGGGATAGCAGAGCAGCAGAGAGTGCAGGGACCTGCACGACGACGATCAGTTCGAACTGCCAGGGGCCATTTTGGCAAGCCAAGATGGTGACGAACCACCCCGCTCCTAAGTTAGCGCTTCCATTGTTAATATATAATAGATTATAGCGAGGTAAAGTGGAGGCAGTTTAATATACCCCCGGTGTCGCTAATCGTTGATTGGGTGGACACTTGACTTATCCCGTGGACGAGTACGACTTTGTAGATCAGGTATCAATCTCGGGATAATGTAGATATCTCGGCAAATCTCAACTTGAAAGCCCAAAGCTTTTCTGGACTGTAACGTTACACTCCTCAGATTGCGGGGTAAATGAGATAAAAGTTGGGCTGAATTGGATATACCCCGGTATATATGTTGAAATTGGAATAGATGCCCTAGATCTTGGGTCAATTATAATAATCTCAAGGCTATATATTTCAAAGACGGCACGGATCTTAATAGCATTGCAGTATATAGCACTCGAAAGTGTGGACAACTCTGACCAAACTACCCAATCTTGATCGATCTTGGTCGATCTTGGTATTTTTGTACGAGAGATGGAGATTTATTAATAACAGGAGTAGTCGCTTATGTGGCCTTCTATCTGTGAGGGTAAAGTATGTCTTGAACCTATTTGATCTTTCCACGACTTGACCCTTGTTCCCATATTTGTATATTCTCGAGTTAACGGCTATTAATTAAGGAGTATCTCTTTTCTAGATTAGCCATTTTTCGATTAATGATGCCCAAACTATATCTAAAACATAGTCCTTCTATCTGTTGAATGGTAGGTTTATACCTGCACGCGCAATGCAATTGTTAACGAAAGTACCATCCCCTTTAGGTACTTTATAAGCCTAGTTTTTTCCCGAGGTCCCATCAAGAGCTATCCACCTATGCATCGAGACTAACCTTCTCTGAGCCCAAGGAAAAGCTTAGCCCACAGTCTAGATCCTACTAGGCAAGGGATAGAAAGAGAAAGCAAGCTATCCCCACAGCCCTAGGGAGCATGAGCAACAAATTAAAAAGCCCACCGCAAGTCACAAGGATCATATAGACTCGGTGAATCCTCGGGCGAACAACTGCCGATGTAAAGAGACCCTGGACTTTCCTTGGCACGTGCCATTAGTACGTGTACTGCTAAAATGGCTGAATGGATATTTGCTGTGACGATCGAGGCTAAATGGAAACTGGTTTATGTATCAAGCTAGTGATATTAGTGTCGATCTGTCTGGTGGTTCTCATACTTAGTATGCACCACATGCGTTGACATCAATCGTGCTGTTTGAGCACATTTTCATTTTTAGATTTGAGATATTCACCGACATTTGAGAAAATAACCAGGAACAAGATTTCATTCGCCAGTCCAAATATATATGTAATCCATTGTAAAGTTGCGCCAAAAGTCAAAAAATTCCCGAAAGTATGTAAATGAACATTGGAAAGTATGTAAATGCATTCCAAAACCTTATGCAAAAAAATTCAAAAAGTCCGTGAGCCGTATTTACCATTTGTTGTCGAAAGCCTTGCCGTCAATGTAGTTAACCAGCTCGTTTACTGGGGGAAGATGATCACGACCAGCGCCAAACAACATGCCCTGACGCAAGACGTTGCGGTAGTTCTTGCCCGGAGACACCTTACCGAGGACATACTCTTGGCGAGTCTCGACACGGGTGGGGACAGGGATAGAGCGGCCGACCACGGCCTCCATTCCTGCCAAGCAAAGGTAATGGCCTCCTTAGCGCCACCAGGGATACCAGCTTCATCGAGCATCATAATGCGGGTGTTGGGGTAGTTCTCCTGGATAAAGGCGGTGATGTTAGGGTTATACGCGCCACCGCCGCACATATATATCTCAGCGATCTCAAGGTCCTTAGGAGCGTAGCGACGGTAATGGTCCACGATAGCCTGGGCGGTAACACGAGTGATGCTGGCGACAACATCGTCAGGCTTAAGGCCCTTGGCCTCGGCCTTGACGATGAACTCGTGCGCGAGAGTGTCACGGAAAACTTCACGACCCGTTGTCTTGGGGGGGTTCCAACGCGAAATAGGGATGTGTCAGGAAGTCGTCCACAAGTTCCTGGTCGACGGTACCGCGGGCTCCCATCTCGCCATCCTGGTCGTACTCGCGCTTGCCGTTTGTGTAGTGGCGTACGACGGCATCGATGAACACATTTCCTGGACCGGTGTCGAAATCGTAGCAGGCGTCAACGCCGCCGTGGCTATCCGGGAGGACAAAGCAGACATTTGCGATACCGCCGATGTTCTGGCATGCACGTAGCTTGGTCGGGTGGTGCAGCACCAGCGCGTCGAAGAAGGCAATGAGGGGTGCTCCTTGACGTCCAGCGGCCTGATCACTTACCCGGAAGTCGGTGACGGAGGTAATGCCCGTGCGCGAGGCGAGGAATGTGCCCTCGGCCATAGTCAGAGCGCTGCGGGTCTCGCCGGCCTCTGGCATGGAGAGTAGCCAGATGGTTTGGCCATGGGATCCGAGGACGTCAATTGATTTGATATCCACATTGTAATCCTTACAGAACTGGTGCACGGCAGAGGCGAAGGTCTCGCCCAGGATCACATTGACTTCAGACAACTCTGAAGGGGAGGTCTTGTTATGCAGGATCATGTTCATCACTCGCTTCTTGATCACAGGCTCAAGTGGAATTTCACCATACTGCGTCATTGGTCAGTGTGTCGTACCTTGTGGAGCATTCCCTTGGGTACTTGCCTTGAGTAGTTCGAAGTGCATAGGAGATTCGGGGGTCTCCTGGCGGAATCGGCAAAGAGCGCAGTCAATGCCATCCTATAGCTGATGAGTGTGGTGTTTCTCAATTGAACAGATAGTCACCTACCATAGACGTTCCGCTATTCAACCCCAACACTGTGATGTCTAAACTATGGCTGGTAGTGCCATTGACGGAGTTGGATGCCATATTTGATTACAAATTGTAGATAACAAATATAGAAGTATGAGGAGAACAATATTAAAAGAGAGAAACATGAGGATCCAAGACCCTATTTATCAGACCCGGTCCTGACTGCCGGAACTCCATAACGAACCAGCCGGTGAGTGGTGGAGACTGAAAATTTGGTTCGGCATTCTCAATTACTTCTGATAGATCTACTCCAAGTTCAAGAAATCAATGATTACATTACTAAGGGCAGAAGGGACCGGCAAAAAGCCTATTAGGAATTCCAATGGATAAATGGCTACACGCTTGAGGGCTGTGGGCTTACCCGCATGAACAGCTCCATCGTGTCCCCAGTCTTTACAGATTCTTCACCAAATGCCGGGGGCGGGTCCAATAACAAGGATTATTTGAGACAGCTTCTTTTTTCGATTCTTGGGATCTGGGGAAGTCACTGTCATGGGTTATACTACACTATGGAAGCGACTTTCGCCACGTCAGCTGAATGTTGCCATTCAAATATTCTCGCTGATCTCCATCTTCTTTGAGGGATATGACCAGGGGGTGATGGGTGGCGTCAACAGCTCGCCGAAATATGTCACAGAGGTTGGCATTGGTAAAGCTGATGGGACAGTGACCGACACCACTCACCAGGGTGGCATTGTCAGCATCTATTACCTGGGCGCGATCTTCGGTTGTTTCGCTGGCGGCTGGCTTGCAGATCGAGTTGGTCGGATCAATGGCCTACTCGCTGGCTCATTATTTGCGCTGGTCGGTGGCGCTCTGCAGGCGGGCGCCCAGAATTCGGACTTCATGCTGTGTGCGAGAGTGATTACAGGGATAGGGACAGGGGGTAAGCGTCCTTGCTAGTCTTGCCTCAGCTTGTGGGTTGGAAGGAGCTACGATTCTAATTTGTTATTTCACAGCCTTGACTGGGATTACCCCAGTATTAGTTTCTGAGACCTCTTCCGCGAACCATCGTGGTGGGTTTTTGGGTTATGTATTCATTGCCAATTGTGAGTCGTCAATTTGTGATATCCACTGTGGGGGTGATCCTTTCTGACATACATCCTTTTTCAAGATCTAGGAATCTCCGTCGCATACTGGATCTCCTTCGGCCTCGCTTTCGTCGATAACGGTTACTCGGACGTACGATGGCGCTTCCTCCTTGCCTTCCAGTGTTTCCCGGCACTCCTCCTAGCTGCCTTCATCAAAATGTTGCCGGATAGCCCCCGATTTCTGGCCTCAGTCGGGCGGAACGATGAAGCTCGAGACCTTTTGAACCGTATTCGCAAAGACCGGGCCTCCCAAGACGATATCGACCGCGAATACCTTGAGATTATAGTCACTGCGAAAGGAAGCAAGCTCAGCTCCCCCATTGAGTTTGTCAAGATCTTATTTGGAAAGGGTGGAAAACCAGGAATGAATCTCGGCCGACGAGCCTGGTTGTGTGTTTGGCTTCAAATTATGGCTTCCTGGACGGGTATTACAGTGAGTTACGGCGCTTACAACCAATGGACCATCAGGGTGCTAATGGTGATGATAGGCTGTTACTGCCTATTCTCCGGTACTGCTTGCCCAGGCAGGTTATAGTGATATAAAGCAAAACGGCCTTGCTGGAGGAATCAATACAATTGGAATCATCGGTACTATCATCAGTGCTCTAATCATTGACCGATTGGGCCGACGGGTATGCTTGATGGGCGGAGCGGCTGTTTTGTTTGCAGTCAACCTTATTGTGAGTTTAGTTTTTCTTCTGATCGAAATACTTCTAACAAATTTAAGGCCGGAGCTGTGTATGAAGGCTCGCTGCATAACCCTGAAAAGGCATCTCAATATGCACCTGGTGCTGTGACTATGCTCTTTTTATTCAATCTGGGGTAAGTCGGTATGAAATTGCGACACTCCTTGCATATATACTAAACTGGAACTAGTTATGCTGCCACCTGGGGCACGGTTGCTTTCTTGGTTCCCACTGAGATCTTCCCCAGTGATTTACGAGCCCAAGGCAATGGATTCGGGATCACCGGGTGGGCCATTGGGGTGGGTATGACCACTTTGGTCAACCCTATCATGTTTGATGTCATGACCGTAAGCTTCTTCGGTTTTTACTGAAGTACTTGGATGAAAATACTAATGACCTTTTAGAGCCGTACATACTTTTTGTTTGCTGGCCTTAACCTCATCTGGATCCCGATCGTCTACCTATGTATGTTTCTGATGTCTTATTAATCTACGTCCGATGCTGAGTTCTAACATCATCTTCTTCACAGTCTACCCCGAAACTCGGAACCGCTCTCTTGAATCGATTGACGCTCTTTTCTCGACGCCTAGTCCATTCCACTGGAAGATGGAACAGGCCTACAAGCTCCACGGTGATGTTCTTGCCGAACACGGAGTCAACAGGAATGAGGCTCTGGGTGATGGCAAGGGTGAGCTGACAACGTCTCCAACTGAACTTGGAACTGTCTAAAGCATCTGCCATTTACGTCATACTGTATAGTGTTACATCTACAGACACAACACATGTATAGGATCATGTACCTAAAGTTGTCACCTCGCACTTAATATTTTATATAGAGATTGTATACATACTATTCTTGCTTCTTTTTCACTTCTTCGTTACTTGTCTCTAGTAGTCGCCCCTACGGGTTAGGTCGTAACCACTTTTATATAGAACTAGCCAAGGATCTGTACAGACTTTAACGTTGAATGCATTCAATATTTTCTTTTAAGTTTCTCTTTAAGTTTTATATGCAAATCAGAATTGATCCACCAGGTATATAATATATATTATTACTCTTATCTTCCAGATCCAACGATCGTCCAAATCTCCACCGCATTCGATCGTCCCGGAGTCAACTAGAATGACACGCCGCTGACTCAGCTTTTTGTGGCAGGTTCCAAGCAACTCTAACGTCGACTTTTATCCTTCGCTCATTTCCAGGATTTCAATTGTGCATGTCATCTGAGAAATTTGCTACTTGAGCTTGATTGTCAATATTGTCGATTTTTTGGCCTTTTTCCCATTCTGCACAGGCTTACCCCAGGATCTTGCACACACGACCCGTGTCTCTGCGCAGACCCCAAACCCCGTTTCTGACCGAAGCTCGCGGCCCGCGAATTGTCTCCCGCGTCCTTGCTCCTGAGACCACCAATTTCTGTTGGAAACGAACTAATGAATTGAATGTCGCAAAAACCCCGAAAGCTCCAACGCGTCTCTAAAGCCTGTAAGATCCCCACGTTCAATTGTATACTCCACTCGCGCTTGGCGGCAATTATTCCCCCGGATTGTACTAGAAAGCTCTGAGCTCATCCCGCATCCACAGGCGACTTCTGCAACAGACGCAGCATCAAGTGCGGCAGAAGTGAAGACCCGCTAGGCAGATGTCAGAATTGTGCCGATTTTGATGTTCCGTGCACCTTTGATCGCCCCGCAAAGCGCCGGGGTGTCAAGGCTGGCACCAGGGCTTCCATGCGCGAGACCCCGTTGGTAGGAACGCCTGCCCCCGAGCACGTCCCCCCTGTACCGCCTTCTGCGCAGGCTACAGGGAGGATGTCAAATTCCTCTGCGTCTAGGAGCTCGTACTACACCGAGTCAGGCCACCGCCCGTCATTGACTGGGGATCCATGGTCTACCTTCAATACTGGCGGCGTGGCAACGGAAGGGTATGATGACGACGGCGCATTGCGGAACTCGTGGAATGCATTTGCCATTGCCAGTGATCGTCAAATCCGAAATCTTGTGCAAGTATACTTCGAGATTGTGTATCCAATGTACGAATCGAGCTTGTCGTTGCTCCTGTTTCTTTCTATGGCTGATAAATTTCTAGCTTCCCGCTTTTCCACAAGCAATCTTTCATTGAGAGAGTTCATAACCAAGAGCATCTCCGAAATCCGGGGTTGTTTGCCTCAACAATGGCAGTTTGCGCCTTGGTTTCTGGGCGCGCGCGAGACGGCGCGCTGTTCACGAATAGGTGGCATCGCGATGAACTTGCCGAACCTCCATCCGAGGCATTTTACGCCGCGGCCAAGGATTCTATTCCCCGAGACCTCGCAGCGGCAAGAGGTATTAACTATATGCGTGCATGCGCTATTCTCGCAATCGCTAGCATTCAAAACGGCCAAATCAAGAATATGCAAAAGTTCTCCGGCATGTACCATACTCTCACCAGCATGGAGGGTCTTCATGATGAAAAGCTTTGGCCAAAGAACCTGAGTCCCATCGAAACCGAGGAGAGGCGAAGACTAGTATGCATTCTCTCATCTTACGGTTATGATTTCCACTAACTCTGGGTCTGAAGTTCTGGTCTATCTATACATTAGATATCTATTCCACTATTGTATGGGGAGGCGTGATTCGATATCGCGAAGCGCATTCTCTGGTACGATATCCGAGTGAAGTGGACGATGAGTTTATTACACCCCACGGCTACGGGCTCCCGCCCGTGTCTCCAGAGTCGGGCGTCAGCCCGGACGATGTGACCGTCGTATCACGGCAACCTGTAGCATGGCTTCGGGGCTGGAACTTTACGACAGATCTATATCGAATTCTAGAATACGTCGTTGATGGCAATCGCCGTCGTTTCTCGTCAGCCAACGGAACCTCACAGGTGTGGTCTCTGTTCACCCCGGCATCCATGTCAGAACCAGCAGTCATGGAGAGGGTACTATCGATGTACGCCGCGCTGCCCCCGCAATTCAAAGAAACCCCACCCACTACAGGCGACATGGCGAAGGATCTGTTCGGGTTCCAGTCTGCCAACATCCAGGCAACACTACAGCTCCTCCGGATGGTCCTCTTGTCAGCGGAAGAGCTTGGTGTAGACCGCAAGTGTGACGTGGCTGGAGAACTTCTCAGCGTCTTCAGCAAAGTTCCCGTGGAGTATTTGAACGCCATCAGCTCCCCTTTGGTATGTCCACCACCCTTGCTCTTCTAAACCCCCATTTCACTAACCGCTTACAGCTTCATCATCTCGGCGGAATCGGTTATATCCTCGGCTCTGTCATGGAAGGAAGCTTATCAGAAGCATCGTACCAACGCGTCCGCACGTTGCTGTAAGTCCTTTGCCCATTCCAAGCCACCCACTCCGACCAATAACTAATACCATCCCTACAGACTCGAAATGGCCGACCTCCTCGGCCGCCTCGAGACAGGTCTCCAGCGCGCCTCTGGCGCTAGTCAACGACTTCGGTCGCAGGTAGACAGAATCGACGGCTACATGCGCACCTCCCGACTACCCAATCTCACGGCGCCACACCCACCCCCTCAACATAACACAATCCCCATCGATACTAAACGCGAGATCCCTATCCCAGCCACAACATACATTCCTCCCACTGGCCCAGCCCCGGCAGTCGGTCCACCGACGGCAATGGGCGGGCAAATGATGCAGTTCCAGCTGCCGCCGGAGCTGTTGTCAGATTGGCCGTGGCCGTTGGATGGGGCTCATTCGGAGGGTTTTCTTCCGCTGGCGTTTGAATAGTTCACTTGGTGGTTGCTGGGTGGGTTTGTGGGAGTTGGAGGCCGCGTGTTTAATGATTCCATAGAGTAGAGAAAAGGGGTTGTATCTAATCATCTGTTTATATTTATATCTCAGGGTGTAATTGAGCGGAAGTCACGGATCGTGGTGTTTATTACTGCTCTTCGTCTTGTTATATTTGTGCATATTTCATCTCTCTCACATGTTCTGTTTGGGTTCCCAGCTTGATGGTCAAAGAATCTATTTATCTTGAGTGGAGTGGTGGGGGCAGACCTCGGGTAGCTGTTTATATGCTTGTCATATTAATTTCTATCCACCCTGTACGTGGAGAATTCAAATTGGAAAAGCATATGCATGCAATCATCGAGGAAGTTCTTTAGGAAGTTCTACATTTTCTGAGACCGAAACGAGCGAGTACATACAGGCCACATTCCGTTATAGAGCACACCGAAGGTCTTGCCCGTCATTGCTAAGCCTTAATCTTGGCTTTAGGAAAGACGGGATACAAATAGCACCGGGCCGGTGTACTCAAACCCCGCTGCCTTGCCGTCAAAATGCGGGGGGGATACATATTGACTTTGGATCTGCTTCGGTCTTCCAAGGCTAAACGAGGGTCACAGTATGTACACCGCAGTTAAGGTGAATGCAACCGAGAGGGTCCGGGGCTTCATTGGTCATTTTGAACTGGTTTAGACCTGCTGGTCTGGACGTTTCGTTTCATGTTAGTCCCGGTCAACCTCCGAAAGGAAGGTTTTGATTTGTCTAAGAGTTTACCCCACAAATGGCTTGAGTCTGAGGCATTAATATCTAAGCATCTCTTATCAAAGTCTTATTCTGTTCCAGGTGATTTTCAAGCTAATCCTGGTCAACCACCATTTAATCCCTGATAAGCTTATCACTTGGCATATCTACAAGGTTTAGTATCGCCTTCTCCTCCCCTTTTTGGGGTCATCCCGTCTTCTCTAATCCTAATATCTCTCTTATCAGTGGTCTTTGGGTCTCGTGTATCATGCTCTTGGCACTTTTGCTTAGATATTGCATGATCAACATGTATACCGTCTTTATCAACAACGTTAGCTCCGCACGCTCTTGACCCCAATGTCGGTGCGCATATAAAGAGTCACGTCCCCCGCCTCTAGACTTAGAGTAAAATCCTAGCCCCAGTAGTATTTCGCTATGGAGAAGAAACTTTCTACAGACGTTTCCGTGCCCGAGGATACTAGCCCGGGCGATGTTTTACCCTACCGACAGACACAGCGCGGTCTGACATCCCGACATGTGCAACTAATGGCCATCGGAGGTTCAATCGGAACTGGGCTTTTCGTCGGTATTGGATCCTATCTGCGAGATGCCGGTCCGCTGTCTGTGTTCCTTGGGTATCTTATCTGGGGATGTCTCTTTATCTTGCCTGTCAATCTGTGTGTTGGAGAAATGGCTGCATATCTCCCTATTCGTGGGTCGATCTTTGAGCTCGCTGCCCGGTTTATTGACCCGGCATTTGGGTTTGCTATGTAAGTCCTTCCATGCCCTATCTTGCTTTGCTTTATGGTGCTGATACTAACTCTTCTAGGGGCTGGGTATATTTCTATGGCGGTGTGATGCTAGTTTGTACAGAGTACTCTGCAGTCGCAACAATCATGCAATACTGGAACACGAGCGTCAATCCTGCCGTTTGGGTAGCCATGGCGCTGATTGTTTGCACAATCCTCAACCTTGTTTCCGTGAGATGGTACGGCGAGAGCGAGTTCGTCCTAGCATCGACCAAAATCCTTCTCCTTATTGGACTTATCCTCCTCACCTTCATCACAATGGTTGGAGGAAACCCCAAGCACGATGCCTACGGTTTCCGTAATTGGACCGAGGGTGTCATGTTCGAGTACTATACCGAGGGCACCACGGGCCGATTCTTGGGCTTCTTCTCCGTCATGGTCTATGCTGCCTTCTCCGTCGCTGGACCTGATCTGCCAGCCCTAGCCGCAGGAGAGATCCAGAACCCACGAAGTGACCATCCCCCGAGTTGCGAAGATGACATTCTGGCGCATCGTGGGATTCTATGTCGTCGGAGTCCTGAGCAGTAGGCATCATCTGCAGCCCGCGCGACCCACGTCTCATGTCCGCGATTGATGACGGTGCCGCTGGCTCCGCCGCTTCACCTTGGGTTATCGGAATCGAGAACCTCGGAATTACGGGCCTGCCGGATCTGATCAACTTTCTGATTTTGTTATCAGGCTGGTCATGTGGCAATGCCTACCTTTACAGCTCTAGCCGAACACTCTACTCTCTCGCTCGTGATGGCCAAGCGCCGAAGTTCCTTTTGAAATGCACTGCATCCGGCATCCCCATCAACTGTGTCATCACGGTATCTGTTTTGTCTTGCATTACCTTCCTCGTGGCTAGTACCTCTTCCGTCGAGGTGTTCTTCTGGTTCGTCGATCTGACCACCATCGCCTTCGTGCTCACCTACACCGGCATGGTCTGCGTCTTCATCGCCTGGTACCGCGCCATGAAAGCGCAAGGAATTGACCGCAAGTCATTCGTCCCATGGGCTGCTCCGTTCCAGCCATACGGAGCTATTCTCGCTATCATTATTGGCTGCGCTACTGCTGTCTTCAATGGCTTCTCTGTCTTCAAGCCTTTCAGTGTGCAAGGCTTCATCACTTCGTATTTCGGTCTGGCGTTCTGGATCGTCATGTTTGTATTCTGGAAGGTGTATCATCGGAGTTCCTTCGTGAAAGTTGCAGAGGCAGATCTGTACTCTGGGAAGGCGGAGATCGATGAAGAGTGCAAGATCTGGGAAGAAGGTGGGTGGGCGGAACGGCGGAAGGAGGAGCTGGCTAACATGCATTGGGCCCGGCGAGTATGGGAGAAAATGTGGTGATTATCTACATGCTTGGTGTTTGGTTTGTATATATACGTCTATCTTATTCCTGAATTTATCTGCTATTTCCAGAACAGCAAAATGCTCATCAAAATAGCATATAATGGCACTCGGCAAAGATACTTGTAAAACAGAGACTCCAATTGACAATTGTAAAGTCTTAATGTCTTTCTGCAACTAAATAGGTGTCATAGTTGTGGTGCCATACAATTACACACTCTGATTGGTTGGCGCGGATGATGCTTAGGGGCACGCACCGGTGGGGACCCCGACAAGAAAAGAAAAGTTGCCCGGTTCACATGGGCAAGCTTCTCCAGACTCACGAACACCAATTCCACCATGTCCACCATGTCAACTCGCTCCGCCTGGCGAGCTTTGCACTACAGTGCCAAGCGTCGCGCTTTCCAACCTTCCACCCCCTACCGTTGTTTCTCCTGTGCCAATCGCGCCCAGGAGCAGAAGACAGACAATGATCGCATGACACACTTCGGCTTCACCAACGTGCCCGAGTCAGAGAAGGAGTCACGAGGTAAGGGTTCACCATCCCCCTATCCAATTGACCACCATCTCAATCCGACCAAACCCGAACCCATAACTAACCACCAACACCCCCTACAGTCGGCGCCGTTTTCAGCTCCGTAGCAGCCTCCTACGACCGCATGAACGACCTAATGTCCCTCGGCATCCACCGCCTGTGGAAGGACCACTTCGTGCGATCCCTGAACCCAGGCTCCTGCCTACCCGCCATGACCGCCGACCAGCGCGGCTGGAACATCCTGGACATCGCCGGCGGGACCGGCGACATCGCCTTCCGCATGCTGGACCACGCCACGAACGTCAACCACGACATGGAGACCCGCGTGACGATCAGCGATATCAACGCGGACATGCTGGCCGAGGGCCGGAAGCGCTCGCTCGACACCCCCTACTACAACACGTCGCGACTGGACTTTGTCGAGGCGAACGCTGAGCACATGCCGCATATCCCCGATTCCTCGGTGGATCTGTACACGGTTGTTTTTGGAATCCGGAACTTCACGGATAAGCAGGCTGCGCTGAATGAGGCATATCGTGTCCTCAAGCCTGGTGGTGTCTTTGCCTGCATGGAGTTCAGTAAGGTTGATAACCCGGTTCTGGACGGTATCTATAAGCACTGGAACTTTAGTGCTATCCCGCTTATTGGTCAGGTTGTGGCTGGTGACCGTGATAGTTATCAGTATCTCGTTGAGAGTATTGAGCGTTTCCCCAGTCAGGAGGAGTTTAGGGGTATGATTCAGAAGGCTGGGTTTATGATTCCTGGTCAGGGCTTTGAGAACCTTACGGGTGGTATTGCTGCTATCCATAAGGGTATTAAGCCCATTGCTAAGGCTTGATTGTGGAGGGGTTGCTGTGTCGTGTGGGAGATGGTGTTTCTGTACTATATAGGCCTGGGACTTTGCATACTGATTGTATTACCAAGGAATATCATTGGCGTTAATTTGCACCGTATATGAATCCGCCTTGGCTGTGAGGCTTGGGATTCGGTTGTAAATGTGCATCTAAAAAGTATGTATGCGAAGAGAAACAAGGCTGTGTGGGCGTAACATCGTCATCCGGATGCGTGATAATGCAAACGATATGTAAGATCAAGTGAGTATATCCAAGAAGGAGAAAACTGCGTGCTTTTCAGCCATGTCATCCGTCCAATAGATCCTCTGCCTCCATCAACCCCAGGAAACTGCCGGGAGAGGTCATATCCTTCACGACAGCAACGACAGTTACTGGGTCTGATCTATTTCGAGATTCAGAAACAGTATGTCGGATTTCAGCGAGGGGTGTTGAATCTGGTACCAAGAGCCATTTACTTCGAGGTACAACGAATGGAGTACTGGGGTTCTTGGCCATGACCTCAGACACACACATATCCATATCTCCAGTAGGAGAAAGGAGAGCACGAATGCGCCGAGGAGGGATTATTTCGGACGGTGACAACAGCACCCATGATTTGGCGTTGGGATGTTGGATGGCTGTGAGAAGGATATCGAGAAGTTTGACATCGCCGGGTGACTGCGATGAAGACGGAGGGGCAGTGGGGATTTGGTCTAGCGGGACCAGCATATCTCGAGAAATGACGCGCTGTTCCGGTGGCGACTGTAAAGTGAAAGGAGGGATCAACTGAGTATTCGTGATTTCCTCCCACGGAAGAGACACAGACGACGTCGGAGAGTCAAATGTCCTCGTTGACATGCCACTGGAAGGCGTGGTCAGCGGTGTCTCAGCTGCCGCCGCTCCAATGGCACCACCAGGATGGAACCCACGGAAGACTTCTGCAGGGCTCTTCCCAGTGGCAGTGTGCAGCTTCCGGGCCGTAGCAATAGCCAGCGCATCGCCCAGCGACAAGGCCACTGTCGTGGACGACGTGGGTGCACGCACACCGAAAGAAGCCTCCTCATCCTCATGAATCGGGGCGGGTAAAAGAATGCCCATTCCCAAAGGGCCATGCAACGAGAGAAGCGGACATGACGCTGGATGTGTATGCGATGTAAGAGCGATCACCGGGACAGTAGCAGGAAGATGCGGAAGCAGAGATAAAAGTTCAGGCGAGCGACCAGAGAAGGATATAAGAAGAACCGTATCATTCTGGATCCACCAGGTCAGTATCAGAGTCTCGAATGTCTCATTAAAAGCCAAGCGATCGCGCCGTGATTGTGATTCCAAAGCACGCATCTGCAGGCGTAGGCGCAGGTGGGCTTACCGGCCGAACCAATCCCAGATCGCCATGCAAGGCTTCAGTCGGATGCAGGAACGCGCTGTATACGCCCAGACTATTCATCGTAGCCTCGATTTTTCGTCCGACCTTCCCACTTTTCCCGACCCCGCAAACGACCAGTTTCCCACCCTCGCGCACGCTCTGCGTAATTCGATCCACGGCCCGGGCGAGATCGTGCTGCGCTCGCGCATCGGTCTGGTAGATGTGCTCGAGGTGAGCGAGGGCTGCTCGCTCGGTTGAGATCACATGGATTGCTGTTACTACCGATGAGACATCTTTTGGTGCTGGTGGATCGGATGAAATAGGAGGTGTGAGAGGCCACGAGGGTTGGGCGGGTTCTTCGAATATTGACATGGCGGGTTCTCAATGTCTATAGCATGATTGGAAGTAAGAGGAATTTATGAGACAAATGGTCTCTTCGCACGCCCGGCTAAGTCGAGGCCGAGGATCAAAGATCAGTCGATAACGGAAGATAACGAGTGATCGGAGATCGGTGTTTTTCGTGAGCGGGAATTATTACTACTTAGGTACTTACATACATGTAGTCTTTTGAGGGGAAATTTGATTTATTAATGTAAATACCCCTTTCTGACATTGATTTAATGCCAGTATGCATAGCCCCGTCTAACCCCGTCTAATAAGATGGTGTCATTCTTTGCTACAATGGTGAATGTGGAGGCGATCTACTTGCCTATTCGAGTATTTCCGAGGCCGATGCATAGAATAGAAGAGAACACTTGAATATTAATTTGAACAAATTTTGAGCAATTGACGTCTAACCCAGGAGGTCTATTGTGTCTCCATATGTACAGAGGGTATAACCAACAAAAGAAGAAAGAAAGCAAGCCCGAAGATAATAGTATGTACATCCGGTTGGCCGCGGGGTAATTGCAAGATTCTCCCGGTAATAACTTCTAGCAAGGACAAAGGCCAACATGTCTAGAACTCAAAGGTACTCCACAAACTCCAGCCAAAAAAAAAACATCTGTCGCACAGGAAAGGACAGAAGGTAGGGGTATCGCATCAGGATGTCGCGTCGCTAGGGGTCATTATGAGTATGCCTCAACAGGCAATAATAGATCGTCGTATCATCCTTATCGACCCTCCTGTTTCTCTTTCCCCTTCTCTGTCGTGCCATCATCCTCGTATAGATGATGCTGCTCAATGTAATGAATGACTGGAACTGGGATAAGGTAGCGCACACTCATCTCACGCCGCAAGAAGAGTCGGATCTTTGTGCTGCTAACATCATTCTGAATGAGCTGCTGGATAACATGGATGTTGTCCTTCCAGGGCTGCAAACTGGCTAAGGCTTCATCGATATCTGTGCCACTGCGCTCCACAATGAAAGACTGAGAGCCGTGTTAGCGATCCATCTCTCAAGCGCGGGATGAACGGGGTCGATGTTCAAGGAGACTTACGCCGTATTTGCCTAGAATGTGATCCAGATCCTTCTCACTCCATACACCTGGTGTGGACATGGTATGGATCAGATCCGCCCCGGCTAGCAGAGCAATGCGAACGGGCTTCCGGGTTCCATTTCCGGCGTCCACCCCCTCACGGACCACGTTGATTTCATGATCAAAATGATCCAGCACCACAGCAGTTGGCTGATAGGCCTTCTGAGTTGGCTCCCATGTGTCCACCATCAACCAGTCGGAGGTTTGCTCGACTGCGAGTTGGCACATCGCAACCCTATAGATCAATCCCTGTTAGCTTTCGAGAACGGCTAGACCCCATAGAATAAATGCAAAGTCCCTTACCGATGCTCTGCACTAGCTAGACCAGCCTTGCGATAGGCATCCGACACCGGCGACAGATATCCTCCAATGAGTTCAAAGTCGGTGCTGAATCTGACGTGATCGGCGGCCATTTCGAACATTCGCAGGTGTAAATAAGTAATTGGCGAGAAGGAACCACAAGCGACCAGCAAGAGAGGGGTCTTTTCTGGATCGCTCATCGTGCGCTTGAGGCGATACTCCGGGAAGGTGTACTCCTCCATCGGAGCGGGGGTGATATCGGCGGGTATTTGGTGGACATCATCGCTCTGCCCGCCGACCATTTCGATTGCCATGGTGGAGAGATAAGTAGAAGAATATACCCCTAGAGGATCTTGAATTCCGGGGAAAATAAAAGAGTATGGGGTTCGGAGAAAGGCGGGGGAGTTGAAAAGTGAAGAGATGAATTTCTATTGCGGCGGGGGGGGCAAACCGGAGGCGGCAAGAGAATGCGCCGGAGAAGGCGAACGTATGAAAGTTCAAAAAGGTGAAAGATGAAATGTGTGAAATATGTTTCCTTTTGCCTTCCAAGGTTGTTTACTTTTTTTTTTTCCTCTCTCTATCAGGTTCCAGCCCTGGAATTCCGTGATTAAAAATTGCAACCTCGGTGAGTCAATCGAGTTCTATTCGGCGTCTCTCCGTGATCCGGATCGAACGCCGTTACTTTCCATTTTGAGGACATCTGGAGTTAAGGGAATATATATATGTAGGTTCATGGAGTTAACAGCTTAATAAAGTTCATTTAGCTCTCAAGGTCCTTATTTAATTTTTACCTAGGTACGGAGTAGTTCTTGGGGTTTTCACTGAGTGCTATATAGTGCTCAATGTACTCCATACGGAGTACTTGTATGAATGGCTTTTGACCCTCAACCCAATAATTGCACATCAAATACACATACACATACCATAAACATATAAAGACACAAAGGGATCCCTTGCGGTATTTATTGCCACCTGCACTATCAGGTCTCGGGCCCTCCGTGCCCAATATCCAGGCAAGATGCCAATGTGCAGAGAATAGAGTAAGTCATGAAGTACGGAGTAATTGTGCAATAAATCATTCTAGTATATGAGTATATACACTAGTAGATATAATAGATATGAAACCACCTAATTATATATATATATGTAATAATCAGTGAGTTCGTATGTAGTCAAGTATATAAGTACCTGGTTAGATCATCGAATGTTGCACTTCCGCCGCCTGACGCTCCCCCCAATTCCATTCACAACCACGTCAAACCAACTTTCCTTTTCTTTTTCCCCCTTATCCTTAACCCCCCATCGAAAAAAAAATCTCATCTCCTGTGCGACTGGAATTGGTAATCGTTCTTTTCTTCCAAGACTGTGATCTCATAGCCTCAACGGCAACAGTGACAGCTACCCGAAACATCGTTCTCGCCAGCCCTCTCGGCTAGCCATAGCGGATGGCGGGTTAAAAACGGTGACCACTCAATTGAGCTTCCCATACCCGATAACTTATGGCCAGGCAAAGGCCGTCCGCCAACCGCCAGGACCCTCTCGAGGATTATCCCGCCCCCGCAGGCACTTCGGCCTCTTCTCCCTGAGGTAGTTTCCCCGTTCTCTCCGCCTTGTACACTCATCGCCTAGAGGTTCAGACTCATCTTCCGTGGACTCTCACGAATCTGTTGATCACTGAGCTCTCGTACCCTTCGTTTATCCCCTGGGTTGTTAAGTTGATGGTCCGCAGTTCATCGGGATCATCATCGCTTCTACATTTCTAGATTCGTCATCTGTCTACCCAACTATCTGCTTATCGCTTTGACCATCCCGGTCTTCGTTTTTCCGTCATTCTCTTTCTTCAGGCCCTGATATCGTCACACGTAATTACAAAAAAAGATCACTTTCTCATGTCATCCAGAATAACTCGCTCCTCCGCGAGACTCGCCACAGACCCTCCACCTGCTGAGTCCGGTACACCGCTACAAACCGCCGGCTCAACCTCATCCCGGAAACGCAAGGCATCTTCCCGCCACGACCGACAAGCAGACGCCCCGATACAACCAGCACCGCCGTCACCCAAACGGAAAACCAAGCGACCGCGGACTGCAGCATCCCAAACAGCTCCATCTACTGGTTCTGTTGCTGCACCCCGTCGAGGCGCCCGCAGCCGTCCAGCCATGTCACAACCGGGGTAGGTGATGACGTACAGCGATGAATAGGAGTCAGGGCTAACTTCATCTTCTTACGTAGACCGTCATCTCGACCGTCGGAGGAATCATCCAAATCGACGACCTCTCCCCAACCATCGAGGCGAAAGTCCAATCGAAACGGTGAGTTCCATGGGAATCGGCCATGTAACCCAATAATTGGTGTCTAGACATAATAGTTACTGATACCGTCTCCTTATTTATAGATCGACCTGCGACCACACAGTCTCCACCACCCCGACGCTCGAAGAAGCGTTCCGCCAAACCAAATGCCGATGTTGTGATGAGAGATGCGGAGGAGGAAATAGAGCAGGAAGAACACCAGGAAGAACATCAAGGATCACAGACGGGAGAGAGCAACGATGGTACTAACCCCTCGGCGTTTGGTGATGATGATATGGATCCGTTCCACAGCAGCCTGTTCGGTGGCCGAGGCCCCATGGGACTCCAGAGCACTCTGCGTGCGCTTACTGGCATGATGAGCGGCATGTCCTCACGTCTTCGAGATATCCTCTCCAACTTGAGAGCAAAAGATGATCCATCTCTCCAACTGATCGCCCTGCAAGAGCTGTCGGATCTCTTGCTTGTCTCGAACGAGGATAACCTCTCTGGTCAATTTTCACCGGATCCGTACGTGAAGGAGCTCGTGGCTCTGATGCAACCGAACCAGTTCGGCGAAGAGAATCCCGAGATTATGCTTCTTGCATGTCGCTCTCTCGCGAATCTAATGGAGGCCCTGCGGGGCTCCGTGGCGAATGTTGTATATGGTGGTGCTGTACCCATCCTTTGTCAAAAGCTGCTTGATATACAGTTCATCGACCTAGCTGAGCAGGCGTTGAGTACTTTGGCCAAGATTTCCGTCGACTTCCCAGCCTCAATTGTCCGAGAAGGTGGTTTGACCGCTTGCCTGACATATCTGGATTTCTTCCCAACCAGCACTCAACGCACAGCAGTCAGTACGGCCGCCAACTGCTGTCGTAACCTTCCCCATGACTCGTTCCCCGTGGTGCGGGATGTAATGCCCACTCTACTCAACGTCCTGTCTAGCAATGACCCTAAGGTCGTGGAGCAAGGGTGCCTATGCGTATCGCGGATAGTCGAGAGCTTCAAGCACCGACCTGAGAACCTGGAGGAGCTGATTGAGCCTGAGATGCTCAAGGCCGTTCTTCGGCTACTACTGCCAGGAACGACGAATCTGATCGGACCCCATATCCACACGCAATTCCTTAGGGTATTGGCAATTGTGTCGAAAACAAGCCCACGATTGTCGAATGAACTTCTCAAGATGGATGTAGTGGATACGCTTTACCAAATTTTGACCGGCGTATCACCACCACGTGATGTGGATAGCACGGCCGTCAAGATGGACAGCGTGCTAGTTATGCAAGCATTGATTCATCGGCCTCGCGAACAAGTATTTGAAACCCTCAACGTCATCTGCGAGCTACTGCCTGGTGTTCCAAGTCGCGATGCCTCAAAGACCGATAACCTTCTAAGTTCATACTTTGATAGCCACATGTCCATCGGACTGAGGTCGCCCAAAACTAAAGAGGCAGTGGAGGAGAGGCGGTCCTTGCTCGCCAACTGCAAGACTGAGCTTAAGCGTTTCGCGATGATTCTGTTCCCAACTTTGACCGATGCCTACTCGAGCACGGTCAATCTTCATGTCCGCCAGAAAGTCCTGATTGCACAGCTGAAGATGCTACACATTCTCGAGCCTTCTTTGATTGAAGACGCCCTGCGCACAGTTCCTTATGCTTCGTTCTTGGCTGCTATCCTGTCCCAGAAAGACCACCCGTCTCTCGTGTCTTTGGCTCTACGCTGCGCTGAGCTATTGTTCCAGCGACTTGAACATGTTTATCAGCATCAATTCCACCGTGAAGGAGTGATCTCAGCCATCATCAAACTATCCGAAGGTTCTCTGTCAGGAGACCAGGAGAACATGGATTCATCCGATCCCACACATCTAAATACAACCACAGATCCATCGCGCGGCGCCAATATCGGAGAGACTGGAGCTGGCGGAGATGATGAGGATGAGGATGATGAAGCCGATGACTATGACGACGAGGATGGCGAGGAGGACGACCACGACGACATGTCTGATTCCGAGGATGACTTCATGGCGGGCCCGCGCAGTCTACAAAAGATGGACAATGCGCTAAACGACGTAGTTATCCGAGATGCGCAAGCTTTCCTCGAGGTCTATGAAGCAAGCCATGGAGAAACCGTTCGAGCAGAGGCACTGAGGATCTTGACAGCACTGAAAACTCTCGCCTCTGAAATTAAGTCGCGCTATTCTCGTGGCGGCGAGGGTGGTTTCCCCTTATTTAAACAGCTGGCGTCATACTTTGATGGAGACGCCTTGGAGAGCATTACCAGCTCGGAATTGCTTAACTCCGGCATCATAGAGGTTCTTCTCTGTGTCCTAGGTAACTTCCAAGCGCCTTCTATTCGCGATGCTAGAGCCGACTTCCTACGAGCGTTCATGGGTGTTTCAATCTCAGACAGAGCTCAAAGCCAGAGCACAGCTACGACACCTTTCAGCGTACTTATCCGCAAGTTGCAAGACCTGCTTAGCAGGACGGAGCATTTCGAAGTCCTCACAGTCAGCCACAATTCGCTGGAGAATACCCGCAGCAATGCCGCCTACATGCTGAGCAAACAGCTCCGACTGAAGCTGGTTGCCGACGAAGAGTCCGAAGTTCCTCGTCCTTATCGCAACATCATGGTATCAATCCATGCTATTGCCACATTCAAGGCCTTGGACGACTTCCTTCATCCCAGAATCGCCGTGGCAGAAAAGCCTCGCCCCTCACGAACCAGGGACTCGATTCTCTCCCAAATTGCCAATGCATCCCGACTTCGTGAACAGCTGGCTTCAGGGTCTGGGATGAACCTCCCAAGCCACACAGGGGGCCCTAATGACACTATTGCCGACTCTACAGACGGCACCTATGATCGCTCAGCTGGCCACCCGCGTCATCAATCAGACCGGATTCAAGAGGATGAAGACGAAGACCACGAGGACGAGCCCCTCGAGTGCGCAGATGAAAGGCAACTGACCGACGAAGAAGAAGAAGACGGCGGCGACGAAGACGAGGAGGAAGAACTCAATGCCATTGTTGATGATCTCGATGAGGATATGGAAAATGACACTAGCTCTGACCCTTCGGCAGTCAATATGGAGGTGGCATCCTCGGGCAAGGTCACAGCTCGCAAAGAGGATGGTACCCGAGTTGGAACTCCCTCCCAGACGGCTGCATCCAAACCTTCATCATCAACTCCTGCTGCTGCTGCTCCCCCCACCCGCATGCGCAATAACTCGCTCGCCACTGCCGGGCGCCCCTTCTCATCTTATGCCGCTGCGATGGCCTCTGTGCCTCAGGATTGGCACCTTGAGTTTTTCGTAGATGGCAAGCCCGTTACTAATGAGACGACTATCTACCGTGGTGTTCATCACGACCGCGAGGACTTGGACGAGAGTAGTGCCAAGAACGTCTGGTCTGCAGTCCACACCATCACATTTAAGCGCGTCCTCGGCCCTCCACCACCAGAGCCCTCAACCCTCACACCGACCACTCAGGCTGCATCTGAGGGTGATACTCTCCAGATCCCAGCCTCTCTCGACAAAGACCCCACTACTTCATCCATCATTCGCCTGCTTCGTGTTTTACACGAAATGAACGCAACTATTGATGATATCTTGACCGATAGCAAAGACACTGCCACTATCACCTCAGAGCCCCTGGCCCAATTCATTAACACGAAGCTCACGGCTAAGATCAACCGCCAACTCGAGGAGCCTTTGATTGTGGCTAGTGACTGCCTTCCGAGTTGGAGTGAAGACTTAGCCAGGCTTTTCTCCTTCTTGTTCCCGTTCGAGACAAGGCATCTATTCCTGCAGTCAACTGCATTCGGCTATTCACGGGCAATGATGAGATGGCAAAATTCCCAAAATGGCGAGGACAGCCGACGGGACTTGCGCCGCGATGATCGCCCATTCCTTGGGCGGCTGCAGCGCCAAAAAGTGCGGATCTCTCGTTCGCGTATCCTTGACTCGGCACTAAAGGTCATGGAACTCTATGGGTCTTCCCCCAGCATTCTCGAGGTTGAATACTTCGAAGAAGTTGGTACTGGATTGGGACCGACTCTTGAATTCTACTCTACTGTTTCCAGAGAGTTCTCCAAGAAGAAGCTGAAGATCTGGAGAGACACAGATGGGAGCTCTGGTACAGAATATGCATTTGGCAAGCGCGGTCTGTTCCCAGCGCCGATGAGTGATCAACAAGCAGCCCAAGAGATCGGGAAGAAGCAGTTGAACATCTTCAAGGTACTAGGAAAGTTCGTGGCCCGCTCGATGCTTGACTCCCGGATCATCGACATTTCATTTAATCCAGCGTTCTTCCGTATCGCGGATACCCTGTCGTCAGTGGCACCATCCCTGAGGCACTGTCAAGCTGGTTGATCAGGACCTCGCGAAATCCTTGTTCATGCTCAAAGAATTTGTCAATGCCAAAAACGCCGTTGAGACAAACAAGTCGCTTTCGCCAGCCCAGAAAATCGAGGCGGTGCAAAACATCACCGTCCACGGCGCCCATGTTGACGACCTGGGTTTGGACTTCACTCTACCTGGATATCCCGCTATTGAGTTGATTCCTGGTGGCACCGACGTGCCGTTGACAATCGAAAATGTTGACATTTACATCGAACGGGTGATCGACATGACCTTGGGCAGCGGTGTCCGGCGCCAGGTGGATGCCTTCCGGGCTGGGTTCTCACAAGTCTTCCCCTTCTCCTCCCTTCGTGCTTTCACTCCAAGTGAGCTTGTCATGCTTTTCGGACAAGCGGAGGAGGATTGGTCAATCGAGACCTTGATGGACTCTATCAAGGCCGATCATGGGTTCAACATGGACAGCCGGAGTGTGCGTAACCTTCTGCAGACTATGAGCGAGCTGGACCACCAGCAGCGCCGCGATTTCCTTCAGTTTGTCACTGGTAGCCCCAAACTCCCCATTGGAGGTATGTTAATCCCATTTCCCACCGCGTGAAATCCCATTAACATAATCAATTTAGGCTTCAAGAGTCTTACGCCGATCTTCACTGTCGTGTGCCGCCCAAGCGAGCATCCATATACACCAGACGACTATCTCCCCAGTGTGATGACCTGCGTCAACTACCTGAAGTTGCCAGACTATAGCGATCTAGACGTTCTCAAAAAGCGCCTCTCAGTCGCCATCAAAGAAGGCCAAGGAGCTTTCCATCTTTCCTAGACCCAAAACCTCCACTATCTCCTCTGCCCTCTCCTCTCTTTTGCTGGCTTTCATATTTCTCAACTAGGACGAGAAACCATTCACGATGCGACGACGTGCGACTTGTTTCTGCTTTGTTCCTCCCCAATTCCCAAGTTTCCGGACGGGCTGTTTCTCTGTTGTCTTTTCCTTCATATGCCATCTGGGTCGAAAGGCGTCATGGCGGGGGGTTCCTTACGATAGTGGTATTAGATAGCAATGCTCACTCTCTACCTACTGAAACTTGGTGTAGGTTCTCCCATACTGAAGTATCATTTTGTACAAACGCACTGTAGCACAAAGTCTATCCCAATGAAACGTACGTAAAAATGTAGGAATCAATTGCCCCATTAAATATTGTAGCTTTCACATTCCTCCGAGCTCTCCGATGAATCAACCGTGGACAAGATGAAGCATATATTCATCAGATTGCCTCTTGTTGAACGGGACAAATATCTTCCCTATGCCATGGCTGCTCCGCGAGAGATTACCATTGAATGCCTCAACGGCCACTGGGTCCTGGTAATTATACTATGCCCGTTCGAAGATACTAGATTCTAATCGTATCACCGTCTACATGTACAGAACAAGGACCTAACCAGCGAGCCAGACCCGATTCTAAAACTGGTTTGAAACATCTCGGCCATTTCTACTATAAACCCTAAGCTAATCATCCCGTCCTGTCTACAGCAAAAGGTATCTTGGTTGCTCCGCAAGGCCTTCGGATTGGCAACAATATACCTCCACATCTCCCAATACCAAACCCCAGCCTCTGAAACAACTGAACCATCCACACACATTGACTTCAACCAAACAGCCAGTGCAGGTCTGGCCCCGACCGAAGAGAAGCGCATCTTGGATTGGGAAATAAGAGACCACCAGGACTACTTCTTCGGCGAGGTCAAAGCACAGTGTGAATTAGTTCACGGCGCTGTTGATGCAGATGGAATCGTGAGACCTGAATTTGAGTTTCAGACGCCCAATGTCAATGCGCAGATTAAGAAATTCATGCGAGGTGAGATCGAGGTGGATGGGGGTAAATCCGGGGGTTTTATAGTTGAGGATTGGAGTGGAATGGTGGAGGAAGGTCCTGGGCTTTGGGTACATACCTTTGAACGGAATGATAAGTCTGGTTGGACGGCTGAGCAGGTGAGTATTGTAATTTATTGGCATCGTTTGGTTGGTTTAAATGTCATGTCAGAAACTGACTACTTCGGTTACAGATTTGGGGGTTCGAGATGCTTGGGGACTCGCGATACTTCTCTCGTCGAGTGGTGGTCATGACGACGAAGGGAAAATATCTATGTGGGAGGATTGTCTTTGATTTTGTTAGTGCTTAATTGATTTCGGGAATCATGGGAAATTATTAAATCTATCATTTTAATAGTCTATGAATCTATAACTAACTCTATAACTCTATAATCTATACAACGCAAAGGATATCCACTTTCCACAAAGACGCTCTAGCTCGAATAAATCTTCACCATAGACTGTGGAAACTGTTAGCCAAACACGCTTCATGGATATAGAAGAAAGGAATAACTCACGTCCGCAAATTTAGGCTCAATAAACAAAGCCTTAGCCTCAGCAACCATTACCGCACCTTCACTATCCTCCCGGAGCAGACCAGAATCAGCAACAATGCCATGTGAGTCCGCAGAAGGCAAAGCCAAAGGAAGATAAGTCATCCGACCCTCAACCCAAGCCTTCCTACCCTCGACCTTAACCGTCTTTGTGCGCAGCACATACATCCGATCAGGAAGGGCCGGCTTTCGGAAATCCACATTGAGATTAGCCGTCATACCTAGCCCGCTGGGGAAAGCCGCAGAGACACAGCGAGCAAACACCTCATCAAAGAGAACACTGAGCAGACCACCATGGACAAAGCCAGGGTGACCACAGAGATCCTGACCGATGTGGAAGACCGATACAACACTGCTGGCGCGGTCGGCATTCTCGGGCTGTGCTTCGGACTTGCCGGTCGATAGCCACATGTATGGTGCGAATGCAAGCTTGCCTGGACCGGCTAAGCTTCCACCAACGAAGTGATGTTGTCTGATGGGTGGGGGGGATTGCGAGATGGGGACGTGTTTCCCTGTAGGTGCTGTGGGTTTCGCGGAGTTTCTGGACGAGAGGGATTTGAGAAATGAGTGTGTCGAGGTTTGCAGATTCATGGTGTGGTGATTGAGGAGTTGATTGTGACTTGGTATGAGAAAGGAATGAAGGTGATTCTGTTTGGCTTGGTAGTGCCTGGTCGTGAACCACTGCCGACCGTGTTGGGCCTTGTTGGTGAAGACGCGCAATAGGCGCTGCGGGCGAGTATATTCTGAATGGTGAAAGGTTTTGCGATCGGAAAAGCCGACGCGCTGTTTGTGAAATGTTTGACATTTTGGGAAGTATGAAGCCGGTATAGAGTCTAGTTCATGCATGTTAGAGGGGCTTTTTTTAACTGCCGATCGGGGTACATACTGCAGAACAGGCTCAGACTATGTAGTACTTGGTTTTCTTGAGCTTGTAGATCTCACTAGTGCTGTTGATAGTTCGGATGTATGTGATATATGAAGTATACCACACTTGGACTTTTGCAATGACGATGAAAAGAGGATTGTTCTGGTTTAAATAACAGACCCGCCACATCTGAATTGGACCTGTTTCTGCCTTTTTTTTCTTTTTAAAGCCGATTTTTTCTCCTGCTGGACCCATCAGTGGGGCTCAAAAGCCTTGGAACAGCCGATGATCGGACCGGGATGCCAAGACATATAGTTCGGCATGCCGAGAACTATAAGAAGCCGTAGGTCTATATCAATATAGCATCGTATTTCTGCATACTGCATACTTCGGCGGAGGACTGAAGTTCACAATTTATAGTATATCAGATTAGTATAGCATGGTGGCCCTGAACGGGGGTCCTTCCTCGTTGGGGGTTCACGCAACAAAATGCGTTCTCATGGAACAGGACTCACGCTTCTCGTCTCCTCTTCACGCTTTCAATCAACCCATCATTGCAATCCATCTTGCGTATCATCTGTTCTCTTGTATTAGCTTTCGTTCATCATTTTCATCGTCACCACTTATCATCGTACCTCTTCGACATGGATGATGAAACCAACCTCTCTTCTTCGGGCGAGGTCTCTGGGACAGAGACCGTCAGCAACCATGTCGGTCCTGGTGTGAGTAATAATACCCAGACTGTTAACAACCCGTTCAGCACTGGCTTGGGCAATGCAACTCAGGTCAACAACCCGTTCGGCACTGGCATGGGACATGGCGCCCAGGTCAATAACCCGTTTGGCACTGGCATAATCCATGGCACGCAGATCAGCAACCCGTTCGGATCTGGCACGATCAATGGCTCGCATGCCACCAACAACCCGTTTGGCTCTAGTATGAGCAACGGCCCTCGGGCTGCCAACAACCCCTTTCGTTCTGGAGTGGGCCATGCCCCCCAGACTACCAACCCTTTCCGCTCTGGCTGGGTAACCCCTCCCAGACCAACAACCCTTTCGGCTCTGGCGTGGGTACAGTCCCCCAGACAATCAACAACCCGTTCCGGTCTGGTATGAGCAATGGCTCCCAGACCACCAACAACCCTTTCCGCTCACCAACAACCCTTTCCGCTCTGGCTGGGGGATTCCCTCCCAGACCAGCAATCCTTTTTCTTCTGGAGTGGGCAGTGTCCCCCAGACCATCAACAACCCTTTCCGTCGCACCGCCATCGAGGACGGCCTCTTGACTCCCAATGGGGGACTGACCAACGGTCACTCCCACGGGAACGAATCGCGCGCCCCCCCACCCCACGGACTTCAACCCTCTCTACCGCGCACCGGGCGAGGCCCTCGAGACCAGCCTCGACGCCATCTTGGCGGGGGGCAACGAGGACGCTGACGACTCCAGGGACGGCGACGAGGACGCCCACCTGGACGAGGCGTAGGCAAATAAATGCTTACTTAAATGCAAGGTATGTCTTACATTTCCTTTTTCCCCTGGGCCCCAGTCAGCTTCACTTCATTCTATTATCGCTTTGCACTCACATCAGCTTCATTGCTAACTCACTTTCTTGTCATCTAGGTGCCGGTGAGGAGAGCGGCGGCGGCTTACTCACTGGGTTCCTCCGCCTTGCGGTGCTCCCACCACGCTGACCTCAAGCGTGGTGGGGCACAAATACAATGACGGTGGGGAGAAGGGGGGTGGGGGAGGGGGGGGGAGAGGAGGAAATACTTCTTGTTTGAGTCCCGGGGGAGGAGGGCGATGTACGATTTGGCCCCGCGGCATGGGCCGTTTGCTGTTTGATTCCGGCCTGGGGTCTGACACTGCACTAGGTTCGCCTGGTGTGGTTGTCACCTAGGCTAGGGGTATGCTCATTGGAGCTGTCCCGTTGTGTTGAGTATCCTTTCTGTTTTGAGCGTGTTTGTCTTGAGTTGAGGTGATCACTGATGAATGCAACTTTCATTTCAACTCCACGTTTTGACCTTTTGTTACAAAAGAGGAACGTCAAGACTGGTAGTGTTTCGACCTTGGAAAGCAGAGCACAGTTACGAGACCCGCAATACGATGATACGATGCGAAACGATGCGAAACGATGCGAAACGATGCGAAACGATGCGATGCGAAACAGACCCGCGTTGCCTGAAAGTCGACATTTTGGAACTTGCTCCGGTTACCCTAAATGATTTCACCTTCTATAAACCGGCGGGAAGCAATCCAAGGCCGGCTGGTATACGCAGATATAGCCCGGTCTCAGCAGCTACGGCTTTCTTAAACTCACTGCAAGCAGATCAGGACAGAAATGCTGCACCGATATACTTCTATTCTACTAGAAGTGAATGACCAGCGCCTCGCATATCCAAGAGCCTTATAAAAGATGCTTTATAAAGCGGACTTCGATACCGGCTTCAGTATACGCAGAAGAAGTTCGATCCATATTGTATCGGACCTACAATCTATGTATTTCGGGTTGTGAAAGCCCAAAGTACATTAAGTGGACCAATTATGAAAGGCTATTTATGCATTTGATACTGACAGCATGGCTTCTAGAACAAGGTTCCATCACCAAAGTTCAAGATAGGACTACACTTCGTCTCCGGACGTTTAACCGCCGCAAGCTCACGACCCGCCTTCCAGGAGCCCGCCTCCAACACCTGAGGTAGAGACAACTGGACACCGTCCATGCGAGCAAGGATCTTCGTATGCAACACATCCAGGAGGGCAACGGTCATCGCTCGCCATTCCACAATCTCGTCGTCGCCTGCACCAAATGAGGGCAAGCTACCACCAGAAAGGCTCAACCCCCGCTGCAGTGACTCGGGCTTCAATTCCAGAACTCCCATGTCGACAAACATTCCTCCGTTGCGGTACTCCGGCAGACCAGTCCCCAGCTCGGTATTGGACCATGATACCGAGAGGAGACGAGAGAATGGCACCATCAATGAGTACGCTAGCCATTGGGTCAGCTTATGGAACGGCTGGATGTTGGAGTAGGGTTTCGACTCCGATCCGGCCTGCTGCGAAAGTGCTCGCAGGGGCCACGCATCGCCGATGGGCTGTCCATTAATGTGAGTACGATCGGACGGCCAGATGGGAAGCAGAAGGTGCTGTAGCACGTTCCAAAGATCTCGGTAGTCGAGCTTCCCACTATCATTCGACTTGGCAATGAGGTAGTCTGAATGTTTTGGGAACTGTTTAGTCATTTGATAAAAGGATCCAGGACTAACTGGCCGACATGGCCGCTATGCACTTACCAACAAGATTACCAGGACGACCAGAGGGACCAAAGATATCTTTCAGGTTCACCAAAGACTCGCCGAGTTTACGAAGGATATCCGCACGCGCAGGTACTCCTACCATGGGATTGGCATCGTTGACCTGGAGTCCACGGGATAAGATATCTACATTGATATTGCGCAATGCATCGCCTAGCCGAGTCAGCCAATACCGCATTGAATAAAGAGCAAACTCTTACCATTGACGGTGTGTTTCACCGACGAGTCCTGCCCAGCAAAGTCGCCGTTTAGAAACATGTGCAGGGCTGCAACCGCAATACCTTCGCTTCGATTGAGCGTCAGGCCGCTTTGTGACTCATTGTATTTCCAAAAGTCTCCGGCGCCAGCATCCAAGAGAACGGAGACGAAGAAAAGATCTATCAGCCTGCGTGTCTTTTCGGTGGCGTCACATTTCTCCTCGTCCCATTCAGCCAGAAGAGTGGCTATGCGGGGAACCCCGCCGACTTCGAAATGCTGCCAGCGTCCATGGGGCGGAATTAGGTGATACTTGTCAGGGCCGAAGTCGCGCTATGATAGAGAGTGAGCGTTTTTGTGCTTGGAGCTGTAAGTGTTCACGCTGGGTATGGGTTAGCCCTACCTGAATCAGTTTAAGTACGTAGTCGGTGGCATCTTCCATGCGCTCAGGGTGGTAGTCAAAATGATTCAAACGACCCTCTTCGGCTAGTTTGAGGACGATATGGGCTCTGGTACGGACAGCTTCTAAGCCTAATAGTTCTTGAATTTGGGGGTCCATGGTGATTGAGAGAATGGGAGAGGTGAGTCTGGAGGAGGTCAAGGATGCGCTTTGTATTACTCAGAGCTAGGAAGCGGGGGAACATATGCACTTATGTAAATAGCTGCATGTACGCCGAATGAACTAGTTACCTTTAGGAAAAGTGTCTTGAATGCCGTAGATTAACCTGCTCAGGTGTTGGGGTATTCTTTGTCACTGATATGTTATCTAAGAGATGTCGGAGTAGCCCGATAACGTTGGGGGCACTTTCGAAGGATTTAGGAATCAAGTACATATCCGACGTGGTTTTGGTATAGACTAATATCAAAGAACTATGATTTTTACAAACCCAATGCTTCAGTAGATCCAGATTAGAATGTCAGAGGGTCAAGATGGCCCAGGAATGCGTCGTTGCCCTCACCACGAAGAAGAGCATCGATGTCAATGCGACCGGCCGTAAGGTACTTCTCGCTAACACCGATGTTCACACGCTGGGAAAGGAGTTGTTTGAGCTCGGCACGAAGCCCGGCCATTTCGCTCTTGCTCAATTCGCTAGCCTCCTTCTCACGTCTTTCGCGGCCACCACCACGACCACGGCCTCGACCCTTAGACTGATCAAACTCATCACTATCATACTCAACACCGAGATCATCGGCCGCAGCACGGAGCCAGTTGTCCTCAGTGTTGACCTTCTCCTTGGCGATAGTGGAGTCGGTAATTCGCTTGGCGAGAGACATGCGGGGCGGAGGCGAGCAACCACTCGGCGATCAATGTCGAGAGACTCGAGAGGAATCTTCTTGCTAGGTCCGTTGGAGTCGTCGGCCTTCTTCGCCTTCTTGGAATGGATCTTGCCAGCGAGACGAGCAACACCGACAACCTCGTCAGGAGCACAGATGAGAATACTCTTTCCGGACTCACCGGCACGAGCAGTACGACCGGATCGGTGAACGTAGGCATCTGCTGTGCGGGGAACGTGGTAGTGGATGATGCAATTAACGCCCTTGATATCCAAACCACGAGCGGCGACGTCAGTGGCGACAAGAATGGAGCTGGGGTTGGCAGTAGGAGATGAGAAACGTTCGATGGAACGGAGTCGGGCTTTCTGGGCCATGTTTGAGTGGAGCGCGAACACAGGAAGTTGAAGAGCTTGCAAAAGCTGAGTGATGCGGCGGACAGCAGAGATGGAGTTTGTGAATATGAGAGTGCGATGCTTGGGGTAGTAGAGCAGAACTGAGTAGAGGTATAGGTCCTGATAAATTTAAATTAGCATCGGTATTCGAGCGGTTCAAAAAAGAAGCGTCTTACCTTTTCCATGGCAGGGCATTCGACAATCCCTTCCTTGAGGCCGACGGCCATCTGTGACTCCGGGTTCACATCGATGAACTTGGGCTTCTCTTCGCGGAAATTCAGCTTCTTGAGAAGGTACTCCATAGACTCTTTGTTGTCCAACATGTCACCACTTGTCCAGCGGCTCTTGCCTGCTAACTTTTGTTGGAGATCCTTGTGGAATGTGGCTGAGAATACAAGAGTCTGCCTATTGGATGGCTCCTCTTCCTCTTCTTCCTGATCCATGTCCGCGATGTCTCCGGCTTGATGTTTGTCTAGGGCATTAAGGATATGTTCCATTTCCTTGAAATGACCTTCACTCAGCAGTCTGTCCGCCTCGTCGACGACCAGAAATTGGATTTTCTGCATTTTGCGGATCAGGCCCGACCCTGTGCTCAGAATCTCCCACACTCGGCCGGGGGTTCCAACGACGATATCCGCCGTGGCAAGTTGTCTCTGCTGCTTCTGGATAGACATACCACCGGTAATAAGAGCGACTCGTGCGTTGGTATCCGGAGAATTGGCAATGAGTTCTCCGATATGCTTTCCAAGCTGATGCGCTAGCTCTCGAGTGGGAGATAGAATCAATGCAATCGGAGATTTGTTCTTTTCAGACTTGTCAGACTGTTCCTCTTGTTTCCCTCTCTGGTCCAAATAATGCTCGATAATCGGAATACCGAATGCCAATGTTTTACCGGAACCTGTTGAGGCCTTTCCAACAACATCGTGCCCATTGAGAATGGCAGGGATACTGGCTTTTTGAATGGCCGATGGAGAGCTGAACTTCATTTTGGAAAGAGCCGTAAAGGTCTCGGGCGAAAGATTAAGACCATCCCAAGCCGACACATCCACACCATCATCCTCTTCGACATCATCGAGAGCCGCAAATGAAAGCCCAGCTTTGATGCTCTGGCTCTGGACAGCTTTGGACTCCTTAGGCTTTTGCTCCTTAGGTTTTTGCTCCTTGGACTTTTGCTCTTCTTTCTTGGCTTTGTTTTGCTCCTTCTTCTTGTCCTTCTTCGACTTCCTATCTTCCTTCACTTCGGTTGCAGCAGGAGTCTTCTCGG